GCATATATGCACATATCTTCAGTATTGCGCGTGCCATCTCAGCTGTGTCTGATGTCCAATTGTAAGTAGGTGTCACTGCGCTGGCGGCTATGGGTACGAGTTGATTAGGTTAGGGTTGATTGGGCCGGTCTGTATGATATATAGAGAAGTTTAGACGTAGCGTAGAAGAGTCGCCGTTTGAATATATTCATTTCGATCTAATTCGTTCTGGCTGCCAATATCGGGAGGAATACTAGGTGCCAAGCCGGGCACCAAGAATGGATATGAATAATAAGCTACAAAGTCGTATATCCTATTTGATCCCATGTTACACAGGGTGCGGAATGTCTAAGTAATATGTGGGGAACATGGTCGGAATGTGAGCGGAAGGCAGTCAATACCACGACATCCTCTAAACCTGCGGAATGTGGTGGGAACAAGCTGGGAATGTGGCGGTAATGTGCTCATCCTCTCCGTGTTCCCCAACCTCCGTAATCTGGCGCTTCACGCGGTGCAAGGCGCTGTATATGTCTGACGACGGATCGCCCATGCTCGAATGGTTACGTAAGACAGCTCGGTCCGGGGACTGGCAGGCCTCTGCCAGTCATCGCTGACTTCTCAAATTTCGACGTGTGCAGAATGATACGGAAAACGCGTTTTGCGCGAGAGCGGCGCTTAGAGAGTTACTGGAGGGTCACGGGACTGACACCTGTGACTTTGTTACTCGCCGTTATGGGGGCGTGACATTTGACCCTGAAGCACAAAATGGGGGTTCTCTTCATTAGACGACTCGGTTATTGCTTCATGAGACATCAGCTATGCATCATACTATCCGTCCTGGGGGTCTAGTGTGACCAGGACAGCCCTCGGTCTCCAGCTCTTTCCTGGTGCCCGTCAGCCCGGCACAGTGTTCCAGCGCCCATGAGGCGCTGGCTCACACAAAATGCATTCTGCACATCGCTGTAAGCCAAACACTCTTGCCCGTGTCGCAGCACGGACTGAGGGGCCTAGAGTCTCCGAGTCAGCGGTACGTAGCTACGTAGTCATCACTTGACACGTGTACGCTCCACCAAATATGGCTCGGCATTGGTACCGGGCCCAAGTTACTGTAAGACTTCGTTCGAAATCAGCTTGTCGTCGCAGCCAACCACATCTCGCTGATTCGTACTCTTGACAGATTACAGTCATCGATTGTGATCGTGACTTATCTATGTAATTCGCTTGGAACTGATGTGCGCGGTACTGCAGTTATGTAACTTGCCCACTGTGCCGTAGATGTTGATCGCAAGCCACGCAATCCCCCTAACTGCAGACCGCTCATACACGCAATGCTGGCATGTGGCTAGTGTGGTTTCAGATTACTTCACAGGTGAGCTTTATGACTCCTCAGACAACGCTCTGTAATGGGAAAGCTTACTCAAATGTGCAATCATGTGCACACGGGATCCTACACGATTGAATTACCATCTCACGTGCGACGGAGCCTAAAGGGCTGGATGTCGCTCGTGATGTGCTCTGGTCAAATTTGGGCGACAATACCCAGGACTACATATGGAGCCAGAAGGAGCCTCGTTCGCTAGCCTCGACGTCTTTGACAGACACCGCCTAACGAGACTCCACCTCCAATGTCTCCTCGAACCACAGAGCTCGACAGGTTCTTCCCGCTCCCATCAGAAGCGCCTTCCAATAAGGCTCCAGTACGCCTCGCTGGTTTCTCCCACAAGTCTGGCGAGGCACTTGCCAAGGTGCTACAGGACAACCATATCAAATGGCACGCGTTTTTCAACGACTTGGGTTTCCACAAGTGAGTTGCCTAACAGTCGCTACCTCCCTGATGGTAACTAACTCTTACTGTACTGCAGCCATGCTTCTCACCACCTCGTGGCCATCTACGCCCTCGGCGCAAACAGTACGCTCGTCGAGGCAGCGTACCAAACGCACGTAGAGTACATGCGGCCAGCGTTTGAGTCTCCAGAGCCAGTGAACGCGACGAATGTTTGGAAGCACCTTGGCAAACGCGAGTAAGTAGTAGCGACAACTTCAACGTGTGGTATCATTGGACTCAATGCCTGTGTCGGCCAGGTTCTACAATTCATACCTCGAGTTCTTCAGGGATCTCCTATTGAAGAGGGATGTCACCGCAGTCCTTGAGGAATACATCTTTTCCGCCAAGGCTAACATCGGCGGCTCTGATACCGAAGGGCAGCCAAGAATGCTCAACCGGTTCTTTGCGGCGCTCGTCCATCCGATGATCCACACCGGAAACGGCCTAGAGATCGGCATGCTGGGCCTTGTCGCGGAGGGTAAGTAGCGCATCGATGAATGAAACGCCTCTGACATAATCGTACGCTAGGTCTTGCTCAGGCAGCAACCCACGGGGACGACGGCGATCGGCTCATCCCACCCTCGCTCTTCGAATCGCAGTCTACATCAGCACCGTCGGCCGTCGCTCGCCTCACTGCTCTACTTCCGTCGCTCACGCTCAGCGCAGACCCCTCTGCCAACGGGAAGGCGCCAGTCGGTGGGAAGAAAGCTGGTATCCACGCCTTCACGGCCCTCGCGCGTATCCTCGCCGATCCCAGGTTTGCGCCCGCGGCGTTGGGCCTGCCGATTCCGCAGGGACAATCGCACATCGATCGCGTCCAGACACATGTCGGGGAAGCTCTGATTGACATCGTTGCTGAGTGGGCCGCCGAGCTCGAAGGTGACGATGTGTCGGCTGCGGTCATTGCGAAGAAGATCGAAGAGGTCGCCTGGCTGAACGCCCTCATCTACGGAGTGGGTGGTTGGGGCGGCCGGCAGAGGTCCCAGAACAAAGAGTTCAATGCGGACTTCTTCAGGTGTGTTCTCACGTTCCTGAACCAAGGCACCGGCGGCTGACCTCTGCAGCATGCATTTGGTGACCTCGAGCATCTTCCTCCCATCGCTCGTCGCCTACCTCTCGCCCCGGTCTGCCACGATTCTGCTTCGAGGATACTTTACCTTCTCCCTCGCGTGGTACATTGGCCGTGGCCGTCCCGCCATCCCTGTCCGCGCGTTCTATGAGGGAACAACGGACAAGCTTGTCCCGCCTGGAGAGCCGCAGGTCGCCCCGGCAGACACAACGCTCACTCCCGAGGACGTATCGCCAAACCCGTGGCTTCCGATCATTCAATCAACTCTGGTCCATCCCTCGGAGCATCTGTGCAAACTGCAACGCGCTCTGCTGCACAACGCGACCGTGTACGGAGCGCGAGGCGCAGGCGAGTTCGCTGGGACAGAGCTGGAGGGTGCTGAACTTCTGGATGGGACTCTCTTCATCCGTGCCGCCGGACTGACGGCCAATGCCATTGGATGGTTGAAGGAGGGGCAGAAGGCCCGGGAGTGGGATCGCTCTGGCTTCTATTGAGCTTGTTCCTGCCGCCGGTTTCTTGGTCATCGTTAAGGCAATGTATGCGTAGCAACCTGTATCTCATCTCACTGTTCTCAAGCAGGAAACACCCAGCACTGTATGGCGCCCGGTTGCCAGATCCCGCTATGCATACGGGCAACTCTAGCCAAAGTCAGCAGCAAACCTGATAATACCTGGTCACACCTGATACGTATGGGCAGACTCCACCATCCATTTATACCATTCCATTCCAATCTGACCATGCGCAGATGATTCCCGTACAAGCATGATCTTTCGTTCCACGCAACTGCTCGGATGAGATGTCAAGCTCTTTGCTTGAACCCGCTTACGTCACTCGTGCAACTGCGCATGTGCCATTGTTTCTTTTGTGATATACCAAAGCTGAGTGTCTCAGAAGGAGGTCCCGCTTGATTGCTTTGCGGTTGCCTCCGGCATATATAAACGTTCTCGCAAGTCGAGTCGTTCTCATCAATCCCCCTCCCGCCACTGCCCCTCTATGCGCGCCAGCGAGCCATAGCTACATCTTCACACATCTTTCATTTACAACACATTAGCCAGTCGGATGCCCTCAGTCCGCTCGTGGTGTACGTCCTATAGGCACTGCTTCACGGCAGGCCTTCCTCCAGCGTACCGGCGACCAAGCCTGGATATACCGTGCGAGGCCGATAAGCTATGGTGTCTGTACGCTCTGAAAATGTGGTCACTATCCGCTCTCAACCCACAGTGTTGACCTTATTCGTTGACATATTCTCCTCAGCAGGTGCGATAAGCGTTTATGATCGCGCGTTCAGTTGAGCGGAAGATGTTGTAGTGACGCGAAGACATAGTGAGTAGGAATACCGCTATAGTAGGAACCTTGAAAGTCTTACGGATGCACCCCACAGCTGGATCACTCTACTGCCTTCCCATATTTCTCCAAGACACAAATGGCGTATGGCATAGTTCTCCAAGACACAAATGGTGTACCGTAGTTGACACGACTCGGACCTGCAACTCAACCCACTCTACAACACTCAAACGTTCTGGCCGACTACGTTCCAATATCCTATTTGTCATTTAATAGTCGCTAAAATCGCTATTGAATATATTCAGTATGAGCGCGGTGTTTGCCTGACGGGATGTACATACATGCACACTGTGGAAGCAGTTCGACGTTAACGTTGATCGCGCTGTTTCTTGAGAAAGCGCGCAATCTCATCTACGACTCTCTCGGGCTTCTCCTGCTGCACCCAGTGTCCAGCGCCCTCAATACGGACGACATCCCCGTCGTCCATCCTCGTGCAAGTCTGTGTCTGCATCTTGTCGAGCGCGCCCGGCATCTGGAACGTCCCCCAGTCCTGCATCCCTGCGATGTACATCGCCGGCACCTCAATCCGCCGCCCCGCAAACAAACTCAACTCGTCGTTAAGCTCATCGCTGAGCAAGCTGCGGTACCAGTTCAACCCGCCCTGGAAGCCCGTCCTCGCATACTCACTTACATACACCCCGAGCTCGGACTCTGGCAGCCACTTGCTCGATTTGGTATTGACCTCCTCCGCTGAAGGCGCACACTCGCGCGCGACCTCTGCCATTGTCTCGTCAGCCGGCATGATGTAGTACGGGGGTAGCGTCGCGAGACCCTCCGAAGTCATGGGGATGTAGTGTGGGGACGCGCCGCTTTCCGCCCAATCGCCGCTCTTTGCATGGATGTACGCGCGGAGGAAGTCGTGCAGACCCTGCGGTGCCCTCAGCATGTCCGCGTTTGCAGTGGGGCCAGAGAAATACGTCATGTAGTGCTTGCGTGGGGGCTGGGCGCCTTTAAGCAGGTTCATGATGGACGCGATTGTGCCGGCGGGCGACGATGTCGGCGAAGGACCGTTGTACGGCGCGCTCATGAAGACGACCCTTTCGAAGAGGTCGGGGCGCGCGATGACACAGTTTCCGGCGATGAGAGACCCGAAGTCGTGCCCTATGAGTGCCGCGACGGACTTGTGCCCCAGGGTGTAGACGAGCGCGACGACGTCGCGGGCGAGGTTCATCATTCCGTACGGGCGGAAATCGTCTTCAAACCTGACTAGCCGAGTGGCACCTGGCGCGGATGCATCATATGGCTTGGTGCAGCCGTATCTCCGTTGGTCAGGGGCAACGACGTGGTAGCCCAGATTCGCAAGAGGAACGAGGACCTTGCGCCACGAGTACGCAAGCTCGGGGAAGCCATGGAGCAACAGCAATAGAGGTGCGTCCCTCTTTCCGGCCTCGAGGATGTGGATATCGAGGTCGCGGACAAGGAGGGAGCGAGAGATAACGCCTTCGGGAAGACCTGGAAGGCAATCCTTGGTCGTCATGGTCTTTTGATTGAAGGAATAGTACGACGTGAGCGATACCTTCAAACAGGTGGGCTGGCATTTAGAAGATTCACCTATAATCAACGGTTATCAGAGGCCTGGAATGCGGGGGGTTCCGCAGATGCGTAGCTCTCAAGTGATGTTGACCTGTGAACATGAAGCTGGAGCCTGTGGGTATTTGTGTTCCCGTGTCTCCCACACGACGGCCCCTTCCTTTGGTTCCTGCTAGCTGTGTCAGCTGACGTTACAGCTAGTCCATGCATGCAGTATGACGTATGCGAAGCATTTCGAGACCCGGATCAGTCGGAAGCACTCAGAGCGATCTTTTGCCTCTTGAGTGCTGTTGTCGCTGCAGGGCTGTTCATTTGAGCACTGCGACGCGACCTCATATCGGGTGGCTTGCAGAAGACACTGACTCCGAGCTGGCACCATTGCGGTGTGCACATCCGTCGAGGTCAAGAAAGAAGCCACAGCAGAGGCAGGAGCAGTCATAGAGAAGGGAGGGTAATCAACTGGAGGCATACAGCGTGACCGACCAGAAATGAGAGGCGGACACGCACCATGCACTCCGCGCTTTGATGTGGACGCAGGCTCGGCCATGCCCGCTCGTAGCTTCGAACTCTCTTCCTGTGCTGTCTTTCGCCGGCGCCGCAATGTGAGGCTCTTGTAGTCTTTTCCTTGGAAGGAGTGCGAATGCGCAGCAGGTCCCTTGGTCCAAGTACCTTCCAAGGCCTCGACTAGCCCTTCCTGGAAGAGCACTAGAGCGGGCTACACTAAGAGGTCACGCGCATCCGATAGAACGATGTACAATCACCAGTGTACGCAAGGGTGGGAGGAGTAGTAAGATTTATCTGACGCCCACAACCTCAGGGCGCCTTGCCGGCCGGCCCGATCAGCGAGCGCCACAATATTATTCTCCTCCGAGTTGCCTCTAGCGGTTGCCACCACCTCGTGAACCTAACTTCTACCGCAAGGGGAGTAAATCCAGGGCGTCCAAATCCGGCCACGCATTTGTCAAATTTATCCCTAGTACCCACCCACAAATGAGGATCCGACGATCAGGTCAGTTATGCCGCTAAGTCTGGGGAGATGACTCCGCAAGTGCTTTGGCTTGCAAGACTACTGACATGGGAGGATCCTATGTGCTCTACGAATGGTGAGCATCCTTTCTACTTTCTTTGTATGCGTGGTCCTCTACCCTGCCGCTGTTGACGAGAGCTCAGTACAATGATCACGTTTGGGCTTGTTCGTGAGCCTTGGGTCTCGCCACGGTTCCAAGGTCTATGGAAGCTGCTTGTGCAATGGTTATGGGACATCACCGGTCGGAGACAGTCATCTTTGTTGGAACGATACTCGCACTTTCACATTACTCTGGAAGGCACACATCTGTGTTGAGGGCTCATCTCCATGCACTGTCTCTGGCCCTGCCCGTCTAATCACCTCTAAGCTAGCCCTCGACTCCTTCAAATAACTTATTCGGAGATTGTGTCTGGTCTCGTCCATGCAATAGAGATTCTATCTCTTTCACCGCTTTCGACCGCCTACCCTTGGCAGCGCAAACGCAACGCGCCGGTGGTCGAGGCTCGCACACAGTAGCAGCACACGGATCGTACTACGCGCTTCCGAGTCCCTTCCCGCTGGTCGCAAACTTTTCCCTTGTCTGGTTCACGACAATCACGTTCGAGAGGTCCCCTGCTCTCTCTGAAACCAGAATACCTTCGATCGCAGTAGAAAGCCCCAGCTACTCGCCGCCCTGTACGATTACTATCCAACAGCTATCTTTACCCCCGAATGGAGGACGAGACTTCCAATGTATGGGATAATTCAAGGCCGATTACGACCCTTTCATAGACCGGCTCGACGACATCGACAGGGAAGACGTGCTCTGCGACCGCCTTGGACATGTTGAGCTCGGCACCGACCGTTCAAGTGTGCAAAGCATCATTCAGAGACTGGTCGTCGGGTGCGTACTCGCGCAGATCAGTCATATAGGTCTAGCTGAATGAGGGAGCCCTCTTTGTCAGGTAGTGGCAGTACACCTCTGCGATGCACAAGACTACGTCCCCGATACTTCAATACATGTCTCCATTCTCACACTCCCGCTGTGCCCCATGCTACTTCTCAGGCTCTCCTACTTGAAATTCCTGGCGAGGATTGACCTGATTCAGCGATATAGCGCCCTTAGTGAGTACTTGAGTGCCCATGCGTCCACACCTTTCCCACGTTGTGTGCTCGATACCTCTATCTACCTCTCTTCCTCTGCACCACCATCGCACTCATATATAATGGCCGGCCGCCGTCCCCCATGACGCCAACGGTATCTCCACAGATCTTAACCTCGATGCCCACAGGGACGTCCAGGACTTGTCATACCTCTAGAACCTGCTCTTCAGCAGCTCTCCTCGGTACGTAGCGCACAAAACTGCGATTAGCTCGCTATTCGACGCACGACTTTTCTCTCATAGGTTTCGAGATCCTCACCATCTGCACGTACTCGTCGCCTCTCCCACCATATCGCAATCATGTCAATGTCTCTGGTCCCCTGCATTCGACTACCCTCTCTCCTGTTCTGTGACATTGTAGGATCAAGAATCGATGGCTCCACCCCACGTGCGTGATTGACAAGAAAACTGCTGCGCCTTTGTCTTCCTTCGTGTTGGCCAGCTCCCCGACACACGATCGATGGTTTCGTTCAAGACACTCGACTGCATACGCGCTCATGATCGCTGCTGGTATACAGGTGCAGAGGCTCATTGGACTGCGCTACGTCGGATGATCCTAGGGCTATGCGGACTGTTTCGCCTTCCGTTTTTTGCCTGGCGGAGAAGGGTCGCGTGAATTGAAACGGAACAGTTCTCTTCATTGCCCTGAATCTATGTGTCAAGCGAATATGATATGATAGAATGAGAACCGCCGTCTACGGGCGATCTCATGATCCAAGAGTTAAGAGATCTATGGACAGCCTCCTGCAATTACGCCACCACCGCTGATGCGTCGACCAAACGCCCGAAGCCTACGATGCATCTTCCGCCTCGTTATATCCTTCGTCGACTTGGTGAAAGGAGAGCTGGGCTCCCAAAGAACCAATGAAGTGGCTGGTGTTCCCAGATATCTGCGGCTGGAATGCAACTTCCCCGAGTGAGACTGATCGAGAAGAGCCCGCAAGCTTGCGCTGAGCATTCTGCAGATCGATGAGGAACCTCGATGTAAGGATGGAGGTCAAGCTACACACAAACATAGCGTCTATGTAAGAATCAATTGACGGGGTGCAGCGTTGACGTACGGTTCCTCCAGAAGCAAAATCACACCCGTTGGTGTCGCCCCGTCATTAGCGCGCTGATGAAAACGTCAGATATATATGACAACACCCAGGCACAGCTCACCCCAGTCATGGTAAATGCCATTTGGAGAATGCTCAACACGAGTAACGATCTTTTGATGCAGAAGTGAGCATCCCTTGATCTAGACATGGTTGCGTCCACTCACAGAAAATAAATTGTCCCTGTGATAATGTTGGAGCGCTTCAGTGCTACATTCATCAGGCTCGAACGATTACGGTTTATACTCACCATTCAGCAGAAGAACACTTGCGAAGCTCCGCCTGTTGAGGCGACGGAGAGATACCTTGACGGTCTCATATGTTCGGAACCAGGTCACACATAGAACGACTGCATCAGAAGCAATCAAAGAAGATCGCGTCACCACCTCCACTGTCACGTCTCATCTCAGAAGATGCATCTGGCAAAAATATTGCTATGAAACATGCACCAACATCTGCCATGTACAGCGTCAATCAGTACATCACAGAGCGGTGTAGTGACTTCGCCTACTTCGTGACTGTGCTCGCCGATATGGGATCGATGGGTATGATGCCTAGGGACGGATAGTTCACCACTGACAATCCATGTAGGTTGCCCTTCGGGGAGATATATGAGCTGCTGCTTGACCACGGCAAATCCGGAGCACGCACCCACATATTGGTGACAATGGGCACCGAAGACAGAGCGAAAACGCTTGATGAGACGAACCATCGATAAGGGTCAGAACACAAAGCATATGTTCTGAGTGCTGAAAATGCTGTACAACAAGGTAGCTTTCTGAGCTTTCAATACCATGCAGAATGTAGAGCAGTCACTTACCAGCCCATGGGAGATACTGTAAGGCCTCCAGCACGGCCCCAGCAACGACTAGGGAAAATGTGCTGTGTACGCGTCAGAACGCACGGTCGGAATCTTTGAAAATCACTGCGTACCTCTGTCACAGTGTCAAACGTTGATTCGTATATTTTAGAAACAGAATGAGATACCTCAACAGAAGAAGGGAGCGGGATGTTACTTATGATCTGCGACCCGAGACTGATGTATCGGTTTAGGAGAAACAGGATTGTTGCTCCAGACGGGTGGTGTCCCATCCAGAAGAGTGTCACCTCGCTGTCCAACGTGAGCACGAATTCATAAGCAAATAGCACTGCAAATGTGCCACGGACGGCTCGTGAGTATGTGCATGGTGTCGATTGCCCTCACAATGAACGAACCAAGAGCAGCGTAGCTCCAGCAATTCCCGAAGCTAGACGCAAGCTCAGATGTTAGATCACTTATAGGGGCTATAGCACTACTTACAAATATTCATAAGGAATTTGGACATCTGGGTTGTCGGCCATACCGAGACTTGTAAGCTGAGGTAGCACTCAAGGTCTAGAGGTATCGGGCAGGTATCGGAACGAAGGTATGTGGTTTGTGAATCCACAGTGTGGGACCTATTTATCGGCATGCTGAACTGTACGGAGAAGCTGTTTTCAGCTAGTCATTATCAGTATTATCGTCGGACATTACATGAGCGACCTGTGACGACGGGTAGGCACTAGTACGAAGGATACATGATGTTCTGCATTCAGTGTACCTGTCGCTCTATTGACAGCAAAGTTAGATGTATGCAGGCGCGGATACTAAGTGACGGGTTCCACAGGTCCAGCAAGGACCGGGGCAACTCACATCACCGCAGCTTCTCTGACATCTTAACAGCCATTCAAGGTTTGATTGGCTCTGGTTATCAGTTGCTGTCATACCAAAATGCGTTTGAAGGAGGGCAAGGGCACGTACGTTGCCTGAAGAATGTGCGGATGGGAGGGATTCGCAGCTGAGCTCGTCGGGTCAGTGACTAGAGCGAAAATGAATCAGACCCACTATAAAGCAACCCTGGGAAGTCAGTATAGTCAGCCGTATCGCAGTCGCAATTGCGCTGCGAATCGAACAGCGTGAGCACGAATCTGCTCATTGAACAAAGAATGCCCGGAAACTTCAATTTTCGGAAGCCCTGCTGCGTTCTGTGACATGACTCTGAGTCGGATGATGCTTCAAGTAGGAGGATAGGGCGGAGCATCACGGTGTGATAGCAGAGTAGTGGTCCCGGGTCTGAGCACAAGCCAGCGCTGCTGCTAAAATCTGACATTGCAGGAATGCGAAGAATTGTGCAGTACGTGAGGAGCTTGACTCGGAGTCCCGTCGCGACTGAACGGATTAGTCACACCTCCAGAACGCCGGTCAGGCACGAAACCAGGCGAACGCAAGTATCGGCGTCAGGATTTGCGCGCCTAAATCCCTCATTACTTGCTCCCCATCGGATCATAGAGCCCTGTTGCCGAGGAAGTACTCCGAGTAGTCCACTTGCGACGTGTACTATGCCAACTTCTCATGATAGTACGTCTCGTTCTCATGCTCCCACTACCTACATGCGACGGTGTTCGTCAGATTGTGCCTACTCAACGTCCTGCTGAGGATCGACCTAGCGTAGCAGTACGGCAATCTTGGTGAGTGTTCGCGCGTCTGTGCCTTCTGCGACCGCCTCCAAAGCCATCCCCTGTTTCATCCCCATCTGCTCGCGCGTTGTTTTCGTTTCTCAGCCACTATCTTATTCACGCTATCTCCGCAGGCCATAATCTCGACCTCTACGCCGCAGTATCAGACCTATCATGCCTGTCGTGACTGCTCATTGGCGATAAATGGCGCCCGACATGGCCATCTACCCGCTCACAGTTGACTTTGACGTCGTGGCTCCGAGATCCCCGCTATCAAGGTGAGTCCCATCATCCTACGTCTGTGTCCGACCAACACCGGAACAAGTTCTATGCTGTAATATGACACGGGGTCCATGTCCCACCTCGTGCGCGCCATCGACAAAGCGACCGACAGCATCTTGCTCTACCCCTGGCACAGCCGACGCTTCCCCAAAGCCTGTCTCAGCGCACCTGAGATATGAAGGTGCTCATGACGGCCGTCGCGGGGCCGAGACGGGGCCCGTGCACGAGTGTACACGACGTGCAAAATCTGCGGATTAGGAATAGGAAGGATCGGACCGCCCGGGAGGGAAAGCAGTTAAGAGAGAAGTGGAGACTGTTTACGAGGACAGAAGCAAGAGGATGGGTGGGACACTGGGAGGGACTTCAAAGGCAAGCGATGGTGCAGGGAGTCGAAAACATCATAATGTCCGGTTTGTCAACCTCTGTCATAGTGTCAAGCGTTGAATCACGCGTGCTAGGAATAAAAAAACACATCTCCACAGACGAAGGGACCGGGATACCATTGAAGGCTTGCGTGGAGAGAGTGATACATCGAGTAAGGAGAAACAGAATTGTTACTCCAGATAGGTGGCCTCCCTACCAGAAGAGTGTCACCTCCGAGTCGCTGTCAAATGTGAGGATGAAGTTGTAAGAGAATCGTGCTGCAAATACGGCGCAGTCGGCTCCTGAGCGTGTGCATGGTATCAATCGCCCTCGTGAGGATCGAACCAAGAACGGAGAATGTCCAGCAAACATCGAGGCTAGACGCAAGCTCGGATGCTAGATCATGTCTAGGCGTCATTGCGCTGCGCTCTACTATAAGGTCTCCGGTGCGGACTGAACATCTGAGTTGTCCGCCATACTCAGGCTTTAAGAGGTAGCAGTCAGCGTCTAGAAGTATCTGGCAGTTGTGCAGAGATGAGTATGCTGATTGGACAACCATGATGTCGTGAAGCTCATATACTCATCTGTGCACGGAGATGCTGTTCGCAGCTGACCGTCATATGCATATTGCGTCTTATGATCAGACTCGTCGTCGGATGAACTACCAGCAGCCTGTCATGATAATGAGATGGTAGCACCAAGGATGCATACTGCGGCGCTATGCATTTGGAGCATTTGTCGCTCGATCTACTGTAAGGATGGAGGTACAAACACATGACGGATTCCACAAATTCAGCGGGTGCGGCGGCAAGCAACATGTCCGCAGCGATGCCTACACCTCACTACACCTCAACTGACAACAGCGACTCAAGGTTCCGATATCAGCTTCTGTAATCTCATCTCTAAGATGCTTGCGAGAGGAGGCACGCGTCGTAGCTGATGCATTGCCTGAACAATGTGAAGGTTGATAAAATTTGCAGCTGACAAAGTCGGTTCATTGATAAGAGCGAAACGACAGCTGTCCTACTCCAAAGTAACACTTATGAATCAGTATGGCCAGCCGTATCGCGCGCAGTCGCGGTTTCGCACACTGGAATCCAACAACATGGGCACAAAGACATCTAGATTCAATCGAAAGTACCATATATAAAATATGACAGCGCCGGCTTGGACTTAATGACCGCGCGTGTGGAATACAGAGATCCTAGGTACTTACAGCCCTATGGGGATTTGGGGCGGTGTGATTCGGATGATACTTTTGGCCCAGGACTGGACGGAGCAACACTACTTGTGTGATGACAGGTGAGCACACCAAGCATGAGATGAGCGCAATACAGCACTGCTGATGACTGTCTTCGTTGGAGGGCTGGGCTTGCAGTTATCGGATGAAGTGGCCAGTAGGTGAGGATTGCCGCATTTCATCGCGACCTACTGGACCCGTCATAGTTCATGTGCTCACGTGACCCTGGGCTACGCGCATTCGTACGTGGCCCCGGCCCCCCTTTAGTCTCTAATCTCCTCTCAGCCAGCCTTCGACTCCTTCACCTCGCGTCAATATCGCTGGAGAGCCTGCATCCATACAATATCAACGTGCTACAGACCTCGGTCTCCTGAAAGCTGGCAGGGGTATTGAACGAGCTTCTCCATTCAGTACCCACGAAGACTTCGAGGCCCGACCACGACTGAAAGAAGGAGCCTCAATGAGCTTTGCCAGGACAACCACGCCCTCTTCGACTTTTTCGGCGGGCTAGAGCTCAAGCCGCCCAGGTAGCAAGGACATTATACTGCGAGTTGACAGACAGCGGCTTGCCGGTACGTACCCGCCTTGATCGTTCAATAAATGCCTCGTTGATGAAGGGGCCCGATATGCCAGCTACCTGAATTTCGCTCTGCGACATACACTGCGTTGACGGGCGTGCCGCCGAAGACTGCTTTCATCTAGCAGTGTGGCGATCTTGGTGAGTACCTATGCATTCACGGGTTCCGCGTTCTTCATGCATATTCGCCTCTTCATGCCTGCCCTGCAAGAGCGACCATGCGCTCGCGCTGTCCCTGCAGATTCCACGTGCGATCTCTCTATCGAAGTCGAAGACTTGTCCCACCTCCAGGACTGGCTCCCTGAGCAGTCCATGGCACGCAGCGCTGTACATGGCCATACTCTCATGAACTTCGAGGGCTTTGCGGACAAGGTATGTCTTCCTCTTTCCTCACATTCGTAATACATGCACTCCGTTCGCTTACGTCGGCTCTGTGACAGGGCAAAGTCCTCCTGTGCTGCAACCCCGCGCGTCATCAACAAAACGACAGGCTGCAACATCGTGTCGCGCCTCGATACGGTCAACGGGTCGAACAAGTCCGCGTCAACGCGACTGGGCGCGTACGCGCTGATGCGGGCGGACGCGGGGTCTGCACGCGCGCGGCGCGCGGACTACGCGACGTGGCAGGAATGGTCGATGGACACCCGGGAGAAGTGATGTAGGAAGCTCGTGCTCAGAAGAAGCATTATCAGAGTTGTGGGCGGGCCGCGATCGCGCTGGGTGATGGGGTAAGCCGAGAATCTAGTCGCTGGTATGTGTGGTTCTAGTTCTTCCCCAATTCAATTCTCTACGTGGTCGTGCTTTACAACTGATGTCCGCGCGTAGTCCGTCGAAGGCACATGAGTGCTGTATGAGTGCCGTCGAAAGCGTTTGCCGTTGCCCAGTGAGACGAATGCTACCGTTTATTTACTGAAGACAGTAGGCTGCATTGCCGCAGATGTACTACACCGCAGTGAATGTGTGGATGGCTTTGGGTCAGTTTGGGCAGGTCGCTCGTCCTCGCGTCCTCGGCCACCGCGAGGATACCAGGCATACGACGGTGCATACAGGTATGTCGAAAACGAGAACCTCGATGTCCACAGGGACGTCCAGGACTTGTCACACCTCTAGAACCTGCTCTTCAGCAGCTCTCTTCGGTATGTAGCGCACAAAACTGCGATTAGCTCGCTATTCGACGCACGACTTTTCTCTCGTAGGTTTCGAGATCCTCGCCATTTGCGCGTACTCGTCGCCTCTCCCACCACATCGCAATTATGTCAATGTCTCTGGTCCCCTGCATTCGACTACCCCGTCTCCTGTTCTGTGACATGATAGGACCAAGATTTTATGCTTAGCCTCATGTACGTCATTGACAACGCAACCGCTGCGTCTTTGTCTCTCTTCTTCACGTTGGCCAGCTCGCCGACAAAGTCACGTCCAACGCTGCCGCCGGTCTATGCGCGCCTCCTACTTACCGGCGCCGCGACCATCCGCTCAGATAGCTGCATGAATTCCGGGGTCCTTATTACCGCACGGCCTCGCGACGCTCATGCTGCGCCCAGGAAGCAGCGCAGTGTAAGAGGCGAAGTCGGTCCGATCCCTGTTCTCCTGCAGAATGATTTGAGGCATGCCAGTGCTTCCATCTGCTAGAACTCGAGCCGCATGGGCGCTGAGTGTTGTTCGCCAGGCGCTCGTACCAGTGCCCTGACGCCGTGTTGAACGTTGTCTGTTCCTGTTCTCCCATGTGCTTGCAGAGGTTCGCCTTGACCAACTATAAGCCCATTGTACACCTTGCCTCCGTGCAGAGTATATGTCCTCACCATATCATGGGGTTAGCGATGCACTACTGATACTGCATCTTCAGTGAGCCATGATTTGGAACCCGCTGCCAGCTGTCATCGCCGCTCTGTCCTACCTCTCCTACGGTGGCTGGCAGAGTCTCTCCCCTCAGGCAAGTGCCAATGGCGATAGGTGGAACTGCCGTCCTTTCCTCCCGAACCTTTTCGTGGAAACACCTCCATCTCCTGGCCTCCCAGTTATCCGTGGTGCCACGAAGGCATTGAACGACTATTTTACGTCAAAGTTTGCACAGGGTGGTATCGACAGTCTCTCCGTCGCTGTCGTAACATCCAACACAGTGCTATACGAGAAGAACTTCGGAGTCTTGAGGGCCAACGAGACGAATTCTCCACCCACGACGAGCCATGCCTCGTATCGGATTGCCTCTATCTCTAAGCTCTTCACCGTCCTCGAGGGGTTCATCCTGGAGCAACGTGGTATCATATCTTGGTGAATGACTTCGTATTCCCACGCTGTGATAGAAATTGACTGTGAGTCTTAGGGACGATCCTGTCGACAAGTACCTTGAAGACTTCAGGTATCGCTTAGACGGTCTTGATCCGCACGGACCTCAGCCGACACCGGAGGAGGCTCCGATCACACTCCTTCAGCTCGCGACTCACATGTCTGGCCTTGGTCGGGACTGGCCTCCTGGATCGGCCGCAAACTGGCCATATGAAGTCAGCGGTGGCGGACCGCCGCCGGACAACGGACGTCCGTTCCCCACGTACGAGGCACTTTTCGACGACCTGCCTAAACACCACCTCGTGTCCTATCCCTGGACATACCCCTCTTACTCTAACACAGGGGTCGGTATCCTAGGACTTGCACTCGCTGCTGCAAGCAGTGCGGCGGACGGAAACTACTCCAGAATCTCCCATGCTGACTTGCTACAACGGGATATCTTTGGCCCCCTGGGGCTGAACGGAAGCCACTTCCTCGCCACCGATCAAAATAAGGACTCCATTGTGATATCTTCTGTCATGCCGGAGGTTGTGGTATGCGAATCATACTCGTCGGCGCGCATACGAACAGACACTGACGTTCCACTCCTAGGACGACGACTTCCTGAATCCCATGAATCCTTCGGGCGGTCAATTCTCCTCCTTGTCCGACTTCATCATGCTCGCTCAGACGCTGCTGAACCCTCGACATCCGAAGAGTCCACTCACGCAGTACTCGCTGAACAGATGGTTCAAGCCAGTGCACGCGTTCGAGGAGGACGACTGGACGGAGATGGGCTTCCTATGGGAGGTCATCAAGGCCCGAGACTCCAGCGGACGCCTTCGGAGGATCTACTGGAAACGTACGTTCTCCGAGTCTAAGCGAATACGTCGTCTCTTACTCGATTATCCCCTTCGTTATGCGTGTGTAGTAGGAAACCTGCCAGGTTTCAATACTGTTATCGCCGTCCATCCTGGGTCTTCGTACAGCGTCATCGTCCTCATGGCTTAGCTCATATCCCGATGCCGCAGAACTTGCATACGACGCCTTTGAGATTATGCAACCTGGCATCGATCGAGCACTTTCTGACTTGGTAAAAGAGCTGTACTCTGGGCAGTGGGTAGTGGTTCAGCCTGGACAAAATACGACCGAAGGCTCGTCTGCCACAATCACCGTCCACAAGGGCACGCTCTATATCGACGAATTCATCCTCCTCGGTGTCGACGCGCTTGAGAAAATGGACGCTAAGGGCCGCGTGGCGTTGCGCCCAACGCGGCGCGACGAGTTCCGGTACGTAAGATCACATTGAGTGCTGTGATCCTCCTGACGCTCCCTCGGTTCTCTAAGTTTGGATATCGGCCTACCGTTGTATAACGGCAAACGGCACACGGCCTGCTTCCCGTACTGGGTTGGGCAGGACTCGTGGGGGCTGCGCGACAATGCCCCGATAAACGCAATCTACTTCACTAGTTCGGGAGAGGGCCGGCGATTGCATTTTCCATCTCTGTCTATGGTCATGGAGAGGATGAGGTAGGGTAGGTTTTCAGCTTCGACCTTCCCATCGCAGAGGGATGCTCCTAATCGATGTCCTCAAATTTCAGCGCTTCGCCATTCAAAGCAGTCGAAGGGGAATGAGGCAAGTGCGAGTAACGTGCAGAAGACATTCCAGAACTCGGACGAGGAGATCAGTTCATCTCACAGCGCTACTATCGCATAGGACTCGTCCGAGATAATGAACTATCTCAAAATCGTAATGTCTACAAGCCAACATGTTGTGCAGGGCACAGGGTGTACATGAGTGTCGTTCGAGGGACCTACAACGAGGGTTATCAGAGCGCTGGACGCTGGACGCTGAACACTGCTGCGCGCGGAGGAAGCACATTAAGATCATACCTGATGTATAAGTGGCATTCTCACAAGAGGTCCGCAGGAATATATACGTGATACACGTAAACTGTCTGCCTCACTAGCCATAATGAAACGACGACAAGACTAATGCGACTAATACGTACAGCAGGTTGCTCTCGACCAAGTGCACGACAGTCTTTCTCAGACTGGAACTAGTCAATCAAGCACACTCCCCAGTTGACGTTGCCCCAGTTGTCCGCACGTCTGACCAAGACGCTCCCGCCCGACCTTAATTTGACCCGTTCTTCAGTACCAGAAGAATCGGCCGCTTGGATGATGCCGTCGACGCTGCCCGGGCTGGCAACGCGAATGCTGTTGTTACCGCCCAATATCGAGTTGGGCAGTCCATTTCGATGCAAAACTTGTCCTTCCCAACCGTGAATTCAGCACCAAACAGCGAGCCGTAGAAGCTCAGCGCTCAGGGCCCAACCCCCCGCGTGCACTTTCTGGAAGGCGTACCAGGCTGCCGGTACCCATCGTCCCTTCTCACTTGCCCGACCTCCATAGTGTATCTGACCTCGCCGTTTTCGGCCTTGTGATCTGTCATGTCTACATCGGTGGTAGTGTTGTTGACGACGAGCAGCACATTCATAGCGTCCTTTGTGAGCAGGTACGTTGCCACTATACGAAGTAGGTAGATTAGCTTATGGACAAGCAAACACGGATGGTCGGAATGGCACAGCCCCTCTACAGGCGTAACACGATTCTAGCACCTCAGTCTTCGCAAGTTGCCAGCGAACGTACATACCTCCAAAGATTCCAGACGAGAGGATTAATCCTGTTGCACCCACTACCACTGTCCTCAGCCCATGTTCCAGCACCGTCACCGCCACGACTTGGACCATCCATTTCAGGCCACTCTCACCGTCTTGTAGACAGCTGATAATCTCGGCAACGCGACCACGCCGCAGATCAGCATCATCACGGTCCCCCAGCCGGACTTGGTCGCATTCACGATGGCGTTCAGGTCTGTGCGAAGTTCGTGAAGTATCTTCTCCAACGCGTCTCCCTTCGCAGAGCGCAGCTGCATCAGCTTGCGCTCGGTGATCATGAACTGGCCCGCGCTTCCGGCATTGACGTTGGAAGCAGCCGGAGGTTCCGTCGCGGGTGTCAGAAGATCGTCCACCTGTTTCTCCTCCAAGTCTGCGTTCATCCGGGTGTCGGTGGACTCCCAATCGCGGCACGACAGTTCCAACGCCTCATAACGGACCAACAGGAAAGTCTTCACATCCTGCGCCGGTGGGTAGCCTGTTTGGAATAGGATGCCGATCTCAATCGCCGTCTTCGGCCCGTCCTTGTCCCGTGACGGAACGGCAAATTGCCCGTCTAGATGCGTCGTGGTGAGCGTAAGGCGTACTCTAGAGGGATGGGTGCAAACAAGCGGAGCGGAATTCAAAACGCACGTGCCAATGTCTTCTGCAGCTGGTGGACGAGCGTGGCTGCATCTATGAAGACCTTGATAGGATTCATCAGGGACAGGTCGGTGGTACACTTACAAAAAGCCATCGTGTGGTTGGTGGTAGGCATGATGGCGTGCGTGGAAGTAGCGAGATAGTCTGCTCGACTGGGATGAGGGATACGACTGTCTTCCCTGTTTACGTAGTAGAAGCGAAGCCGAGGAGCAGCGGTACTCAAAAGGAGAAACGACGAACGTGCATCTGCAGCAACGCAGATGATACTGTAGATAAACCAGAGTTTCGCCAAGCTTCCGAGTCCGTGTATCCCAGGTGTCCTCGAATATCACCTGTCATGGTTATCTATGGCACGCATGTTTAGACTCCGAGTTTGATACAGCTTATGCCGTCACCGTTGAAGCTGTCAGCAGAGATTAGTTGTGCGTTTGCGACTTGCCAGTGAACGGGATATGGACATATACTGACCTCATATGATCTCGGGAGTCTCCGGATCGTCTATGTCACCTGTGTGGCACTTCATCAACTTTCTTCGGTGCAGTAGCATCATCAACCCATATAAACAAACTGATACATGCCGATGACGGTCATAGATTCAGGAGCATCATGCGGCGGTGGATAGGGAAGCAGGTAATTTGAATCAGGCGGGACTCCGTATTCTTCCACGTGTTCACTTCTGGCTATGATAGACGACAGCTTGTAAATCTACTGTACATCCAATGTTAGTGTGCATGAATATACATCAAGCCGCCCCACCTACTGCATGAATAAGCGCTTACTGACATAGCCGTTCTTCACGCGAGGTTGACGTCCAACCAAAACACTGAGCCGCAGAGAAATGCGGACGGCTCAGATGACAGACGTGCTCGTGTGGTACGTCAAGTGAGTGATTCTAGCACGACGATGCATAGTCGATTCAGTAGTAACAGTGATGAATTAGCCCTCAAAACCCCGGAGATTCGCATATACAAGTCAAAACGGTTCGCTCAGTCGAGGTCCTCGAGTGCAATGCGCGCAGCACGAGCAGCCCGGGTTCCCTTCGACAGTAGAGTTAGACAGGGATCTATTAAGGGTGAGAGAGGACGAGAAGAGGTGTTACGTACGACAGCTCCATCCTCACGCTTCTTCGGCGAGTTCTGAACAACAACGCAGTTCCCGAAGCCACCGGCGGTCTTGAGCGAGACGAGACACTTGTTCTTGCTCTTACCGCCCTGGCACGCGGACGGCAGCTGAATGATGAGCTCCTCCGGGCCGACGTTGGTCGGGTTCTGCGTCGACGAGCAGCATACCGTCAGATTTGAAACAGCAATAGGAAACTGGATAATCACGGACCTTGGTGCCATTCTTCTTGACGGTCGCCTTCGTGAACTTCTTGCCGGTGCCGGTGACGTCGACCAGAGCAGAGACGATTTCGCGAGAGCCATCGACACCACTGTAGACGTGCATGAGTCGGGGTTCGCGGATAGGACTATGGCTGGTCAAGGAACGCACGTGTTGAAGTTGGTGATGGTAGCGTCGAACGACTTGTCCGCCTTCAACGTGATAACGCTCGAGCTGTCGAGCTTCTGAGCAATATTGGTGTTGCCGCAGGGCTTTTCGTTCGTAGGCCGCTGGACGTCATTACGAGTGGGCTTGCCGTTGACACCGAGTACGGGCGTAATCGCGGCGTGCGCGCTGACCTCCATCGAGACGGAGAAGAGGACGATGGCGGCGGCGATGACGGACTTGGAGAAGAACATGATGACCTCGGTATAAGTGAGAAAGGAAGAGGCTGAAGGCGTAAGAAAGAAAGACTAAGGGCGTGAAGAGGATCCGGCCTCGATATGGTGAAAGAGAATGGAAGACGGCGGGACAGCGGGGTGCGCTGAGCGAGGGCTGTCAGGTATTTATTCGCATCTCCCTTCCGGTACATCCAACCGATGGACGCATCAAAGCGAGCGCGAGCATTCAATGCCCTGCCGTGCCCGGGAGGCCGCTGCCAATGAGCGGTTGCAACACTGATGGAGGTGTAGTGCAGCGGCCGTTTCAGGCAACACCAGGCACAAAACCGTCATTGGTTCATCGACAGACGATGTCGGGCAGCCCTCGACGATCACAATAATGAGCATCCAGCAGTCGTATTCCAGTCCAAGCTCACGAGGTCAATATTCGGGGAATATGCGCTGAGGTGACATTGTTATGACCAGCCAGTACAGTTTACAAGGCAGAAGAGTCGTATCACTCACATCAGCTCGGGACCACAAACACAAGGGCGCGCAAAGGTGGACAGCACCCGCTCGCGAGAATGGATTGATCAAGGTCGGTCCTGCGTTGAGATCACTCATGGTAGCCCCATCAAGTATACCGGTACGGCAGCATACCCCGCGTGATGAGACAGGCCGTGCTAGGGTATTGCGAGCTCTAGAGCCCCGCACGTGCTATACGTCCTCAACCACAGGTAGTAAGCCATCCTAAGCGAATACGAAAGCATGGCTGTATCTGTCGAGTACAGGATACCCTTCAGGAGAGGAGGTGTATCCGCAGGATACATAGGGAGACCGGGAGCGTTCTGCTTGGACGATGGAACATTCATCGCGCGCTTCGTAAATGTCTTACAAGACATCAGCGCGAGATGGCGGCCTTACAGTGCCATGCGCGATCACATCATACCCACATCAAACGGTCAGATGGGCCATGAGCTGTGCATATGTGCCTGCAAGACATTCATCGTCGAGTGCAACGGGGATACACGATCGTCAATGGTACGTACAGTACGGAGTCTTGAGGACGATGATCACGCCAGCCCGTAGACAAACTCGTGACCGTGGTTGGTGTGGAATCAGCGTACGCAGGGAGAATCGTAAGTCGCACGATCTGTTTATTGGTACGGTCGACCAGACGTGGTTAGATATTGTAGAGAAATGAATGGTGGAGTGGAAGAAGTGGGCCAACGTTGAGTAGCGCCGTCGGCTGACGCATCGACCTCGTCTCTCGAGTCGCAGTCGGCGGTCAGGCCGAGCTCGGAGCAGCTCGCGTGCCGCATTCCTTGACTTCGCTTTTCTGCATCCACATCTATACCTAAGGGCACAGCGAGAATCACGACGTCCACCATACTAGTCTCCTGGTCTACCTAACCTACTGCGTCGACTCCAAGGCCTCGCACACGGCCTGCACTCATTCACCACCCACACGATCGCGGATCTGACTTCCGTCTACGCGCAACGTAGAACCGGATTGCTTTCATATCCTGCAGCGCGCGAGGGCTATACGACATCGGGAGACCACTCTGAGCTATCTATACACTCCGTATAACATGACGACATCCGCACAATCCGATGGCGCGAACACTTTCAACAACACTTCCGGGGAGTCGTTCTCCGCCGAAAAGTACTTTGCCACCCAACCGCCACCGCCGTCTCTCGAACAAGATGTCGCGCGCGTGAAGGATTTTCTGCAGAAGCAGCTGCAGGAGAGGCGGAAGGTCGTGCTCGTCACGGTGCGTTCTCCGAGACTATCCTTCGCGCTGATTTGGGCTGATCCGCGATTCTTCTCCGCCTCGTCGATCTACAACATAGAGCGGTGGGACGACAGTACCCCTTGAGCTCAATGTGTGAGCATGCGTCCCAGCTCCTCGTCCGTGTGCAGGCCGCGTTTGGCTGACGCAGTGGGGTCTCTCGTAGCGTGCGGTTCTTGGATAACTTCAGTGCCGGTGCGTTGACTCGAGCACCATTTCCGGCCCCACTGAGGCATACTGACTTCCGATGTAGGGACGCGTGGTGCAACATCCGCGGAATACTTCTTGAAGGCGGGCTACGCCGTCATCTTCATGCACCGGCAATTCAGCCTGCAGCCGTTCAGCAGACACTACTCGCACTCCACCCACCCTTTCCTCGATTTCCTCGACATCAATGAACCCTCCGGCTCATCAGCACCATCCTTCGGAGACATTGCCGTGCGCCCAGAGGAACGCGCACAGCTGCTGGAAGTCCTCTCTACGTACAAGGCCGTGCAGCGCGCGGGAACACTGCTGACTCTCACCTTCGTCACGGTGAACGACTACTTGTGGCTGTTGCGAGCGGTGAGCCAGGAGATGAGCTTGCTCGGGAGGAACTGCCTATACTATCTCGCCGCGGCCGTCAGCGATTTCTTTCTCCCGAGACAGAAAATGGTGCGTAGTTTGTTTCCGGCCCCTTTGTCGCCCGTCCTGCACGGTTGTGCTTCGTACGACCTACCATCTGGCCTCTTGTGCTGATGTATGCGCTCATATAGTCCGTACACAAGATCCAATCCGGCAAGGGTAGTCTACACATCGAGATGGACCAGGTGCCCAAGATCCTCAAGCCGCTCGTCGCCGAGTGGACGCGCGAGGGGTTCATCGTCTCATTCAAGGTGCGCCATACCCACGTCCTGCCCCGCTTCCCATAGACCATCATCTCATCGCTCACAATGCCCTGCAGCTCGAGACAGACGAGGACCTGCTCGTCCCGAAAGCGCGTCAGGCGCTCGCGCGATATGGCCATCAAGTCGTCATCGGAAACGAACTCCATCGGCGCAAGTTCGAGGTCGTGTTCGTCTCCCCGAAGTCCGCTTCGCCACCTTCCGCCTCTCCCGCGCTCTCTACAGAAATCGCAGAGCCCCCGTCGGCGGACTACGAGGAGACGTGGCTGACGATAGACTTGGAGCAGAACCCGGAAAAAGAGATCGAAGAGGACATTGTGGCTGAGCTTGTACGGAGACATGCACGTTGGATTGACAATGCTACCAGGAACGTATGAATCGCTTGGGTCTCTGACTGTGGAGTTTGCTGTACCCTCCATTGCGGAAACAACAACGCTATCAGTACATTGCACTTGCGCGCGCAGACCCAGGAAACGTAAAGAGCGGGGTCTGCAGGCGTAGCTGTTCACCGCAGTCAGAGTGTGCCTGCTAGCATCTGTTTAGTAGGCCATTGTTCTACTCGCGATCGGTCAGTATCTTGCATTACCTCGGCTAGGTTTGATTCTCACAACGCCTCTCAGCAGTGTGTGGGCGACTTTCGCTCATCCTGATAGCTCTCCGCTATCGCCGTCCGTATAGATCGTCGCGCGAGGGCCACAAGTGTCTACCATATCCTCAGCAAACGCACTGGAGGTGGATGGTCAGTACAATCCAGGCTCCAGAATCCATCTACAAACGCCGATGGATGATAGCAGGGAAATTTTTCGAGGAGACGCGTTGATCGTGCTTGGCGAATGGGTGTGCTGGCTTCTGCTGGTATGTACAATGAGCTGCGACATTACGGAACTATCGCCCCATCTGGACGCGGAGACTGACTGTCGTTAAAGCCGCACTCAGCTACGCTGAACGGTGATGTGAACTTTCAATCGACGTCGCTAACGTGGGCAGTCACTAGTGACTGTCGAGCGCCGCTCGTCTAAATATCTTTCCATCGGTGTCTGGCGTTGGTGACGACTGTACATACGTGGCCTTGCTCTATGCTTGAGCGAAATTCAAAGCCTGAGGTTGTCCTAGGTCATCATGGTACCGAGTACTCGGCCCTATGACGACGTAGTCCTGCAACCTGTAGGCCCCGGGGCGTAGCCAAGTCAGGCGACGTAACCTGTTGTCCCCAAAATGCTAGCAAGGCCAAGAGAGGGCCACACCATGTCTCCGATAGTTCGCGGCGCTGTCTCGGACCATTGCTTAAACTCTTGTGGCCGATGTGCTTCTGATAGCTTGCATAGACCCATTGCGTGCGTTTCTGCGAGAGTCAAGCGCAAGGCATAGCGAATGGACCGGAGGACGAGCTCCCTCGCTAAGTCGCCTTGTCGACCGTCCCTTGTTCACATCAACGCGGCCAAAATCCGACCAGACGAAGTCAGGCCCGTTGCATAATCTCCGAATTGACTGCAATCGTACAACATGACGATGTCTAGACTTCTTCTATTACCTGGACTTCTTCTACACGTCCGACGCTCCCCTTTGCTGGGCTTTTGTACCGCTTGCATGCGTTTTTTCACAGGTCGCTCTCCCCGTCGTATCTGAAGCGACCACGACAGATCTTCACGCTCGAGGACGCATCATTGGTAGCGGTACTCGCTGCCGCTGCCGCCAAGTACACCCTCCTCAATGGCCTTGATTTCTACGACCGCGCCGAGCGACAACAATCAGCACGTTGCAACGAGGGGGAGTGTGCGGACACGCGAGCGAAGGGAAGGGACACTCACGCAGCGCGAGGTGCTTCGAGTGGAAGCGGCACCACATGAGGTTGCCCATCATGAACCAGAAGTTGGGCACGCCGGTGTCGCGCCAGACGTTCCTGAGCTCGCCCTCCTCGTCGAGGTTCCACATCGGCTTCACGCGCGACGCGATGTCCTCCCCGAGGAGCTTCTTGATCGTCACCATCGGCGAGTCGAAGCTGCGCGATGATATGTTGGGTCAGCAGTTGCAGCGGGACGCGAGAGGGTAGCAACGGGAGAGTGGAAGAGCGGAGCAGATAGAGAGACGGGGGCCCAAGCACAGTGGACGGAGAAGGACGGGGATAAGGAGAACGGGGAGGGGAGGGGAAACATACCCGGTAGCAAACAGCACGACATCCGCGTCAACCGTGCTCCCGTCCTCGAACTCGAACCCGGTCTTGGTGAATCGTTTGATTTGGCTATCGTTCTTCAGCTTGATCTTGCCATCGATCAGCAGCTGCGATGCGCCCACGTCTGTTCTCAACCACAGGCGCGTCAGTGCTCTTTCCGCGCAAGGGCATACACGAAGGTAAATCGGGATCGCGACGCACCGAGGTAGTACCCGCCCCCACGTCTCCGTCCCATAGCTGTGAAGCCGCGCCCGTCAGGACCCAGATGCGTCCGGAAACCAATCTTGTGCAGTCCGTCGAGGAGCTCCCTACAGGACACCCGGGGAGATTAACGATTCTGATACTCATGCACTAGATGTTCGTCGAGGAACCTACTTGTCTGCCTCCGCGATAGCAGCGGTTTGCCGCTTTGCGATCTCCTCAGTGAGCCAGGTCGGCAACGACGCCTCGATGCGGTCCGCGACGTCCGTCGGCCACTGGCCTTCCCACCAGAGGTCTACGAAAGCGCGAACGCCCGACGCGTCAGACAACCATGTAGACGAGGGCGTAGGAACGGTACGTACTGCCGTTCAGTATCGGCATGCCGCGCTTGGTGGTCATGATGTAGGTGTTGTCGCGCTGGTAGATCGTGACATCTGCACCGCGCGCAAAGCGTCGTCAGGGGAAAGGAACGGTCGCGAGATCTGCACACATACAGCCCGCTACTCACCTACACCATGCTCCGCATAATCCGCCGCGATATCGTGCGCTGTCCATGCCGCTCAGTCCTCGCATTCATTACGCCATACGCGCGACACGCACCAGATGTAGCAGCCCCGACGATGAAGACCTTCTTCCTCAGATGGTCCCGCGCCGAGTTGTGCTGCGTCGAGTGCAGCACCTGACCCTGGTACTCTTCCTGCCCCTCGATCTTCGGGATGAACGGGTTGTTCCCGCCGAGGCCGATCGCGGACACGAGGTGGCGGACGTGCAGCACACTCGTCGAACCGTCCGCGCGCTCTACGGTGACGTCCCACTCGTTGTTGGCGTCCTGTGTGGCCTTCGTCACCGTCGAGGACGTCCACACGTTCAGCTCGAGCGCGTCTGCGTAGAATTCGAGCCAGTTCGCGAGCTTCTGCGCCGGCGTGTAGACCGGCCAGGTTGGAGGGAAGCTGCCTCGTGGGGGTCAGCGGCGGAGAATGGCATGGCGGGCGTGGGGCACAAAATTCGCTCACGGGATGTACGGCAGGTGGTTGGACCCTGACAGACGCGAAGACACGCTCGGCAAACGCAGTAGCATCCGGAGCAACGCGCGTACTCACAGACAGGATCGTGCAAACACAGGGCCTGGTACCGGTATCTCCACTGGTCCCCGACCCGCTTGTTCTTCTCCACGACCAGGGTCGGGATGTCCAACACCTTCAGGCGCGCCGCGAGATCAAGCCCGCTCTGCCCGCTGCCGATTATGAGGACCGTAGGGTTGCTGTCTACGAACTCGCGCTCGCGCTCACGCTGCGCGAGCCACTTGCCGTGGTTAGGAAGGGGGTTCCTGAGTGCGCCGATCTTCTCCGGGAAGTCCTTGAGATCTTCGAGGTTCGTGTAGAACGTGAAGCCAATCCAACCGCCCTCTGAGGTCGGGATCAGACGGAAGATGCCGCTGCACTGGCCCACCTTCGTCTGGAAGGTGAACTGGCCGAGGATCCAGGCGAGATCAGGGTAGAGATTCTGAAACTTGGCGTCGGTGAGCTTGAAGTTGGTAGGGGCGTTCACGGAGAGCCTGTCCTCGAGGAACTTGCGGATTTTGGGCGCGGTGTGGAAAGTGCGGAATGCCCAGGTCAAGGCGAGCATGTCGCGCCACCAAGCGTCGGACGAGAAGAGCGAGAGGACGCCATCGATGTCCCCGGATTCAGTGTACTTGGCGAACGAGTCGAGCCAGAGCTGTGCGACGTTCCTCACGTCGACATCGGCGGGGATGGCAGACACGCCGAGACGGTCAAGAGTAGGCAGGATCTCAGAGTAACCGTCAGTGGCCATAGCGAACAGAGACCCAATCGAAGAAAGGTAGCCCCTGTCTCATGATCGAATTTTATAGACAGTGACCCGGGGAGGGCAGAGAACCCGGAGAATGCAAGTACCCAGTCCCGAGGCCGAGTCCATCCAAGACGAGATAATCTCTTCTTCTGACGTGCATTATTCCCACACCCTCGTCGCGTCCATCGAGTCCCGATCCTTGAAGCAAGTCTGGCAGTGGTAGCTAGCCCCGCTCCGTCCCCACCCGCTGCTTCGAGTTGAGAGCAAAGTACGGGCTGTAGTAGGATTGTGAATTTCATCTTATCTTTTATCTTCGCGTGGATCACTGACCTCACGTGATACATCGCTCGGACCGGACACCGCGACCGCTCCGTTGGCATAAGCGCTTACAGAAGTGCAGCGTCGAACACTACAAGTATCTCTCTATACGCGGTGTCGGTCAGCGCATACACTTACTTGTCCTGACTCCTATGCTCTCACCCAACATCACACTATTTCGACACGCACGCACATCTTTGTTTTTGTGTTTGGTCCTACAAATGAGGTTGAGAGAATGGATGTCGATAAGCATACACCATGCATATACTCACCTATTCGATGCTGTCAGTCAAATGTACTTGGCACATCCGACTCCACAACCAGGTCTGCGGAGACTGACCTGGCGGCCGGCAACCGTCTTCCGCTGCATACGCCGCGAAGATGTCATATCAGCTTGGCGCATACAGGGATGTACCGCGCACCGGATGGTTATCCCGCGGAGACAAGGCGATGGATTGGCGTGAGCGGAGGAAGAGGGCGAGTCCCGTCGCACATCGTACTGTGAGTCCGTCTCTTGTATTGTATGCTTTTGTATTCTTCGCGCGTTCCCGAAACACACCCTCGACCCGAGCGCACACCTTCACGCGACCCGACATTGCAAGGGATTGGCTAAAGTACGCGATTCTCCCTTCCTCCGCTCGACTATCGTGTTTACTACGCCTTGGAGGGCCGGTGTAGCAGGCACGCGTCGTGTCTTGCTTGAAGTAAGTCTTTCGTGTGCCACCGACCAAACGATGCTTCCTATGCACGTCATGCCCCCTTTACATGTTGACCGGAAGCCGACATGGTTCGCAAGAGAGAGACTTGGGAAGTAGTACGGAACGATGCCCGAGCCTCACCGCTTTGCGTTCAAGCTCCTCTGATCAGCCCAACTCCATGAGGGAGTCCAAACACATGCGATCCGAAGACCAGGTCAACATGCATATCAAATGTCTTACTGCGCTCGCCGCCCATGCCCACACTTACATAACGGCAGCCTCACCTCACCTTCCGTTCGCCATTCACCGGTCGTCCAGGTGTCGTAGAGCTCTTTGAGGGTCAAATTCGGCTTGCACCAGCGCTGAAGACAGGAACGTTTACATATCGGCCATCAGTCTGCACGATCAACGCACGCTCCTCCATACATACATATCACACAAGTGTGATTTGTACGGTTTGCGTGCGTGCGTTTGTTGGCGAGCACACGCCGAGCAGATTTTGCCGATTTGTTACGGCATTCGTTGTGAGGATGCGGTCGTCAATCAGCAGTGTCCCGGGAGCATGGTCAATGATCAAGGGACACTCCAACTCGTGTCAACTCGCATCCCCCACGCCCGTCTTCGGTTTGACTATGTAAGGTAAGCACACTGCACGTTTCCCTGCTCGTGGATGTAAAACGTGCTGACAGAGCTGATCCTCCTCGTGTCGTTCCTTCGCGCTCTGATGGTGTTTTACTACGGTCGTGCCTGCTATTCAGGTGGAAATGAGACAGGGTCGGTTCGCGGCATCCGCCCCTGCGTATCCTGGCTTGATATGAGCAACCTATCGACCCTGCCGATAGTTGTGACAGCACGAGGAGGAAGTGAGGTGGCCGGAGGAGCGGCGTTACAATCGCTTGGAACTGGCCCAATTCCCCACTCCGCCCAAATTGCCCGTGAGCACGTGGATCGGGATTTCAATGCTTGAGTAAGTATGGTCGTGTTGGGAATATGCCTAAGACACGACATCTACTACTGACGCGCCCCACGCCCAGCCCTCGAACTCCGCGTCTTCTAGAGGCCTCGATAAGGGCGCATGTCGCTCCCAACGCCCCTTCTACGTCGCCCGCTTTGCCATCGATGACATCCCGACTCAATGGACGGACAGTTCGACTGATATTCCCGCATTTGAAGCACATGTTTCGGTCGAGCGTGAGATCTCCATACTTCAAATTCCCAACAAGCGCCCATGACGAGGTGAGCCACCGCCGCGACGAAGCACTGAGCAGATGCGCCGTCACTTGTAGCTCGGAGCGCAAACGCAGAACGTGTCACAGGTATTGCAGCCGCGGGTCTCCGAGCAGCCGTGGTTCCTGACACTCCTCGTCCGATACAGTTGAGAGTTCAGTGTTGCACCCATGGCTGCTGAGCTACTTTGCGGATTCTGCGGAGTCCGTTAGCGTCGGGCTGATCGACTGAACCTTGTCGTACGTCCCAGGGTCCAGAGAAGTTCGGGCCCATCCGACATGTTCGCGTCAGCAAACGGTGTTCATCCGGCGGCAGCTCGATTGACGGCTCCCGAAGACGTCCGATACGTACACATCCCATATCATCGCATACGACCACCCGGGCCCGGGATGACATTGTATCTGATTGAAGTTCCAGATACAAGTCCACGCATCCGGGCAGACAGGGTGGGTAGAGAGAAGCGTCTCATGACATGCGAGGATTGGTCTGCTGCAAAGGGCTTGATAGGAACCGTTCCACTAGCTGAGCATGTTCCTGGGCTCCTCCGCGGTGCCATTGGAAGCTGCGAAAGACGGACATCGTCCCGAAGAAGCCTTTACTAATATGGAGAAACTGGTATATGTATGCAGTCTATGTGTGATGACGGCGCCTCACTTGAGTTACTTCTAGAAATCGACAAAGAACAGTCCCTCGCGAATAGTAGACCAGTAGGACGGGAGCGTTATTCTTGCAATACTGATCGAAGGTAATACAGGCCGGCTGCACTAACCTGCAGAGGGTAACGATGTCCTTGTGGCGCAAGTGAACAAATTCTACATAGGAGGAAAAACACCGAGACAAGGCGAGGGAGATCCCGAAGATGTCATGAGCAAGGAATGCTGTCTTGGTCAGGGAGCTCTCCACAGCGTCTCAAGTTTGCAACACCGGGAGCAACCTTGCCGATCCCGGAGCTTTTGCTGCTCGAGGCGGGCCAAGTTGCGCTTCTGGCAGGAACGCTGTCGTAATGTCCCGTTATCAGACTTCGCGAAAGCAGGCAGCTCAAGCTCAGCTGTTATCCACACTATACTAGGTGCGCCCATAGTTCCTTCGTGATGCTGAGCCTCGCGTCAGCTGTGTACTATTCTCTCATAGGCACCCCCTCAAGCCACACCAGAAGATATTCGAGGGTTCCGAACTGACCGCATACATCAGCTTCTGTAGGTCCGCTGCCAGAACGTACAGCAGGTACGGTATTAACTTCCAAATCCAGTCGAGATCAGAGTCCGTGGAACCTGGAACCTGTTGATATGTGCGTGAGAGGCGTTCGTGTTATTTCTTGCCCTTCTGACCGTACCGGTGGAAGGATGTCTTCTGCCTGGTCATGATGTTGGACGATAGCTGCCATTTACATCCCAGTTCCAGCGTACGGTTCTCTAACCGTGGTCTTTCACTACATGTGGACGTAAAGGAAAACACTAGCGCCTCCGAGGGTTGAAAGTTGAACGTCGGACACCCGATGGGAAGGTCGGCCACGCTAGCCACGCCATTGACATCCCTTTTGGAAACAATGATCCGAGGCGCAACGCGGCCGAGTGGGGCTTATGTACAAACGACCTCAGTTAGTGTCGGCTAATCTGAATATCTCCTGCTGCTTGGGTTCTGATGAGGCTTTGCGGATAGCTAGTATGCTTCGAAACAGTCTGACACCAACACGGAGTCTTAAGACTTGACATATCTGTGGGCACCGACTCCCAAATGTATTCAAGAGGTCGCAAGTCGTGTCCAAGCATTCAGAGCAGACGGAATGGATCCTAGAACGCTAAACCTGATGCGACGTCATTGATCTATCGGAGCTTTCGCGTGCTGGGGGACTGAATACAAAGCGTCCACGCGAGTGGCCGAGCACAACTCGCGAACGTGGGCATATCGTCGGGACTTGGCGGCGGTTCCGAGCGAGGGCGTCTCACAATTTTCCCACCCTAGCACCGTCCCGACCCCGACTACTGTGACCGTGATGTTTCATCAAACCTCCCAAGGTTTATTCGGTGAATATTCCGCGCAGCAACCAATTCCGCACAACGATGGGCGACAGTCAATGGTTTTATGTAAGTCCCGTTCTGGTCACGCACCACATTCACTCCCCAAGCGCGGCGGGCGCATGGGCCCTACGCGCGCCGGATATTAATATTCTTCGCTGTCCTCCCGAGAAGCGGTTTGATAGCTCAAAAACATCTTCCCTGATCTTCAACAAGTTACTCTGATTCGAACCGCCCCTTGGCCTCCGACCATGCTTCCACCGAATCTACAGTCCGAATCTGCGCAGGCCTGTCTCAAGCTTCCTTAAGTACGTCTTCGCGTCCAGCCTACCGGCGAAGCAGCATTACTGCCGCCTCTCCCTGGTCATGTCGTCCTTGCCTAAGTTCTCGCCGCCCCCATTCTCACCCGTCGTGCCCATTCCAGAATACCTTCTTCGCGTCGCGACCTCCTACCCAGATCGTGAGGTGGTGTGCTACCTGCAGGACGCCCTCTCCGAACAAGATGCTTTCACCACCTCCATCACATGGCGTCAATTCCTTGCCGATGTCTGGTTGAGGGTTGACTACCTTCTGGAGGTGACTGGGCTTGAGCCTCGCGCTGTTGGCAAGGAGCGCATCGTAGTCGGTCTTCTTGCAGAGAGCAACTATGATTTCCTAGTCGACCTTGTTGCCATGTTCACTTTGCGGTGGCAAGTACGGTCTTCCCCGACTTCTCTTCTAATGTTCGTTCCCCTCACCTGTCGCTTCGCGCGATGTTGTAGGTCCTTCTCATTTCTATTCGCAACTCTCCGGACGCGATCTTCCACCTCATGCAGACCACCAACTGCAGCGCGGTCCTGGTAGACAGCATGATCAGCCACCTTCACTTCGACGTCCTCCGAAAGGACGCCGCTACCGGTGTTACCCCCACTGTCATTGCGCATCCCCCCTTTGACCCAGACCCTACACGCGACGGAATAGCACGGGCACTGTCCTTTCTCTCGAAGTCCAAGACACACTCTGCGGCTGAGTTGAAGAAAGAGGCAGAAGGCGGAGCATTCTATTTGCACACCTCCGGTTCGACCGGTACGTGTTCATGAAACTCTTTCATCTCTTCTATTTCTCCTCGAGCGCTCCGACGGAGATACCATGTCTTGATCACAGTCGCTGACTGCCTATCTCAGGGCATCCTAAGGCGATTTCGTGGTCTCATGAGTTCCTGCTTGCGCTGTGCGCTGCGAATTACCGTGACCGTGCTAGGTGCAACGACGACGTGCTCTACACCTGCTTCCCAATGTTCCACGTGCGTGTCCGTCTCCCGTATCGGACCGACTTTCCGGAACGTGAGAGCTAACAATTGCCCTCCGCTCTACGTTTCATGCCGTAATTACATGATTCTGGCTGCAGGCGGGTGGGATTTGCACGGTACGTACATGTATGCTTTGTTTTGCGTCAGCCGGGGACGGCCATCTCACTGAACGCCGTACAGTCGTTCCCGTTCTTCCTCGGTTCTGGCGCATCGTTTGTCTGCCTTGACACATGGCGATCTATCTCTGTGGATGCCATCCTCCGTCACCTTCGCATTCTCAAGAAGCGCAAGGTCGACGCTTCGTTACCCCCGAGCATGCTTGAGGACATCGCCGACTCGACAGATGCGGCTGCAGTGGTGAGCACAGTGATGACAGGCCCTTCGCACAGTCCGGCTGAAACAGGTCTCAGGGTACGCTTGCCGCGCAGAATACGGTATTCTGGGGAGGCGCACCGCTTCGTGATAGTGCCGGCGACTACCTGGTGCGACATGGCGTCAAGCTAGTCGCTTGGGGCGGGTCGTATGTACAATGTCGCTCCGCTGAGCCGGTTATGTTGGCTGACACGATTATGACCTCATTCGTAGCACTGAGGCCGGCCCCCTTGCTCGCTCGTCGCTTGAGGAGAATGCGGATCCGGCGGATTGGATGTACATGCGCCTTGTTGATTACTACGAATTCAACTGGTATCCGATGAAGGGTGACCCTCATGGGCGATATAACCTCATCGTTTCGGTGAGTTCACTTGACGTCGATTATGTTTGTTATCGCAATTGACGAAGTATTATGCATGATCCTGCAGCCCGTTCATGCTACGCCTCCCATTGTAAACTCCCTCGATCCCATTGGTTTCGCGACAGTGGACGGATGGTTGCAACATCCTGACCCGACCAAGTCGCATTTATGGAAGCCAGCGGGGCGTTTGGATGACGTGGTACGTGATATGATTTCGACTATTTGAAGCACTAGTTGAACCGCAATCTACTAGACTGTGCTAAGCAATGGCGAGAAGACGGACAACAAGCAACTAGGTGTGCTTTTTGCCCTCACTTGCTGGAGGACGCTTTTAGCTTATACACGACAGAGGAGTTGCTTTGCGCGTCTCGATACGTCTATCAGGCTATCATCTTCGGCACGGGCAAGTTCGTCAACGGAGCCATAGTCATGCCACCCGCGGGCTTGGTGAAATCCGATGACGACGAGCACGTCGACCACTACCTGGACCTCATTTGGCCACACATCGAGGACCATGTCAACAAAATCGTGCCGCGCCATTCACGTCTCCTGCGCGGCATGGTGCTCGTTGCCCGTTCCGACCGACCGTTCCTGACATCAGATAAGGGCACCGTAAAGACCAAGGCGACGCTCGCGCTGTACAAGGAGGATATCGATCGTGCCTACGAGGCGCTCGAGCGCGGTACGGACGCTGCCACGGCAGGCAGCGACCTTCCTCTCCAAGCGGTCAAGTCAGACGAGTCCAAGGTGCTTGCGTTTGTTCACGCTCTCGTGTCCGATGCCATTGGCAGGAGCCTAGGTCCCGAGGACGATTTCTTCCGGAATGGGATGGATTCTCTCGTGGCGACGAAGTTACGTACATCCCTTAGCGCCGCCATCCGTCGCGTAGGCATTCCGACGGCCCTTCCGCGCAATGTCGTGTATACGCACCCGTCATGTACTGCGCTTTCGCGGTTCCTGATAACATTTGCGGCAGCCGAACCCGAGAAGGAGGATAGCGCTGCTGAGGGCCTGGAGGAGGAGATCGAGACGATGATCGACAAATACTCGAGGAACCTCCCTTGTCACGAAGGCAAGCGCGCGATGCCCAATGACGGTGATGTCTACGCTGTTACCGGCACTACAGGATCCTTAGGGGCGTCCTTCGTCGCCCACCTACTCGCACGACCACAGGTCAAGAAAGTCTACCTGCTGAATCGGGCTCACCGTTCGCAATCGATGGTCGCTCGGCAGGAGATGGCTTTCAAGGATAAGGGCCTCAGCATATCTCTGTTACGTCAAGCTATCGAGGAAGGCAGAGTCGTTTTTGTTGAGATCGAAGTCGGGAAAGATCGTCTCGGAATATCAAACGATGTATATGACATGGTATGTTTCACTGCTCTCGGTACAAACAGCACACTAAATCACGACTCGTTAGTTGACGTGGGAAGTGACGCATATTGTGCATAACGCATGGTTACTCAACTTCAACCTCCTCCTTCATCACTTCGAGCCCCACGTCGCGGGCACTCGTTCTATCATCGAGCTTGCGCTTTCATCATCCTATCAATGCCCTCCTCACATCACTTTCATATCTTCCATTGGGGCCACGGCGCGCTGGCCATTTCGTAAACGTCCCATCCCTGAGGCGGCCCTCAACTCTCCCGAGTTTTGCATCCCACAGGGCTACTCGTACGCGAAATATGTCTCGGAGCAAGTGATTCAAAGCGCGGTTGCCCACAGGCCTTGCCTTCGTGCAGCGATCATCAGATGCAGTCAGCTTTCTGGTTCCCTGGCGACCGGCGCGTGGCAGAAAAGCGAATATGTTCCTCGTCTGCTTCGGTCGGTGGATGCGTTGGGTATGGTCCCGACAGGACTCGCGGTACGTCTTTCTTTTGGCATGCACTCGCAATTCTGCTGACGAGCGCATTGCAGCCCGTCCGCTGGCTCCCGGTTGATGTCGCTGCCGACATGCTTTTCCGGGAGATCGAGCACGCGACTTCACAGCCCGCGCCTGGTCCTTTGCGTTATTACACCCTCGACACAACGCAGTACACGCCGTGGCAACGCGTCGTCGACTCTCTCGTTGCCTTGAAGCCTGAACGACGGCTCAAGAGAGTCCCCATGGCCAAGTTCCTTGACGAGGTACGCAAGGACACTGATAACCCAGCCTTCGAGGTTGCGGAGCATCTCGAAGACCTCTTAGTCGCGCATCCCATTCCCATGCTGTCTGTGACACAAGCACGGCGCGCAGCTGGCAACCTTGTTGACTGTGAGATCAGCGAGCAGCTCCTCAGAAGCTATGTCCGCTACGCTTGCTCGTGAGAACACTGGATTCTCTACAGCACAGGTATCTCTCATAGGAGATATTTATTCGTACTCATCGTCGTTTTCCTCCATTCTTCGTTGTCATTGGCACCGCTCACATTCGTCCCGGTCATTCTTGTCGCCCCTCTGACGCCCCCTGTCTCCATGCATCGCTCTCACTAGCTGTCCGTTCAAAGTATTTATCTCCTGAGCTATTCTTGTATACCTAGAGTGTAGACGTAGCTAGAGTCTATATCACATATTTCACTAGTACTGTGATAGCTGACTCAATTGTTCTGTGGTCTATGTGCCCACATTCCGAGCCTATTAGGAATGCCCCAATATGTTGACCGACGTCGACAAACAACCCGGCTTGATTGCGATTCTTTAAGGGCATTTCGTGGAGTATTAAGAAAACGTCGCTACAAAAGGTATATAACACGGGAAATCCAGAGGCGCTCGAGAGGCGTTTCAGTACTTCCAGATTCGGCGTGGTGCCACACAATGAACGCCCAAGCGGCTAAATTCGACGCTCGTCCCAGAAAACCGGGCATCCGACCGGACTCTGATACGTTTCAGAGAATCAAGAAGACCCGGCCGCGGCGCTTTCGACATTGCATACGAAGCTAGCACTCGGGATTACAGTGATTTGCAAAAAAAAACTGCAGGTCGCATCCGCGCGACAAGCTGTTTGCCCGTGTTTGTTCCCGGGCGTCCACGGAGATGCTAGCCGTTGAGACGATGCTTGAGTTGGCAGTCCCATGGCTGCTTCGGAATCAAACGGAAGTTATGTGTCTACACTCCTCCTCGTGCTGTATCTCATCCAAATGAATATAGGTACAGAGAATGTTGAACCCTTCCGTCCCGGACAAGCGCTCCCCGGGAATGCCAAGTAGGAACAAATAACCTTTCCCACGCGCGCGACCTGCAGTGTTTTTTTGCAAATCACTGTATGGCGGTCCATCTTGTAGAGCTTGTATCAGCAGATTATATGGCTATGGGCGGTACTGCAACCTCAGGATCTGCGTTAGGTACCCCGGATGTTAGAGCGGGTAAGAAGGTCCCGGAAGGTCCCGTCCACCTGATTGTCAGACTCCGGTCTGGCTTGCAGATTGCCTAATTCTGCGAGAGCATTCGAACGAGGAAGGTTTGACTACACCACTGAGCAGAGGAGCCTTCAGCAGCCGTCATCGGGAGTCTCACAGCGAACCAACGGGTAGGGATCGACGACATCTGATCGCCTATATTTCAACTTATGATGGGCCAGGGCTCTAGGTCTCCAAGATGCTGAAATTCCCTCTGCGGGTTCCACGGTACATGTTATGACTGCAGCCAAATCTTCCTCAACGCGTCTCAGCGCTCGGACCGTGGTATACTCCGAGGTTCCAGGTCCGGGTTGCGAGCTGAACGTAAGATATGTAGCTTCTGGACTGCGAAAACTACGCATCACTATGTCTACCGCTCATCTAAGTAGTCTGCGCTCCTCGTCCTGTTTCCAAGGCGGCGAGCGACTAACTTGAAGCAACAGCCTTTGGCAGGCAGCCTCTAAGCGGCGTACGTCGTCTGGCGAGTGACCATGGCATCCAATGATTGATCGCTGCGATGTACAGGAGCATCTGCCACTTCACCTACCGCTTCCCTGTCCGAACAATATTGACATTGATAAGAAACCGGCGACTGAGGGCATTTCGAAGAGATAGCGGTAAGATTCGTGCCCGAGGACGCCGCTCTACACAAGTCACCAGCACGTCGCATCCGATTGAATATATACTATAAAGAAATACCGTACAAAAACATCGAGACTCTAAACAATGCTACATGGCTATATCGCTATGTCCGAACGATAGTGCCATATAAACAGGGTGACACGGCGCGAACGTGAGGGAAGGATGTGGCACACGCGCAATACATTGGCAATAGACGTAAAACACAAACACACAAATCCCAAGGATCGCATGTACTACAACCCGCGACGCCCGCAGGTAACTGTAACACATAGGTGAAAGGAAAGTTTTGGGCTCACCCCCGTCACCCGTTGGTACTTCATGCTTAGCCCTCTTATCAGGGTCAAGATAAATATGTACACGAGCTGTGATCCTCAAGCTCTACGACGAGACACGCGATTTACACCGGGGAGAAGCTCTGGAGGTGGATGTCGGACCTAGGCTTGCGCTCCATCATTTCCAGATCATCGTTGAGGGTCTGCTCATAATTGAAGGGTCAGTTCCAGAGGTGACCAACAGGGAATGCTGAGACGTACTTGCTTGTCATCGCGATCCGAAGAGTACACGTCGTCCGCGAAGACCTCGGTGTGCGAAGCGATATGGACAACGGGAGGTGCCGGGCCAGTGCGCACAGACGTACTACCCCCGCGGAAGTTGTGCGTACCGGTGATTGAAACGCTAGTGACATCCGTCGGGGCACGAGACGTCGTCGCCTGTTGAGTCCCTAAGCGGGAGTTCAACGAGGTGAACATCGTGTTCGAGTAGACTAGCGATGCAATGTTAGTCATCAACTTGTGTACGAAGCTGTCATTGCATTACGCACTCTTGCCCAGGATAAGCGCACTGCCAAAGAGTGGGGTTAAGTGGTAAGCCTCTACGGACAATATAGGGACAACTGTCGATGACGTACAAGAAGAGATGCAGGTTAGTGTTCTTCGTAGTGGGACCGAGGAAGAAGCCAAGCTCAATGATCGCGGAGGCGGCTGTGATAATTCCGGTCTCGACGGAAAGGCGGATGAGACGGTTAATCGCTCGGTCGCTGCTCTTGAGCGCGTGGGAGTTCTTCTTCGCCGTGGTCAACTGTATGGCACGTAGAAACACGGAGAACAATTTCAATTGCAACCGTTGAATCATGTATCGCGCGGGGGAGATCAAAACCTTAGTTTCGTCACATCTGACGTCAGACGAGATGAAACACGTACCACGTATACCATGCTGATGGCGATGAACTGCAATTGCGACGTTCTTCAGTGACTGAGAGCGGATCAGTACCTTAAGTCTACTCACGATATCGGCAAGAGCACCACCGCCGAGCCAGATAGTGGTACGAGGGAAGTAGGGCAGGAGCCCGGAAATGTCTTGCAAGTTCGCGATCTAAGTCCACCGTCAGCCAGTTCGGCGACACAGATCGAATGCGGGGACCCGAGTATACGCACACCGGCCGCGATTGAAAGGGTTGATCCAAGTTGGGCGAGCGAAATCTGCGCGGTGTGGAGACCCATCGTCAGCGCTCCTACCGAGAATTGACGTAGAACACCATGGATAAGTCAGGCTTACCACTATGATGAGCCCAGGGATGACGCGCCACTTCTTGAGGACCCAGATACGCCATGCGTAGAAAAGCTGGACGGTGGTGGCAACTTTTGCAGAACTCTCAGCAGTGACTCTCCCAAACGGCAAGTCGAAGACATACTGATCCCGTCGCCGGCACCGATAGCGGAGAACGTCCAACCCGGCTGGATAAGGTTGGTCTGCCGTCCCCATCCAGCACAGAGGACGTGCCATCCCATGGCCCCCGCTATCACCGTCAGGAAGATGTCCAGAATGAACACCCAGTAGACTAAAGCACGGTCAATTACCCAGACGGATCTTACAGCCGCTAGATTGGACGTACCCAAGAATTGAATCCCCTTTCGATCATTGGGGAACGATATGTGGTAGATGTCTAAATGCGAGATGGAGATGGATATGATGTGGGCCATTGACAACGGTAGAGGCCTGACTTACAGAGCTGCACTATCGAGATACCGAAGATGAGCCAACTGGTGACGGCGCCGAGGAACTAACCGCAAACATTCAACGGAAAGGCATGACGTCGGCTACACGAGCACTTACGACAGGACCGACACTGAGACGTAACGGAGTGTGAGAACACCGACTAGAGGGAAATGAATGAACACCGGACTTACAGGAGCAGAGTGTCCTTAGGGACAGATGGCTCGTTGAGCGTAGAAGAGGACATGGTGCCGATGGTGGTACAACAGAGGAGACCCAAGACTAGGGGGGGCAGTCGATACGGTCTCCGAGTCGGCGTGGCACAGAGCCGAGGTGAAGGACGAGTTGTCGGAGTGAAGGGGGATAGTTAGACCGGCGCACTGAGATCAGCTGAGGGTAGGGCATATGTAGCGCGTAGAGGGATAAGTTCCCACGAAAAACATTGGTCGCGAGCAATGTAACCGGTCGGCGTTGTGGGGATTTGATGTTGAAGAAGATGATACAGCTTGATACCTCAGATCAGACTGTCTCTCCACCCAGACATCAGACAGCAGAGAATCACAGAAGCAGGCGCTATCAATGATAGCTGGCCATCGCAGCGAGATCCCACATTGTACACATCCGAGGGACACTACAGATGCAATGCAATGCTTCTGACCCGCGGGCGCGACTCCGAAAGGGCTTGGATCGGGGTGAGAAGGTGTGGAAGGCACGAACAGTAAGACGCACTCACCGGTGAGTGACAAGGGGGCAATCGAGATCCCCCCGGAGGTATTCATCCTGAACAAAGCCGGCCGCCCAACATCGTGGTCGAGCGTCGGCGGATGGATGAGGGGACGCCGGTAGCACTGGCACTCCAGAAAAGGAAAGTCGGACCAACCAGCACCGCCAACGTTGGCGCCAGGGACCCGGTAACAATTATATATTTCAAGTTCCGGTGATTGTCGGCAAAGGACAGGCACGTGCCGCAACCACCCAACATGGTATCAGGGCGTTGTGGCGCCAGTCGACACTCACTCAGCACACCTCTTGTATGTAGATCAAAGCACCCGCCGACGTGGCACACAGTCAAGATCAAGCTCTTACAACGCCTCGGCTCCACGAGTGTGCAATTTTGGCCATGATTGCGACGTATGATCGACCCGCTTCAAGAGTTCGCTTCTCCCGGCCGCCTTTCCGGCGGCTGGCGGCTTCGTGCGGTACGGGATATTCACGTTTCTCTCTCTGTTGTAGCTATGCCTCTAATGCCTCAGAAGCCAGATGGTACTAGAAGCCGGAAACGACTCGGATCAGTCGGCTGGCCAGACTCTCCTCGATCTCTCGACACTCGACAGTCGTCCGGTGGAGACACGTGTGTCTTGACTAGTGCCATTTCTAGCTGGCAACAATGTCAACACCTTCGTCTGCAATTCCACTTGAGCCGAGCATAGAACGGCGAAGCTTCTGGTGGGTTCAGTTGGCTTGATTGTTGGCCAGACGGAGCTGATTTCGGCTCCTCTGACCCTGAGCCATCTGTTTGCGCCTTCCTACATGGCGGCTGTCGACCTTCCTCTGCTATGGGCAAATCCGGCGTTCACTCGATGTCAGACTTTCAATGTGATAGCGGCTACAGCGGGTTTCCACAATGCAGCCCGTGGGCGGCTCGCTCCGGGCGCGGAGCATTGGTACAAGGAAGACTTGTCTTGCTACTGACTGGTGACGTGCCATGATCTGGGCGCTGCGTACTGTCACGCTGGGCGACGACACCCAGTCGCATTGCATGCGGATTAATGACTGTCAGGACTGCCCCGGGAACACCGACTCGTACGTGCTGCACCGCCGGAGAAGTCGAAGGAGTGTCGAGTGTCGCCGTCAGGGATTTCCGTACGTCTTCTGGCCTGATTTCACTTGTCGTAGATGCGGGCGAACAACATAAGACATTGACGGGTACGTTCGGCGCAGCAGCTGTAGGGCCTGGGTGGAGCCAGCGTTGATAGAGTGGTCGATAGATTTTCGCGAAGCATGCGTCCCGGCATTGAATCTCAGTTACCTCGTAATGGGTAAACCCGTATGATACCAACAGCTGCAAGGGACGTCGTACTCTTGGATGCCTTAACTTTGACATACGAACCCCGCGCTTCCTGATCACTGCAAGGGGTGGAGTGGAGATCAGGGGCTCAGAAGACAAGGAAATCACGTTTCCCTCACTCTGGAGGAGCTGCATGGGTACTCGTGGAAGTCGTTACTGAGAGATGCCCTATCGGCTCTTCGCTGTCTCCCTACACTGTCACCTGGATTCATACCATAGGTCAGTATGACAATTCGTGAGTGTCGGGAACATTTAATATTCTCACAACCCTCAAAGGGTATACATTAGTTGATATAGGCCCCATGGCTTGCATATGGCAGAGAACTCATCCGGGCTGCTCGCCTTGACAGTCTCCGCTCGTTCGACAAGATTGACCCTCTCATCAACAGAGCCAGTAGAAGTCTTGTCTGACGTTGCGTTCTCGCTGATGCGAAGTGCCACAGCAGTCCCCGCAGCATGTGGTTCATTCTAAGGGCCCGCTGTCGCACTGGTGGTCTGTCTGGATGTTGGGCAATCCCCTGCGGACCTACCGCTGCGGCTGGGTTGCCTGTTGCTGATGGAAGCGCCGCTCACTTCTCATCTTCTAAATCTGATCGGAGGTATGCAAAGAACCTCCGGCATCCATGAGCGAATCGGGGAGAATCTTCCCCATCTTCCTTGACCGCAGATACTCCCAGAAGAAGCCTTCTTGCACGTCAGGTCTTACTAGTGCCTATGCGCTAAGGTGAGAGTTCAGACCATCCATGGCGCCGTGTACCGCACCTATTTGGCATATGAGCTGACGCGGCGTGCGATGTAGATAGGCTGGACGAGTGCACAGATGGCAGGACGACGCCGCCCAGGTCCTCATCCTCCGGAGAACGCCGAAAGTTGAAGCGCCGGAAAGTTATCAGCCACGATAGGAAGGGACCGCTTGTCATCATCCCGAGAAGGGCTCGTACTCGTCTATGGGAACCCAATGTACCGCTCCGTTGCCTCGGTCTGTCCCATGATGAGCCTAGGTTCACAATTCAATATTCACCAGCGGTTCTCTCATCAGTGTCACAGGCGTTCCCGTTGGGTTCCGGCGTGGGCGGGACCAGAAGGAAGCAACCGCCTGCGGCGTTTCCTGCCAATTTGTCATGATGGGGCCTGTATCGCGGACGGCCTGATATCGTAGAACGTAGCACTTGTCTTGCCCAGTCTGCCATTGTTCAGACAATCGTGACCCAAGAGGAGAGAGAGCGTGATGTTCGGCACTGTTCACCCTAGGGGAGGAGTTAAGAGTACACAGGGGGAGAACAGTGTGCCAGCGCTCTACTCAGCGGCCATACTTGCCGCTGACCACCGTGTGCGAAAAGCACAATGCGCCACATATCGTAGTCAACAACTCCCGTCATCATGTCCCCTGACCTCGTCTAGAAGACGAACTTCGTCTTCTCCATCTCTCGATCGAGTGGGTATGCGAAGCCCCTTCGAAGTCTAGGGCGTCAGCATTTCGTCGCTCAGCAAGGGGGTGGCTCTGAACCGAATGCTCCCCTAAATACCGACCGGGGACTCGCACCATTCAAGGTTCGTCACCCAAGGGTTCCCAAGTCTTCTCGATGGTCTGATCACTCTCGAATCCCAGGTGCTGATATATATACGCCGTACCGAGTTGCCCGTGTTTCTTGCTTCTGACGGACGCCGAGCAACCTGCAGGGTATCCTGATATTAAAGACAGGCTCTTGAAACGTCTCCATACCCACCCAGCATCTGCTTGCATCTCTCACCACCATGAGCAATTTTCTTACAACTCTTGACCAAGTCTCGGGGAAGTCGTTCGACTATGTCATCGTTGGCGGTGGAACCGCCGGTCTCGTCCTCGCTGCCCGACTTTCTGAGGACCCGTCCAAGTCCGTGCTCGTGTTGGAGGCGGGGGGTGCCCATCTTGACGATCCTATGACTTGTAAGCCCATGTTTCGATGCATGTCGTTCATATTTTCCCCTTATCGACCGGTCTCGGCGGTGGGCTGAATGAACTTCGTGCCGATTTCAAGTCTTCTATCCCTCAATTCTGACTCGATCTTCATCCCAGACCTTCCTGCTAGCTATGGGAAGTATTTCGGAAATAAAGAGTACGACTGGGCTTTTATGACGGTATGACTTGCTATCTGTGCGTCTATCTGACCACTCCTGCTGATTGACGCCGTCCTGCCGTGTACGTCGATTTGTTATCACCCGTAGGTGCCGCAGAAGCATGCGGAGAATACCTCCTTTTACTGGCCCAGGTACGTTGTTGTCCCCATACGGCAGCTTAGGCTGCGACCATGGGAGATCTTCTAGGCATACGGAGAAATGGTTGATCAATGCGTCCTGAACTGAAACCTTGATGCAGGGGCAAGGGCCTGGGTGGCTCATCCGCTGCAAACTTCTATCTGTGGACTCGGCCAGAGGTGGAAGATATCAATGGTGTGTTTCTTCGCTTGTCATATAATGATGCGAAGCTGGCTGTTCCTCACGAATTTGTGATCTGCTCCTGCATAGCATGGGAACGATTGGGCAACCCTGGATGGAACTGGGAAAACTTTCTGAAGTACTCCATCAAGTGCGAGAAGTAAGTGCGCGCTGTTTGGAATTCCCGCCGAAATTGACACCTGACATAAGGTTCATCCCTCCTTCGGCCGAGGTGGCCCAGTCGGAACGCCTAACATACGACGCCAAAGTGCACGGCACTGATGGTCAGCCATGTAGATTGGGCTTATACTGAAGTTCGGGACACTGACCATCGAGTCCTTGATAGGACCTATTGTGCTTGGTTGGCCTAACTTGCGACCTGGATGGGACGTAGCACTCCAGGACACTCTCGAGAGCCTTGGAGTGCCTCGCCTCGTAGAGCCGGTACGTAGTCTTGCTCAGGGCATACATGCCGAGTCCGTCCCGACTGCCTGTGGTGTCGTGTGGCCGATTGGCTACATGGCCTTTCTTTCACTGCATATACTGACTACCTCCGCTTATCAGCAAGGAGGCGATCGTGTGGGGTTCGGTATGGACCTTGCGACCGTCGACCCGCGTACCAACCGACGCGTCAGTTCTGTGGTAAGGTCGACATCTCATTACACACATTCAACATATCTCTAACCCATCCGTGTATACTCGCTAGGCTTACCTCGAGCAAGCAGGCTCGCGTCCAAACTTGAAGATACTCGTAAACGCCCCTGTGGCGCGGATACTCTCCGCGCCGGGTGAGGGCTTCACGGCCAACGGTGTTCAATTCTTGTTCGATGGACAGACGCATAACGCTTTGACCACCGCGAGTGGTGAGGTCATTCTCTCTGCTGGGTGAGTTCCCGCAGATCCTCGCTCCGTCTTCCTCTGTGTTCTGATGAGCCGTTGCAGAGCGCTCAAGTCCCCGCAGATTCTTGAGCTCTCCGGTATCGGTGATTCGAAGGTCCTAGGGGCGCTTGGTATTGAGACTAAGGTCGATTTGCCTGCTGTCGGCACAAATGTTCAGGACCATCTCTTCGCCGGCGTCGCATACGAACTGAAGGAGCCTGAGAAGTACAATACCATCGATCCGCTGCTGGACCCGACCTTTGCCGAGGAGCAGCTCAAGCTCTAGTAAGCGCCTCTTAACTTGTCCGCTCTCATCATTGTTGACGATGATGGTGCAGCGCGGAAGGCAAGGGCCTTCTGACCCTTGGTATCGTTGGCATCGGCATGGCCCCGTTGCAGGCGCTCTCCGACCGCTATGCTGAGATTGAGGGAAACGCGCCCACGGGCGGTGACTTCCCAGGCCTCGCGGAGCAACGAGTCGAACAGATCGCTCGTTTGAAGGAGGGCGCAGCTAACGCGGAATTCGTCACCATTCCAGGGTTTTACAGCTTCCCCAGTACGTTTCACGTATATCTTGCCATATAGTTCCGCTTACCCAGATTGCAATCAATGTCTAGACCCACCGGCTCCAGGGAAAAAGCATGTCTCCCTGTGTACCACCCTGAATCGACCATTCTCGCGTGGTACGATTCACGCGGCTTCGCTAGACCCTCTTGACCCACCTGCCATCGACCCACACTACTTTGAAGAGGACATCGGTACTGCCTCCGCCTACGAGCGCTTCATACGTGTGACTGACACTGTGCCACAGATCGTCTTACGTACATTGAGCAAGTCAAATTCGTTCGCAAGGTTGCGCAGACCGAACCATTCAAGTCTATCTTGGGACGTGAGGTGAACCCTGGACCTGATGTGCAGTCTGACGAGGACATATCGCTGTGGCTCAAAAAGTACCTCACTACGGTCCACCACACCTCGTCTTCGTGCTCCATGTTGCCGAAGGATAAGGGTGGGGTCGTCGACCAGGAGCTCAAGGTTTACGGCACGAAGGGGCTGCGCGTGGTTGATCTCAGCGTTGTTCCGCTCATCCCTTCGGCGCACCCGCAGAGCATCGTATACGCTATCGCTGAGCAGGCCGCGGATATCATCAAAGGCACGTCGGAGGCGTGAGATCGCTGTATGTGTATGTACCAGTATGAGAACGTATCGGCGTCGCGGAAATGCCTTGCTGTATTTGAGTTTCGGTGGTGTATACGTAGAACCGTCTAGTAACAATCGAAAGCCAGCCATGTTCACAGAGATTCACCCGAGCGTGGCTGTAGCGAGTGTATGTAAAGGTCGCGACGGTCGGGCACCGATTGTGCCTAGCTAGGTACAGTATGATTGATGGAAATCAGTCTAGACAGTTTGACACCCCGTGAGGTACGTCCGGTAAGAGTAAGAGAGGCTTGGGTTACCGGTACCACACAAAATCGCAGTATCCGCAGAGCGATGGGAGTGGGAATTCGAGTAACTACCTGCAATTTGACAAGGAAACTTGCATCTACCCCTGCTCTTGTCCGACATATAGAACAAGGCTTGGGTCTTCTCCCATTCCGGGTCTCTTCCCAAAGTTCGGCTGGCCGCGTGCTGAAAGGAGGACGGATGCTACACTGACTACGATCATCGGTGGTACAGCTCGATCTGTAGCTGTCGTCCGGTAAGTTGCTAGCGTTCCTTACTTATCCCACACTAAGACATCCTAGAGTATACAATACAACAGTATTGATGTCAGGGATGAGCAGATTCTAACCAGCCGCAGCAGCGTATTGTCCCACTCGGACGTTCTTCAGCTGTTAGTAACTGGCATGCCGCTGTACGGAGGTCCCAGCAACAGCGCCCGTCCTCCCACCATCCAGGACCTGGTATGACATACTTAACGTATGAGAGCACTGGGCTCACATGTAGCCCATGGGCTGCCCGAGAACTCCCGCGACCAGTGTTACGCACCATCAGATGTAATCCTAGCCTATTAACATGTGATGTATATAACTTACAAACGAGCGAGCGAGCAAGGGTATCCTACTATCCAATGTGTGGGTGCGAGTGCGGCGAAAGGAGTGGACGGTGGTATCTATGCATCTGGATGGGTGGTGACGACGATGACGAAGGCAAACAACAAAGTCGTAGGCGAGTGTATGTGGGGAACAGATACATACACAAAGCGGCTATAGGGTATGACGGGTCAACAAGTGCTGGCGGAGGGGGAACGGACAGGAACAGTGCTGTACATGAACGACGTAAATTCGACGGACAGGCACGAGTGCGCCCGTCCAAATGCCCGATGCTTACATTATGAACGTCCGGTCTATGTAGACATGTCGTGGTACATCAGGCAGAACCATGAGATCCTGTGGCCAGAGGGGTCTAGAGGAGCAACGCGACAAGTGCGACGAGCGGCGCGAACACCGAAACGAGCGTGGCGGACGGCGTGAAAGCGCCGTTGCCGGAACCAGATTTCGAACCGGAAGCAGTAGATGTAGAGTTCCTGCGGTGATAATGGGTTGTCAGCTGAAGATCATGTGGAGGGATGGACAGGGAACTGTACTTGATCAGGTCCGCGGCACGCTCGGCGAGGATATAAGTCGGCACCATCGTGTGCGCAGCAGGGATATGAGGCTATGCGATCATGACAACCGTGGCGCAGAACGCGGGCACGCCGTCAGACAAGCAGCGATGAACAAAGGGCAGGTAAATCATGTCAGCGATCCGTCTCCCACACTGTCGGAAAGTTCAACTTTGAACGTACGAAGGCGGAGGCGTCAACTACACGGAGACCCTTGACACCCTTGACGGAGAGGTCGGGGTTGAGCGCACCGGCTCCCTTGCTGCTATCACCGCTCTTGCCCATGGCGACAGTGCCCGAGACATGGTTGACGACCAACGCGTTCTTGCGGATGTACGCATCGATGTCTGCGTCGCTGGTCGCGTTCGCAGACTCGCCGAACTCGGAAATGATCCAATCCTTCCAGGCGTTCGCAGCAAGGAACCGACGGCCTGCCTTGAGTGCCTGGCGCATCGTGTAGATGTCGAAGCCGTTCTCATCGTTGAGCAGGCCGGGGTTGATGATCGGGTACGTGAACGGATCGGTGCTGTTGAGCGTCAGCGAGCCGCCTGTGTGGAAGCGACACGGTAAGCTCAAAATGTTTGATACAAAACACATAACTTTGGCTGGAACTCACGAGTCGTGGGCGTGTACAGGTTGCTGATCAGCGTCAGGAAGTGGCCGCTCGGGAACGCACCACCGCTGAAAGCAATGAACAGATCGGAGAAGATGAGCTGGAAGTGCGGCGAGGTCGGGCCGGCGCTAGGGTCCGACACGTTCTTGAAGATCGGGTCGTCGTCCGCAAGACGCTGCCATGCCCACTGGTTGCATGCCCCAAGGGTGAAGTCGCCGGTGCGGTTGTTGGTCCAAAGCGCGAGCTGCTCGGCCTGGAACGTGGTGTTCAGACTGAGGTTGTCGAGCGTGTCGTTGGAGCTGACTTGGAAGTTGGTCGTCAGCAGCGGGTGGTCCTGCATGTTCTGACCAACATCCGGGAGGTCGACGATGCTCTGGATGCCCAACGACTTGGCTTGGTCCGCCGGACCGATGCCGGAGAGAAGGACTGGACAGATGAAGAAGTCAGACTTCCAATGGTATACATAGTGCAGCGACAGACGGTGACATACGAATCTGAGGCGTGCCGATGGATCCAGCAGAAAGGATAACCTCCTTGTTAGCCGTCAGGTTGTAGAGTTTCTCGTTGGGGCCAGACGTAAATTGGACGGCGTTGACTATCGGGGTGTTACCGTCAGTGCCGGTCTGTAGAACCTTGGTGACCTGAGTGTTGACGAGGACGTCGAGGTTGCTACGCCCGAGCGCAGGCTGGATGTAATCCCGGGCCGAGTTGGAGCGCGCACCATCCTGAATCTATTTTGGAACAAAGCGATTGGCGGTACGGGTTAGTAGGAAGTTCGGTTCATTACGCTTGGCCAGCATCGCGGATACTTACAGCGAAGGGAGTCCAGCCTATTTGCGACATTGATGTCAACACGCGGTCCTACGAAGATGATCAGGTGCACGTACTGAATCCGATCATGTTTCCAGAGTTGACATCCTGATTATACTTGAACTCGGATGACAATTCCTGTTGTGCGTTCAGGCCAATCTGGTCGATGGGGAGAGACACCTGGGGAAGACCGGCGCCGACAGGGCCATTGGTACCGTGGATGTTGGCGACGAACTTCGACGTCGCGTTCTGGACATTAGGCGAGTTCTGGAAAGCCTCCAACTGTGTACATGATGTGAGACGCAGGTTCCAGGTGAAAAATGGCAAGGGAGGATACGTACCTTCTTGGCGTACGAGAGGATATTACTCCAGTTCCAGCCATCATCGCCAGTCACGGATGCGAAACGATTCCAGTCATCCTGAGCGGCACGCGTGTAGATCATGTAGTCTGGAAACCATGGCGATCAGACGGTTTGAGAACGGTAGGAGGAATGGAACAACTCACTGATGGACGTTGAACCGCCAAGGACCTTTCCACGCGCGTAGGCGATTGACCGATTATCCAAGCCCTCTTGCGGAGTGGTCGTGTAATTCCAATCCTGGCGTGTAGCTGCGTCAGCCATGCAGGAACGTCTATTATATGACGATGCTCACGAATTGCGAATGGGTGAGGACGGGCGCCAGCCAGGGGACTTCGATGTTGGTGTTGTTGTAGTCACTAGAGGTGGGTTGGTAAGGTCACCAGATTCAACCAACGAATGTAACGAAACGCACCTGCTGCCGGCCTCAATCAACAGAACCTTCGTCGAGCCGTCCTCCGTCAAGCGATTAGCCAAGGCACCACCTGCGGCCCCAGCCCCGACAATAATATAATCGTAATGTGTGCTCGTGAGCTGGTCTGCCGCATCGTCTGCGCTTTGAAGGAGGGCGCCAAGAGAAGACGAGGAGAGAGCAGAAAGCAGCAGAGCAGCCCGAACCGAGTGAGAGAACATCGCAGACGACAGGAAGACCGTTCAGACCAGTGAAAACGCCTGCGATTCAGAACGAGAGTGTGGATCTTTGTACCTTTCTGCGAGCTCGACATGTTTTATGCGATGTCTTGGATTCGGAGTCTAGTCGGACTAGCCTTGCCATCAGTGAGCATGATCCCTGGGTGGGAGCGTCGCATCAACAGATCAAATGAGCATCCACGCTCGCTACCCGTACCTCAACGTTTGGCAGCGCTCACCGCCGGCCCCTGTGCTGTGACATCTCTGGCTGATGGACTGTAGGAGACCGTAGGTGAGATAGGTCTCGCTTAGCAGCGAGCCCGCCTAGGCTTGGTACTTTCTGAGCGCGAATTGGGTTCGCATGCGCAGATCTTTTGATACCCTGAGAATGTTCCCAGGTCGCTGTCGTCCGAGAAATCTGGCCGGACCTAGAAGTACTGGCTTACGGCAACACGTCCTCATCGGACAACGGTGGACAGTCGCGCTGTGCAGCGTGCGTATTCCCAGAATGGCCCTATGCAAGCGCCGCCCATTCCAACCAGACTGCCTTTCCCTCAATCCGTCTCATCTGTCGTCGCCGACACTGCGGCTGACATGCGTCTCTTGTCTCCGTCATCCCCAGAGCTTGGCGAATTGCAGCAGTTTTGCTTCCGCGCTCCGGAAATCGGCCATGGACTTCCCAGAGCGACTGGTGAGTGTTCTGATGATTCACATCACATCCGAGACTCGCACGGCGAGTCCACAGTCGTCTACATACTTACATCAAACTGCAGTCGTTCGCGTACGCCGAGCATATTTGCGCGTATTTGCTCCGCCGTCGGGCACCGGCAAGGGAGACCCCGGAGGTGCATGATGCCTACGCACAGAGTCAAGTACGGCTATCAACCACCTCTTGGCCAGTCTCTACTACACACACGCTACCCTTACGGCACCCACACGAGGGCTTTCACCTGGTAAGTGGGACCCCGCCGTGTTGGTAAGCTGGCCGTGGCAGGTCCTAAGAGACAGACAGACGCTCGTTCACGGCGTTGCAAATACGGGAAAGTCTCGCCGCACGCGACGGTCGACTATACGTTGATATGTATACGACCCTAACCTTAGTGGCCGGCCGCGTAGCCGCAGAGAACACTGACGCTTGCTGACGACGTGGGTTCTAGTTGACATATCCGAGTACATGCACATACGTACGGCAACGACCTCGAATAGGAACAATCCTTTTGCCAGCAGAGGACATCAAGTTGACCTCAAGACGTCGGAGCAGTGTACCGCGCTCGTCCGCTTCCTATCTCTGCGCGTACCCGCGACCCTGAGGCACCACCCACTTGCTCGACTAGCGGATCCCCTTGTCCGATCCACGATTCTCCCATCGGAAACGGGTTACATCGGCATCAGAATGCGTCCTGTCATCAACTCCTTACTCCGTCCTCTGTATCCAAGAAAAGCCACTCGAATGTCCTAAGCGGTCCTCCCGAACTCCGTGCCCCGTCCGTCGCAGCGCACAAGAGCCTCTCTCACATGCCCCAGCTGTCGTCGTCGAGCGCAACCGCATCTCATTGAGCCATCGCTGACGCTCGGGTCGGCATCTGTATTTACGTCGAACACAACTCCTCGTTACATCTCATCATCGGAGATGTCCTACGTTCCGCCGAAATCATGGGAGAGCAATCCGCTCAACACGTCCAAGTACCTTCACCTCGACGAGGACGAGCGGGCTTTCTTCAAAGCGACAACTAAGATTGAGGACGACGCCGAACTTGATCAGCATATCTTAACCGTCCAGGCGCAGGCATACAAGGTACGTCCTGCTTCAAAGTTGTAATACAATACAGGTGATGCTGCCCGTCATCGCTATCATGCGCCCTGCCTTCATTTCTCTGAGAGGTCTTGCGAACCTCTCGGACGTCGTCCGCTCCTCTCACCCTAATTACTGTATCAGACCTTCCGACAGCCTGGTTTCTCCTATTTACTGACATTGGGTGATTACGAATAGTTGCTGACCGTTTTCTTTGACAACAGATATTTCCGTATCCGTGCATTCGCATTTTCGGGTTCACCCGGTGCGTCGTATTTGCAATGGCCGAGGAGAGCGTTCGTCCGCTGACGGACGCTTCTATACTGGCCCTAGCATAAGAATATCTCGTCTCCCCGCCTACGAGAAGTTTCTTGAGCTCGGGCGCAACCGCGCGAACCCCATCTTCATCGATCTCGGGTGTGCATGTACGTGATATTGCTCCAACCCCCGCTGCCGCAAGCCGATATTTTGCGACTGACGCTCGTCTCCATTCTAGTTGGAAGCGACGTCAGGAAAGCCGTTCTCGATGGCTACCCCATTGAGTTCTGTTTGGCGACAGATCTTCGTGGCGGTGAGTATTCTTGCCCTCAGGGTCTCACCATGCCATCAGCGCCTATTTCCGTCGATGTTCTATAGTCTATGGGCTGCAGGGAACTACGGTCGGACCTGCCACCACCGTCCAACCTGCCACCTGCCTTATTAGGCCTCGAGACGCTCTTGCGCACCACCGTCTCTGGGACATGGCAAGCGTCATGACGGGCGCCTGAAGGCCTAATAAGGCAGGTGGCAGGTTCGTAGTTCCCTGTACACCACTTCCCATCATTCGCAACACTCGCGCCTCGTTTTCTCTTCGCGCGCGGCCGTTTCCTAGCGCATTCAAACCAGTCTCACATTTCCGTAACATCGACAAACTGACCGATATCATGTTTCCGGATAGGTCTATACAGAGAGGGCTACGCGTTGTTCAGAGACACTCCGGAGACATTCCCGGTGCCGTTCATCGAGGGCGATGTTTTCGACCCCGATTTCCTTGCCATTGCTGAGCCACCTTCCAAGGATGTTACTCTTATCTGTCCCCCACCGTCGCTCAAGGACCTAGTCTCGCTGAACCCTCTCCGCGGACACGTCTCGGCAGTCTACATGGGAAAATTCCTGCACATATTTGACGAGGCCGGCCAGGCGCACATCGCGAAGGCTCTCGCAGGCCTGCTCTCTCCCGAGCCGGGGTCTATCCTCTTCGGCGTACAAGGTGCGCTCGAGGACAAAGGACCTTTCACGCCCACGAGCTCCGACTGGACGATGTTCTGCCACTCACCGGAGAGCTTGGGCAAGCTATTCGAGGACGCGTTCGGCGGCCCGGGCACGATCAAGTTCGAAAGCCGGATGGTCGAAGAGCCTGGAGGACCGACCTACTTTGACACCTGGCCGGGTAACCAGAAGCCGTTTACTTGCCAAGAGTGGTCCGTTACCCGTCTATAGGAGGGGTTAGGTGCGTCGGTGTAGCCGTGTCATACTCGGAGTAGAGCGAGCTCGCCCAAATCATATCTTTGTCATATTCGGCTCGTATCCCACTCGCAGTCTCTTCGGTCATCCAGGCGCGCATCCAAGCCCCATCTTCTCATTATCTGCGTGCTCGTCGTAGGGTCCTCGTTGTAATAGCGGTATTGCGGTGTGCAGGTGTAACGAATTGGAACATGCCATCCCATCGACACGCGATCCTAGTGCATCCGAAGAGAAGAATATTGTCGCGGAATTGCCCCGACTGAGTTGGTGGACCCGACGGGTCTCTGATCAATATTGCATGACCAAGCCCAGAGGGACCTGATCCGCATTGACTCGGGCGGTAAAAGCGGGAGGGTGTTCGGTCCAGAAACCACAAAGCGCTACATCTCGCCTTCGAATTCACTGACAGGGGTCCTGCGCATGGTTGCCTGAGCGGTAGGTCCAAGAAGCTACGAGCCGCTATTCTCACACACAATTTGCTTCTGTTACGGCATCGAATCCTTTCCGTGTTGGTCCCTTCCCGCCTTTGCTGATGATGATGCTTTGGGAACCCGAAGCGTCGCCTCAGCCACTTTGGCCAACTTGAAGCAAGGTTCACCTCCGGTTTACACGGGTCGTGCTCTGAGACCGAGAAGTGCCGGAGGATATGCTGGGACAGTCTTAGAGTCGTTCGACGGTTTTTCTTCAGAACACTCGATTGGCTTGACATAAGACAGGTAGATGGAGAGCAACCGAGTCCTGCACCATTACCACTTCCCCCGTAAGCACAGTCGTAGGACCGGGATCTCGGCCCGGGATCACCGGCACCGTCGTTCCTCCCAGATCACATAGTACATACACACCCACTCGAAACCGCTCTCATACGGCGTGTTATATGTCCCAACCAGTCGTCACTTGTTGGGACTGGACAGTTTAGAACGCCATCGAGATCTCGTATCTATCGGGCAGGTTGTGATTTTGAATGTGCTGTGCTATTAGTGCCACCGAGTGCCACCCGGATCACCCACCTCGAGATTTAGCAAGCACGATCGGAATCAAAGCGATTGCTGGGCCCTACTAGTGGGGCCACCGTTGATGCTTGTGTCCTCGAAAGCTGAAAATAGGATAGGTTGTGCCGTTTGATCCGCCGTTTTTGTATAGCGGTGGTCCGTGGATGTCTGAGAAATTAGCTCCGCTCACGAGGAGAGGCTGCTATAGCCTCTGGCACATCGCGATTACTCCTGGCAGGGGACGTCGGTCGATAGGCTGAATCAGCACCACGGATTGGTGCTGAAACAAGGAGAATGATCGCCCGCAGCGTTTTCAGCCTTGATCGTCAGCCTTCGCTCGATTGATGTAGGACGGGACCTATGAAACAAGGACTGTTCCGAAGGATCGGTCAATTTAATCTTCATAACAAAGCTAGTGTAATAGGTCTGTTATCTCGTGCCCCCTTTCGTTTTCACTGATGCAACTTATAGAGGTAGGAGCACTGAACGCGTCGAGACCGTGTACATACCTTCTACCAACACGGTTCGGTATCACAATACGAGAGCCTGTCGACAAACACTCCGTGGAGGACAGGCGAAGTGAGGGTGCTCACACCGCTAGCTAACGAGCGCAAATTTCATCGCACCCATTACTCAACACCATCCTTTCTCCTTAAAGTCTTGAATCATGAACGCCGCAGTGCCCTCCATGTCTTCATGATACGTGATACCTAGTACTTCCCGCGACTTCTTGTTGTCGAAACGAACATCGTGGACGATCTGCGAGAAGTCCTGGATATCTTCTTCCGGCTTCGACTTGCCTAGGACACGGCGAGCGACGTACACTGTAACTCGGAGCATTAGAAAGCACGTGGGATCAGAGAGTATATCATACTGACCCCACTGCCCCCAGTCGAACGGAGCGGTGCAGACAACAAATCGCTCCCCGCCAGCTTCGGGTTTGGTGATTGCGAGCCGCGTTGCCGCAGCAAAGTCACGGACATCTACCCAGTTCCTGCACATAGACTTCAACATTCTGCTCGTGCTTCCTATTGCACTTAGAAAGCCAGCGTACGCTTTGCTCCAGGCAGGGATCTCGCCCTCCTCCTTGACGGCAATCTCGTACCACGTCTTCACTGACGAGTGCAGATCGTTGGGCGACTGCACGCCAAGTACAGGTCCAAAGACCCAAGGCGGGCATAGGGTGACCAAGTCCCATCCGATCGTTCCCTTGTCCCTCCCTTCACGGAACAAGTCCCAAGCCGCGCGCTCCGCCAGCGCCTTGCTGGCACGGTACTTTGCCGACTGAGCAGCGGCCGCGCCCTTGTCCCGGACCTCTGCGACGTCGTGTTCGTTCCAGTTCGCTTCGGTGAACGTGACAGGGGTCGGTGCGCTAATGTCGACGATGGCGGCGAGGGAGGAGATGACGACGATGCGTTTGACGGTCGAGTCGGGCTGGCTCGCGCTGCGCAAGATGCTCGTTGTACCCTGGAGGGCGGGGCGGATGAGCTCCTCGGGGTCGTTGGCCAAGACGTGGACCGGAGAGGCAGCATGAACGATGGCGTCGATGCCTTCGACCGCCTTGTCAAATGCGCTGCTCTGACATAGTGTAATGTAGTCGGTAGCATGATCAGGTTCAGGGCAGGGAAGAGCTTACCTCGGCGATGTCTTCGACAACGAAGATCTCAAGACGGTCTCCGTGGGCTGAGAGTGCCTTTCGAAGCCCCTCTGCTTTCTCGAGGGAGCGAACCGTGCCCCTGACAATGAAGCCCTGTTCCAGCAGATCCTTGATGATCCAGCCGGCGATGAAGCCGTTCGCGCCGGTGACGAGCACTTTCCCCGTGGTGCTAGCAGGCATAGCGGGATCTTGCAAGATACAATTGCAGTAGAATTGGTGGATGATCCCTGGCGCTTATGTACCGGAAGACGCTGCTCAACAGGCGACAGCGGATTCACAACGGCCTGCAAGCCCCGCCCCGATCGGGATACGTCGAATCCCCTCAGATAAGCGGAGGGGACACAGATTGGCTAGTGAAGGCTGCGCCACAATCTGCGGTGATAAAAAGAGTGAAATGCCTGAAATCGCACAGGAGACAAAAGATCTGTAGCGAGCACCCTCCGCTTCAGTTATTTGGTTTCATATTTTCGAATTTGGGGGAGGGTATCGAGCCAATACAGAAATATGCCACAGGCCTCCATCCGAATCGTCGTTGGCACTGAGCGAGTCTTGGCGGAGGGCACGTGCTTGATAACGCTGCGACATAGGGATAGATGGCGAAATTGTGCACCGGAGCTAATCCCACCAGACCATAGGTAATAGAGAGTGCGTCCTTCGTTGACCTTGTGATTCCCTGGCTACAGACAAGACGGGAATGTTATAGCGGGCAACTGGACGCGTATGCTGATGTTGTCGAGTACGGCGTGCCTCCAGTTTTAAGCTCTCGTCCGATCTTGGGTGTTCTGACCCTGAGATGATACTGAAAATGCGTGCTGTTCACCAGCGACCCGGACCGAAGTCAAGCACATAGGACAAGGGGAAAATTGGAGCCGCGCGGGAGGTCTTGAGATGTCAGAAGCACTTACAGGCTCGGATGGGGAAGGCAGATTCATTGAGGATCATAGACACAATACGCAGTGAACTTCATCAAGCAGGATGGCTAGCATCCTATCGTATCCGCGCCTCAGAAAGGCCTTGAAAGTTGAAACAGGGATGATATCGTCGGTGTCGTGGGCGTTGAGCACAGTACTTGCCAAGTAGCTGTAGCCAATCCAGGGCTTGCTATTCCATCTGGTCACATGACTTCAAATTTGGCGGCTCCGAGAGACTCGGCGAGCAGGCACTCGACTATAGCAGCCTTCGGACGGCGCACACTTCCTCTACGCCTCCCCACATCGTCGCCATGTCCGACAAGATCACCCGTATAGCTATTGTAGACTCCAACAGGTGCAAACCGAAACGGTGTGCGCAGGAATGCAAAAAGGTACGTCGCCGCAGATCGCCCCGAGCGTGTTGTGCACTTCCTGATGTGCGTTGCAGTCATGTCCCGTCGTGAAAATGGGTACGATAAACGTCAAGGAGACGGGGGATTCTCTGATAGAGTGTTCTAGGAAAGTTATGTATTGAGGTCAAGCCGACGGACAAGATCGCATACATCTCCGAGTTCTTATGCATTGGTTGTGGTATATGCGTAAAGAAGTGCGTCCGCTACCATATCCCTTTCGCGCTATCGTACCCACACCCAAGCAAGATGCCCATTTGAAGCGATCGCTATCATCAACCTTCCTACCAACCTCACCTCTGAGGTAACGCATCGATACACCGCAAACGCCTTCAAGCTCCACCGACTACCAACACCACGACCCGGCCAAGTCCTCGGACTTGTCGGCACCAACGGTATCGGCAAGAGCACCGCCCTCAAAATCCTCGCAGGAAAACTCAAGCCCAATCTCGGCCGTTACGATGTTCGTCCCATCACTCCAGGCCTGTCGAACTCATGCAGACGAATTGTCATCCACCATACAGGATCCACCAGATTGGCAGGAGATCCTCAAGTATTTCCGCGGTTCTGAGCTGCAAAACTACTTCACGAAGGTTCTTGAGGATAACCTCAAGGCTCTCATCAAGCCCCAATATGTAGATCACATCCCTCGCGCCATCAAGGGCGTCATGACCGTCTCGCAGATGCTCGACGGCAAGCTCGAGCTCGACAACAAGCAGAAGATATGCGACGACCTGGAGCTCAACCATGTCCTCACCCGCGAAATCAACCAGCTGTCCGGTGGAGAGCTTCAGCGGTTCGCGATCGCGATGTCGTGCATCCAACGCGCAGACGTCTACATGTTCGACGAGCCCTCAAGTTACTTGGATATCAGGCAGCGTCTCAAGGCGGCTGAGGTCATCCGCGAACTGCTCACGTCCAATAACTACGTCATAGCCGTCGAGCACGATTTATCAGTACTGGACTACCTTTCCGACTTCGTCTGCTGTCTGTACGGCAAGCCGTCAATGTACGGTGTCGTGACGATGCCGTACTCGGTCCGTGAAGGTCGGCTTGTCTCTCTCCGTCCATGGATGCACATGCTCAATGCACGTAGGTATCAACATCTTCCTGGACGGCTTCATCCCCACGGAGAATCTGCGTTTCCGCGAGGAATCTCTCTCCTTCAAGATGGTCGAGACTGCCGAAGAGCTCATCGTCGACGTCACCCGCCACTACTCCTACCCTGCCATGACCAAGACGCTTGGCGGGTTCAAGCTGACCGTCGAGGGCGGCACCTTTACCGACTCCGAGATCATTGTCATGCTCGGGGAGAATGGTACTGGGAAGACGACCTTCGTCAAGCTCCTCGCTGGGGACGCGCCCGACGACCCTAACACAGAGCGGCCAACACTCGCAGTGTCGCTGAAGCCGCAGGCGATCTCGCCCACGTTCGCGGGCACGGTCCGGATGCTGCTGCTGAAGCGTATCAAGTCGATGTTCATGCACCCGCAGTTCAACACGGACGTCATCAAGCCGATGAACCTCGAGCCCATCCTCGACCAGGAAGTCAAGACGCTTTCGGGAGGAGAGCTCCAGCGTGTTGCTATCGTCCTCGCGCTCGGAAAGCCTGGCGTCTCCGTGTACCTGATCGACGAGCCGAGCTCGTAAGTGGTGGGATTTCGAATCTCGCGCGGCCGCTAATGGCTAACTTTCCTTGCAGTTTCTTGGACTCCGAGCAGCGTATCATTGCCAGCAAGGTTATCAAGCGCTTCATTCTCCACGCGAAGAAGACCGCATTCATCATCGAGCACGACTTCATCATGGCTACTTATCTCGCGGACCGTGTCATCGTGTTCGGGGGCCAGCCTGCTGTCGCTGCCACCGCTACTCCGTAGGCGCACACATCTGTTCGACAATGGTCAATTCACTGATGAGCCTGCCCTGACAGCCCGCAATCCCTGCTTACGGGTATGAACAAGTTCCTCGCATCGCTCGAGATCACGTTCCGTCGCGACCCGACGAACTATCGCCCGCGTGTGAACAAGAAGCACAGTGTGAAGGACCGCGAGCAGAAGAGTACGTCCTCTTCTCGGCCGTCAGAAGCTACAGTGATCTGATTTACTGGTACACAACAGCGTCCGGCAACTACTTCTTCCTCGAGGAGTGAGGCGCGCGAGGACCGCGTGTGTGCGAGGTGATGTGCCAGTAGAGCGCAATTGACCGGCGACTGCGGCAATAGTCTAAGTTTGTACTACGCGAAGCGACAGACGATGTACGACAGGATGTAAAGTAGCCCGCTGTAGCCTAGGCCTATACAGTACAGACTCCCCATCGAGGTGCTGCGGTGTGCTCTCACTTCTGCCTGGTTCTGGCTCGACATGATGAACAGCATTGCGATGGCGACAACATGTTTCGGTCTCGAGGTGGGTTCACCATCATCCGTACTCTGGGTTTCCGTGCTTACGCACATGTATGTCAATACTGTCCAGATCCCAGCACTCGAGACGTCGAGCTTTCCACCTTTTCGCACCTCTTCGCACAGTTACGCACCACCCCACTCTAGTTACAGAACTACTCTGGAATCTCACGCCCAACAGGCCAGTGGGCCATTCCGCTTGCCGTCAGTCGCACCTGACCCACACGACCTCCGGCAGGACTTACGCATATGGCTGTGCACTCAGCTGCCCACTAAGCACTTCAACTGCTTCCATCACCTGCTTTCTCAACAATGGCTTTCAAGAGTGCGCGAGCCCTCTTTGCTGAGTGATTCGATGGTAAACAGGCGTTTCCGACCGGATACGAACCGCGCCGTTCGCCATTAGCACTTTAGCAGCTTTCACGCGTATACATTACGGCAACGGGCTACGGTGAACTGCTTCTTACAGCTTCCCCGCCACCACGAGTCTTCCAAACATGCCAGCTATTATTACAGGAAAGATCCTCGTCACCGGCGCAAACGGTTTCATTGCCCGGTGGATCATCAAGGACCTGCTCGAGCACGGTTTCTCTGTCCGCGCTACGGTGCGCTCTTTGGAGAAGGCCGATGCGCTCAAGCCTGTCCTCGCGGCAACGTACGGCGACCATCTCGACTTTGTGACCATCGACGACTTCACTGCGGTGCGTACACTCGGCCCCGGCTCGCGCTCTCCCTGACACATGTCTCGCCTGTAGAAAGACGCATTCGACGAAGCCCTGAAGGGCATCGACGGAGTCGTGCACACTGCCCACCCCGTCGACGCTACCACCGACGACCCCGAGGAGTTCATTGGCCCCGCGGTCCAGAGCGTGACGGGGATTCTCTCCGCGGCCAGCGCCCCAGGCTCGACCATCAAGCGCGTCGTCTACGTCTCCTCCGTCTCCGCCGTCATCGATTCCCAGCGCATCCACGGGCTCCCAGACGTCTTGACGGACAAGGACTGGAACGAGACGGACGTCGCGGCGGTCAAGGAGAAGGGCACGACGTCGAGCGGGTTCGAGAAATACCAGGCGAGCAAGACGCTCGCGGAGCGCAAGGCGTGGGAGGGGTATAACGAGGAGAAGGCGAAGGGCACCAACGGGTGGGATTTGGTGACGCTGTGCCCGCCCTGGGTGTTTGGGCCCTATCTGGGGGAGGCGACGCCCGAGGCGCTGAACTATTCGATGGGGTCGTGGTACAGGACGGTCGTGCAGGAGGCGTTGCCGCTCCCTGCGCCGCTCAACGTGTGAGTTGATCTTTCCACTTGAGACGCCGATTCCAATTGTGTGTTTGTGTGTACGCGTGCTGATGGTGGATGGGTTACAGCAACTGGATAGACGTGCGCGATTTCGCTGCGGCGTCCCGCCTGGCGCTCACCAAGCCCGAAGCGGGTGGCGAGCGGTTCCTCGTTGCTGCTGGTGCCTCTGTATGGGGTCGATGGGGTGAGCCGATATGCATATCCGAAATGCAGATCAAAGTCGTTGAGTTCTGAATGCCGCCCCGCAGTGAATACGGCCCGGCGCGCCCTAGGCAAAGCCGGCGAGCCGAGGCCAGAGAGCCCCGAAGATGGCCAGAAGCTGGTCGGCTTGGACAGACAGAAGTCTCTGGACCTGCTCGGTCTCAAGTACCGCACACTCGAGGAGACCATCGCGTTCATCCTCGATGACTTCAAGAAAAGGGGCTGGGCTTGAGGGAGCTGGAAAGCGCCGTGACGATTCCACTGACTTGAATGACTTCGTGGAACGAGACCCATCTGGACGGTATAATGTAGAATGTGGAGTTGTACTTGGGGCGATATGAGATTGTGTCCTTAGCCTTTGGCAGCGCATATCGTATGGCATTCTCAGTACAGGCCTGCTGACTACATCTGCAAGTTGGCTGAGCGCAACCCCGCCGGGCGATGAGTCAGCTTCGAGGGCAATGCGCGTAACGCCCAACTTGTGCGGGCGCCGACACCATGACCGCTGTGTTCGATTTGAACAGGCAGTGTCGCTGAGATGTCGCTTTTTCTGCGTATGACTGACTGAATAAGACGGCGTAGAGAAAGTCGGGAGGCAGCTCGAGAATTGCCATATGTGCACATGGGACGGGCGGAGATGCCGGCGCGGCCGGGCGGTGGTTGCCTGGGACGTTCTAGTAAGCGAGCCAAACACGGTGACAAGGGCCAAACAGCAGCGCTAGCGCTTCTCCATCCTTGTCTTCTTCCACCATCTCCTCTCATCGTACTCTTCCTCGCTCATCGTAAGTCATTACAGTCTCTTTGGCTCCTTCAGCTGTGCTGACTGTGTGCATGATGATCCCGCACATCTCCTCGTCGTTGTGTGCGTCGTCGTTGTCGGTCCTGCGGCCCTGCAATCGCACTCATCTATCCTGCGATCCTGCCCGATCGCGTGCACTGGCTCCTCTCACCCGCAGTCACGACTTCCTCTCTACTCTCCTAGGGCTTCACTATGGCTCTCAAGCGCATTAACAAGGTATAGTCCTTATCCCCTCGCAGTACAGCCCACCCGACCTGTGGTGGCGCTCATCTGAACGCATGTGGCGGGCGGGCTGTGCTACGGCAGGTCTCCCAGTGTAGACGCGCTTCTGACGTCTCTGCTCCGTATGCTTCCGTGCGCCGTTCTACGTCCTGCGGCAACATGCAGGAATTGATCGATCTCGGCCGCGACCCCCCTTCCTCGTGCAGCGCGGGCCCGACGGGTGATAACATGTTCCAGTGGCAAGCAACGATCATGGGACCGGTACGTTATCTATCTGCACTTTCTTTCCCGGCACGCATACACAATGCGTGCGGACATGGGAACCATTGAATACCAATAACTGACGGCGCTCGTGTGACCTCGTTTCATTCGTATGTATAGGGCGATTCACCGTACGCCGGTGGCGTCTTCTTCCTCTCCATCACCTTCCCTACCGATTACCCCTTCAAGCCCCCCAAGGTCAGCTTCACGACCAAGATCTACCACCCGAACATCAACGCGAACGGTTCGATCTGTCTCGATATCTTGAGGGATCAGTGGAGTCCAGCATTGACGATCTCGAAAGGTGCGTGCCCGTTCCATATTCAGCTCTATTGTTCGTCTGTCCGCATCTGGAGCGCTGAGCGGCGATGTCGCATCGATTGTGATCGCGAAGAGGCGTGGTGCTCCAGCGTGTATCTGGATTTGGACCTTTGGACGTGTTCGGCTGATCACATCGCTGCTTACAGTACTCCTTTCGATCTGCTCAATGCTGACCGACCCGAACCCCGACGATCCGCTTGTCCCCGACATTGCGCATCTGTACAAGACGGACCGGCAGCGGTACGAGGCGACGGCCCGGGAGTGGACACGGAAGTACGTCTCTCGGAGCATCCTCTTCCTTCTTTCGCTCGTGCTCACAAGACATTTACAATGCACAGGTACGCCATGTAGCAGTTGTTCAGACGATCACGATACATGACGAATGAGCGGCTGGTGTACGATGTGTTGTCCTCTTGCGCTGTCCTGATGTTGTTCCCCCCCCCTCCAATCGCATGTGTGTACAATCATTACATTGATGGCAATCCTTTTACGCGAATGTGATGAGATCATGTCCTCTGGAACCCTCACCTTGCATGCTGGTCGCTTGTCTGTCCGATCGACGTTCAGAAGGAAGTACATGCGAATGTGCGTGGTTTCTATGTGGTATGTGGTGTTGTGGTGTGGTGACAATAGGCCCTCCCTGACTTGACATCGTGTTCATATGGTTGCTTCCATGCTAGAGGTCTTCTGTTCCGCCTTTGAAGCGTATCTCACGGCTCGGGTTCATGTTCACCGCGGGTCCATATCGAGCAAACCCAGAGATGGACAGGATGACTTCCACCCCATCACCCCAACGACGTCATGCTGCAAATGACGCTCCATATGTCATCGAACAAACAAAACGCATATAACGGCTCTGTGGCCCGCCCCTTGAGGCTACAGAACATCCGTCGTCGACGCCTGCTTGCCCACCATGAACACGAGTCCGAACTACCATGGAGGCGGCCCAGACTACAAGGGATACGGCGCGAACAGACCGCCCCCCGGTGGCGCGAGCGGGCCCCCGAAGGCCCCTAGGCCTACCAGCAAAGCGGTACGTATATACTCCGCTTTGAATTGTCAAGGTTGTGGATGCTGACGAAGGGCGGTGATATCGATTTGGGGGAACCATAGTTCGTGGTAGCAGGCGCTGTTGTAGCCGCGGGCACGCTTGCGTTCTACTCGATGACGTCGCGCCAGTCGCAGGGAAGGGACACGCGTGAGTACCGTTTCTCTCCCTATATGATGTTGGGCTTATGGTTGGAACACGGGCGTTGTCATACGACATGGGCGCGCGTACGGCACAGGCGACACGGGGTCACTAACGGAAGCTGCGAAGAAGACGGCTCAGAAGGTGAACGTGTCGCAGAAGGCGCTCTGAGCGCAGACGCTGCAAGGGACACGGACCCACCGCACGCGCACAAAGATGCAGAATGAGATGCGCAGGACGCGCATTGTACGATATGCAGGCTCGCTAGTGTTGATTGGATTGTGAATGTTTTGTACGTACCTTCTGGTATTGATAGGTCTCCTTCGATATTTAATTTACGCTGCGAACGGTGGCGAGAGGAAGCGTGTCCGAGCAATCATTGATCCTCCGAGGTCTGATATGAATGTAGCGTACTAGCCATCTAGTCGACCTTTGCACGCTCCCCAGGTCTCCTCTCCTGCTGCTGTTGCTGCTGCGCCTGCGCCGCTTTCCGTGCTCGCCGCCACGCCGCGATCTCACGGAGAACTGCGCCGACGAGCGGCGCGGCGACGGACGCGAAGAGTGGCGTGTATACGGCGTACTTGTGCTCCGTGGGGAAGTACAGCAGGGCGAGCATGCCAGGATTGAAGAACGCGCGGGAGGAGAGGGTGAGTGCGCGCGCGGAGGCTTTGAGCGCTGCGATCGGCGAGGAGCGGGATGTTTCGTGCACCTGTGTATATCCATACGAACGCGTCAGCAAATTCGAGTCGAAATGTCGTGCGGGTAGACACACGTCATCCAGGGCCGAGAGCGCATCCTGCACGTCTCCCTTGACGTCTGGGCCGACGGGCATGCCCTCGATCTGGTCGACGAGCCGGACGATGCTCTCGAGCGTCTCCGTGCTACCCCAGACGTTTTCGACAGCTCTACGCCGCAGGAGCGCGTCGAGCTCCCAATCCGTGAACGGTTCCGGCGGGGCGCCTTCTGCGGCTGACACGGATTGAACGCGTGGAGGCAGTCCGGGAACACCGAGGAGGGTGAGGAGCTGGTAGGCGAAGGTGTTGAAGATGAGGTCGAGGTCGGATAGGGCGAGGCGCGGGAGGGGGTTGAGCGTGGATGAGGGAGGATGAGAGGGATTGTGGAGGACGATGCCTCCCCATTGTGGAAGGAGAAAGGCGTTGGACGGGTTGACGGAGACACCGTCCTCTTCCAAAATGTGTAGAGGGCTATGCTTGGAGGAGGGGATGAAGAGGACGAAGTGGATGACGGGGTCGTTGGAGGCGCTTGATGCTGCTTGAATGTCAGCAACAGTTCGTAATGCGTGGTGTGCTGCCTGCGCTGTTGAAGAGAACTTACACAATGTCCATTCTGCGGAGTTCACAAAGACGGTCAAGTCTTCGTGGGTGAGACCGTGCACGTCGCCGCCGTCTTGCTGGATATACCGAGGCTCGAATGCGAGAGGAGCGTGGAATTGTACTTGGCTCTCGATTGTGAAGTTGTGCAAGACAGACAGCTTGTTGAGCAAGGGAGATACATGTCCTATGCTCGAGGAGGTTACACCATGTTCGAACGGAGCAGGAACATTGCATTTCTTACTCTGGATGGCCTTCTGAACGTCCCAGGCAAGAGCGCCATTTCCGCTAGCTGCGTCTTCGTTGAGAAGCGTGAAGGCGAGCCGATAACGTGGGGCATATTTCATGACACGCTGCGACTGTATCGCGGAGCCGGAGTACGTGCCGTAAGGAGCTAGGAGTTCGCTCAGCGTGCTCGCTAGCCTCGCTACAGAAGTGTCGTGCGCTAGGATATGATAGCGTGTCGGGTTACACGAACTCGATGGTACATGTTTTTGACGACTCACATAGTTGGTCGTCCTCTGGGTACATGTCGAAATATAGCCGCCTGCCTTCAGCGGATGGCTCATGGTTGCCTCGATTGAGGACGACGTTGTATGAGGCATTTCTAAGATCGTCTCATGACCCTCATAATTGAAGCAAGCAGCGTACTGGACTCACGACTTGTCTCCAGACGTCACCGTAATGTCAATGGCACTCCCCTGCTGCACGGCTTGGTCCATCCGGAGGCAAGACTGCACCTCTCTCGCGATGGCCGCTGCGTTTCCGCCATCTTTTGTTTCCAAATTGACTGTGATAGGAAACGATACCTCCAGAGCTGTCAGACCCGATCGCTGCGCCAAGCTTGGTTTTGCGGTACCTCTCGTTTCCGTTGGGCATAGACGCGAGAAGTGGGTAGAGACAGTCGGTCGATGCTAGTCGTCTTCCACCACAAAGGGATTGCAAACAGTACGACTAGCCAATATGACGCAATAATATACCGCCTAGTGCGAGGTCGTTCGAAAGATAGCTGAGTAGGATCAATGTGGAGAGTGGCCATAGAGTTTCTTGTAAGTTGTGGGTAGAGGGAACTGGGGAGCGTAGTATCCGCCACCTCATTGTGGCGGCGCTTTAAAGCTGTGATGGGAGCGATCGGAGCCTGCTATATCTGGGCGCCATCTCCCTCGGAGGGTAGGCGGGGTTCATCGGAGTTGGAAACTGGCGGAAAGATGTGGCGGATGTCTCGAGCAAGACTTGACAAACGACACCCATCAGGACTTGACAAACGACACCCATCTCTGGCTCGCAGTCATCTTTGTACAGTTCTCTAGAGCTCCGAAGATACCCATCTGGCGGCCGTAATCTTTCCAACTTTACTGCTCGACATAATCGACGAATAACTCTTCGGTGTTGCTGTTTTACGACTTCTCTCGTTTGTCACAAAATCCCCCCTACATGTCCCAACCAATATCCCCCATGGCCAATAAACAGAGTCAGCGACGCCTATCCGGTAACATGCTTCCCTTCAATGTCAGCTTCCCCCCTCCAACCCGTGTTTTTCCCACTCATCGTTCTCGGTATCCCATGCAGCGGCAGCAACTACCACCGTTCGGTGATTCTGGTCCTGCAGGCCCCTCTGCTCCGTTCGGGTATTACGACAGGTACGGTCCTCCAGAGGAGCCAATCGCTCCAGCCTTTCGCGAGGGATATGCCAACGAGTATAATCCCAACTTCTGGAAACCCGAACCCGACTTCTTCCCCAATTCAATCCAGAATGCGCCTTTCCCCGACCGCGTCCCACCGCCTCAGGGCGACGGTTGGCAACGACCCCCGGGCTGGAGAGAACCTGAGCCCCCTGTATGGTCGGGGCCAGAAGGGCGGGAGTCTGCCCTTCCCGTCTCTCGTCCTCCGTTTCCGCCTCCATCGAACATCCGGCGGGGCGGAGGTTCGCGCCCTCCTCCGAACCGTATGTTCGAGCCTTCTGACAATTGGAAGCAGACACATGGTGAGCGCAACCGTGGTCGTTCCGCTTATCATTCGTCATCATCCGTCGTAGAGAGATATCGTCCATATACGCCTCCGGGCCCGAATCCGAATGTGATGCGCAATCGCTTCGGTTTCAAGAGTGGACCGCGGCGCTCGTTCCATGGACAGCCCTCTCGTCCTTTCCATGAACCTCAATCTCAGCCTTTCCACCAGCCGCCGCCGTACGAAGATAAATGGAGTCCGGACGAGGATGCGTATGGCGACAACGGTCCTCGCCGATCAGCCTCCTTCTCGAATACTCCGACGAGTCCTGAGCGAATGGTACGAATGGCTAGTCCCGCATCTCCTCGTGACGTGAGCCACTCGTCCCCGAGCTTCGTGTCTGAGCCGTTTGCACCAAAGCGAGAGTCGCCAGAGCTTCCTCACCTCGAGGCACTCCCTCCGCTCCAGCCCGTCGGCGAACCTATTCACATTCCTTTGCCAACGAGCTTGCTGCCACCAAAGCCGCAGTCGCGCTCTTCGTCACATTCTTCCGGCAGCGGCTCTGCCGCTGCAGCCCACTCACAACCGCAGCCAGCGCCGGTGCAGCCGATCTATGGGCTTCCGCCTAAACCTCCTCCCCAAGTTCGGTCTCGCCAGCCGATTTCCATCCCGATCCCGAATTTGGCAAGCGCCCATCCGCCAGCGCCTCAGGTCGCACCAGCGGACGATGTTGAGAAGACGCAGGTAACGGCCACACCTTCTCAATCCACACAGGCGGAGCCGCAGATACAAGCACGTACAGCTTCAAATTCACGGAACAATGGTGCGTATTCATGAATCAAAGTGCTGAAGCTGTTTTTGACGATGTCTTCTAGTGCGCCGTCCGTTCAACGCTCCTTCTTTTGTGCCATCCACCCTAGCCATCGATGCACCACTGATGTTCCCGATCGGGGAAAGTCAATCGAGTGCCGCGAACGCGCTAGATGAGCCAGCCAAGATAGCTAAAGATGCAGCTGAAGCTATGGACGTGTCCGAAGAGACGGCACCGGTACGTTCACACATTACTGGAGGCCATTCAGTGTTAGACGTTACTTTGAAGGTAAAGGACGTACAAGAAGCAGTCGAGGCGGGGTCTTCATCCCAGTCTCCTGCTCAAACAAATCAGCCGGCCAAGCTTTCAAAGGTAACAGGAAAGGCTCCGGATTCGGACGGTAATGCCGCAGACGAGTCGGACATGGACATGTCGCCGCCAGGGTCTCCCGCGATCAAGGCTCCCTCTCTTCCTGCTGAACCACTCTCAGAAGCAGCGAGCAGTGATAGAGAAGCCAGTCGCCCGAGTCTGTTCATTGACACTGCTACCTCGTCACCTCGAGTGCTTCATGGCGCACTCCGACAGAGCTCTTCTGCGTCGCCCGTGCCTACGACACCAGAGAACGCTGATGAGACGGCTGGCGACGAGTCGGACATGGACATGTCATCTCCTGCATCTGAGACTGCCTCGTCTCCGCCGCCTGAGCCTCAGAGTACCGCAGCACCTGCTTCTGCCCCTGCCCCTGTCCCAGCCAAAGTGTCCCTGCCTCAGCCTCCTGCAGTAGAAGATGACTCGATGATCCCCGGCTTGTCTATAGCCGACTCTGGCGTGACTCCTGCTCCTAAAGCTGCTTCTCCTGTGCTTACATCTGACCCTGCGTCGTTGCCTAAGCCTGTTGACCAGCGAACTGCCGCCAGAACACCGCCGCCTGTCGCACCTGCGCTCACACCTGCATCTGCTCTCTCGCCTGTACTTGTCTCCCTGCCAGTACCTATCTCCCCGTCAGTACCTGCCTCCCCATCTCCACCTGCTCATCCTCCCACTCCTCCGCCTACGAGCATTGTTCGTGAACCTAGCGTCCAGGCCTCTACCGTAACCCCTGTGACAGCAACGTTGGAGAAATCGCACGTCGAAGTCGGTGAGCTTTCGCCACCTGCTAGCGAGGAGACTTTGAGGGAGGACACGGAGGCTACCGAGAAGGAGACTGCCGAGAAAGAGTCATGCCCTACTGTTGTCGCCGAGGAAGCGGCTCCCGCTGCTCCAAGGAACGATGTGGTACCGTCGACTGATCCAGCAGAAGAGAAGGTGCTGCAGGAGCTGCCTTTATCGGAGGCGCTCCGCTTGGTGGCGAAATTGCGCTATCGTCACGACCCCATGACGCAGGAAGCACGCGTCGAGCCCATTCTCTACTCCAATCGACAGCTCGCTGAGTCTGAGGGTTCTGCCTCGCCTCAGCCGGAGGTTTCAGGACAGTCGGTGGTCGAGAAGGAGGCCGAGAAGGTACAGCAGCAGCTGAATGACGGCGTGTTCGGTGGAACGAAGCATTCGCTGCGGAAGCGGTTCGCGCAGCACCAGGCTGCGTTGACGGAGAAGGTATCGCGGCTGCGAAAGGAATACATGGCGTTGCACGAGCGCTGGATGGTTCACTGTGCGAAACTGGACGAGGTGGCGCGCGCCAGCGCACTCGAGGAGGCTGCTGCTACAGCAGGTCGTACTACGAGGCGCACGGCGGCCATGGGCGACGCTGTCCGCTCGGATCTTGAGATGGAGCAGATCCTGGCGAGCCTTGGCAACGAGGAGCTTACGGATGCGAACCACCTCTCGCAGAAGAACGCGGCTGTCATTCCGGACATGGTCTCGGTGACGAAGGGCCGGGTGGAGTACATCTACGACGACACGAACAACCTGGTCGAGGACCCGCACGAGTTCTACAAGCTCGAGACTGGCATCGATGACTGGACCGAAGAGGAGAAACAAATCCTCATCGACAAGTACGCGATCCACCCGAAGCAGTTCGGCATCATCGCGGACTACCTCCCGAATAAGACTCCTGCGCAATGCGTCACCTATTACTACCTGCACAAGAACACCACCATCGACTTTCGCAAGATCATTGCACAGTACAACACCATCGGGAAGCGGACACGTCGCGGTCGAAACGCCAAGCAGAAGGGCAATGCGCTCCTCGCGGATATTCTCAAGCATGATGACGAGGTGTCGGGGAATAGGGATGGGACACTGAGCGCGTCTGGCAGGCGGAAGCGCGGCACCGCGGGCACGGCTACCCCAGTGCCTCCTGCTAGCACGAGCACCGAGGCGACCGACTCTGCTTCGACGCGAAAGGCCCCGTTATCGAGGAGGGGCACGGCCCAGAACACCCCAGACCCCACGCCTACTCCGGATCCCGAGCCTAGTGGGCAGAAGCGTCCTCGTCGTCGAGCGAATCCCTCCGCGAAGGCTGCCGCTGCTGCTCTGGAGGCAGATATCCCCGATGAGCCAGTGGTGAGTGATATCCCAAGTAGGTCCTCATCTATATGCTGACAATCATCCGATCTTAGCCGGAGGAGGAGCGACCAGTGAAGCGGACTCGGAAGGGCCGTAAGAGTAAGGCCGAGCTGGAGGCGGAAGCCGCAGCTGCCGGAGATGAGAGTCACACACCTTCAACTCCTGTAATGGAAAACAAGCCCCCTGAACAACCGCAGCCGGAAGCGCCGCCGAAAAAGAAATCGGGAAGTGGGTCTGGGAACTGGACCGAAGACGATAGAGGCAAGTATTATCCGTATCACTCCTCCCCGCCCCGATTAGTGATACAGGAGCCCCTGACAGCTCTTTTCCTGAAGCTGCTCGCCCAGCATGGTGATGATTTCAAGCGTATCGCTTCCTCTATGGCGAACAAGGTGTGTATAGGGGCTGCCCACCGTTCTCGCGCAAGTATCTTACGTAGTCTCGTCGGCTCGCTTCGTAATCAGACAACAATCCAGGTGGCGGCGTTCTACCGGTCGCACTCGACGGAGATGAATCTATCCAAGGTTGTGGCACAAGCTCCAAAGAGGTCTCCGACGCCACACGAGAACGGTCTGAAGGGAAACAAGCATGCGACTCAGGTTATCGACGGAAATGTCATAGCCCGCTCCAAAAGCAGCGGTCGCATGTCACCACCTCCCAATCCGGATGCCTCTCGGCCATTCGAAGGTGGCACACGGCCTCCCTCCAGCGCATCTACTTCTGCGCCGCCGAATGGCATACCTGTACCAATGTATCGACCTTCTGCGCCGTATCAGGGAGGCATCGGCTCCGCTTTCGCTAGTACCTCTCGCGGCAATCCTAACCCGCTCACGAACGGCTTGGGCGGACGTCCTCCAACGCTGACGATGTCCTTTCCCTCTGCAATGGCCTACTCGAACCTCTCTCCATCGAGCTTCGCAGGGCAGCCACCACTCTCACACCCTCGTTCCGCCTCCGGTCTCCCCGGTACTCCCGGTGTGGGCGGAAGTAATGCGATGATGATGGAGTTCAGCGAGTTCGCGCCCCAGCCATGGCAAGTACCTGCGCTCACGCACCCAGGAGGCGCACCCATTGTCCCTGGAACTGCTGCGGGAGGCGGGTTGCCAGCTACGTTGGAGACGACAGAGGATCTTGTACGTTACTTGGAACATAGAACACGGATGTCCGCAGGGAAGAGCACTGAAGCCGACTTCATGTAGGCTGTGGGTACTCGCTCGCTAGGCTGAGATGCGCCTTAGGACTCCACGACAGACGTTGGAGTGCTTGCGATGTTCGGTTATGCTCTTATCTATGAGTTGTTTATTATGTTCTATGTTTGCGCTCTGTGTGCCTGTGCCCGCAGCCTGTGTCATAGCTACTCCGAATACTTCTTGTGGGTCTCTAAATCTGCCCGGCAGAGCTCGACGGCTTGGAACTACCATGAGTTCCCGATAGCCAATCGAAATCGCCATTTTACTCAGATCCTCCGGTCTGTTCCAACTTGTGACAGAATTGGGTGTCTGGGGCCTCTTTCTGCTGGCGATGGCAGGCGATCGCGTTTGATCGGACAGGACCACCTACGTAGGTTGGCAGGAAAAGTCATTAGACAGCGTTGCATAACAAGTCAACGTCGGTTGTTAATGTGATGACACAGAAGTAGGTTGCGCAACGGGCATCAGGATAGTGACTCAAGAGGTACTATCTCCTTCCTTCCACCATAATGATGTGATAACCAAACTGGGTCTTCACGAGAGGCGACAATATGGGCTTATCCACGGTGGAGGGCTGAAGCGCGAAAGCGGCGTCTTGGAATGTCCCCTTCGCGACGTGAGTGCATTATCCCCGAATGAGTCAAGTGCGTGATAGCGTTGCCAGGTACATACCACCATAGATCCGCGGACCATCCAGCCCAAGCTCCCGCCAGCTGGTAGGAACAATAAGAGAGGGGACGGGACGCATGGTGGTGGATACGATTACCTTTGGCCTTGTCCTCGGAGTACTCTTGGGCCACCTTATCAAATCGTTGGCCCTCCTGTAGTCATCATATGCCGTTCACATTCCTGATGAGAGCGGTAGAATATAAGTAGACGGACCTGAATCTTCTGCAGGGCCTCGAGAGCTTTGGACTGCTTTACGCATAGGATGTGACGGACGTTCACCGCCGTTGCTGCCTTCAAAACATTACCCTTTCCCTATTCCGAAAATGCAGTGAGCATATGGAATGGTCACTGCAACATGAGATCGATCCGAGTTCCGCCTTGGTATGCCGTGTCCGCTCCGTAAGAAACCAAGACATTCACCTTCTTGTCTGCAGAGTCGTCATCCTTGGTTGCGGAGGTGTTCTTCCCTCCACTCTTTTTGTCAGCGGCCTTCTTATCGGTGGATGCGCCACCTTTCTTAGCCATTGATTTGAGTTCAAGTTACTGTGGACCAGGTGTTGGATTGAGAGTACAAGTCCTTCCGAGAGGATTCCGTGGGAATCTGTGGCCCATGTTGAACAACGTAGGCGCTGGATACGCTCCGGCAACTCACGACTCGATGCCTGCTTTCAATCGTAATTCGTTACCCGGACGGTCAATTTCCTACACAACGGTGGATTCCGCAGGCTTTGATATATGTACAGGAAGCAGCACAGACCATACTGTCGAGGAAACCTCGCAGCTCGAGAGCCGGAGGGGGCACCGATGATCTAGTTCTTCAGTGTCCCCGACGGGCAATTGCAGAGGGTCTGTGGACTCAAGTGACGTCTCAGAACGAGGGAGTAGAGGAGCATAGCATTGCAAATCATATGGCATCTTCCTAATGCAACAAAGCCCCTTAAGCCATTGCGGCCCTCCATCCAGATACCCGGGCTGATTCGATATCTTCCTTCAACTCTCCTGATGTCTTCTTGCTCAGCATAATGACAGTTCACGAGAGCCACCGCCTTGGCAGTGCTCACCACAGCAACCATATGCTTATGATCGTCGCTGCGGAGAGGGAAGAACCCATGACCGCCCTAGCTCGATGGGGACCAGTGGAGCTTGGAAGTGACATCATTCAACATCCCGGGCCAGTCAGTACTTGAGATGAAGACTCCGATGGTGGGACTGCCGATATCCTTTCCGCAACCTAGCCTCGTTGATAATAGGCAGTTCATATGCTCACCTGATGAGTAGGGTTCGAAGAACGGTCTTGTTACCGAAACCACAGTGGAGCTGAAAAGAATCTCGTAATCTCTATGAGAAGCCCGATAACCGTCGACTCGTTGAAACTTTAGGTAGTGGTCTCGAACAGTCGTCAATGGGAGCGAGACGAGGGGTACATCCGGTCTTCAGACCCAACTAAGCGAAGTGAATACAACACTATATACAATGTATGCTAAGGCTACAAGTACAGTGCGTAATCATAAAGACATGCTCAGGATTGCGCGCAGACGTCCTGCAAGGACTTACCATCCCGCATCTTCCTGTGGCCCTTGACAGGGAACATCGGGATATCCTCTACGATCTCCGAAGACGACGGGCGGATTTGGGAGCCGAAGGCAATATTACTGATCATCGCATCTCCAGATTCTGTTGCTGCTGCCGTTGCGGTGCCGCCCTGGCTCATCCCGCTCATGCCATTGTCGATGGGAGAGCAGTTGAGAGCGACGAGGACAATGATGAGCATCGGATAGATAGCCTATAGTGACATGTGGTGGCATCAGCTAGCTGCACGACAAGCATGATCCTCAGAGCCTCATCCTTACGACAATGGGTACGAAGCAGCCAAATGTGTAGTACGACTCTGCTCGCAAGAGCATGTTTTGATGAGCGTGCAGAGGCGTATTGGGCTTAGCTGGCCCGATTTCGTACAGGACTAGTAGGATCTAGGACGGACGCAGTCAGTATGCATAGCACGACGGAGGACAACTGTGGAAACGGGGCCGCACTAGTAGAATACAATAGATTGTTCCAGACTCGATGAGCAAGATCAGGGCCCTCGCCACCCTAGCTGCTCGTTCACCCGTTCGCCCGCGCAGGACTCTTCTGTGCTGCCTGGACATGGCATCAGCCCGCGGGAGCGCACGAATGTCTGCAGATGAGAAGGTAACGCACCACGCCTTGTACGCGATCAGAGCGGTGGCGAATATGTTCGTAGACAGAGATAGTACCGCGCTAACCTTCGAGAAGGCGCCGTCCTGGAATAGATAGTTGGGGAAGAGACAAGGGCATTCGTGACATGGACATTCATGGTCTCCCAGAGCAATGGCTACAGTTCCGAACCCTGCACCATCCAGGGTGAGAAGACGCTGCGCGCGTCAAGTTTAGAGCTGATATGTGCGTACCGACTGTCAGGGCGATGAGAAGGGCACCGCCATAGTAGACCAGGCGATTTCGCCAGACAGCACACGCCCGCCACCACACGATGCTGTCCCCTAGTACAACCTAGAAGTCCTACGTGAGTAATACGGCGTTATGTACAACAGCATGTGGCAGGCGACTCACGTTGAGACCTAGGGCCATCGTCATGATCAATGATTGTGTCGAGACCTTCCGACTAAGCACAGCGACGTCTCCGCCAATATCAGCATCGGAATAGAGCCCACCACGAGCGCTGGAGACAGCTCGACCCACGCTCGTGATGTACCACCCTTTCGTTGCTATCCACAGGGTCGTAGACATGTATAGCAGCAGCGTGCTGAGGAGGAGTACCCGAACGGAGGTCCTTCTCAGTCCATTTCCACTACAACCCGACAGCTGTCAATTTTTGTAGGTGTATGATGCATGAACAAAACAACTTACGCTAGAAAGAACACGGCAACCAGAAAGAGAGTGGTGAGTATGCCTAAGGTTGTTTAGATGAGAGACAAGCTCAAAGGGTCGTTCTTGGAGAAGATCGCACCGAAGAGGACGGTCGAAAGACCAAGCTCCAGAGCCACGTAGGGTAGATCGGTAGCGAAGAACAGCGTAACGTTCAGTGCGCCATGGTTGACCTCTAAAGAAAGTCGTCCTGGTGCCACCGAGACATTAGCTGACATCAAAGGTCAAGTAGCGTCGAGCAAGTGTCGTGGTGGGAGCGGATGTTCGCGGACAGGAGAGTTTGCTGTTGAGTCGATTATTCACTTTGAGGTGCAGTACTTTAGGTCAGGTCAAGCGCGATGACGTGTGTCAGTGGATAGTGATCTGATGACCGCCAGCAAAGCTTTTAGATCGAGCTCACCGCTGTACAGTGAGATGCGTTGGTAACGAAGGTCGTCTACCGTCTCCGGGGTATCGCTTGCGTGAGAGTAAGCAGTGAGGTCAGGACTCTGATGAGGAGTCGACGCATGGGTGAAAGCATTGACATGGTGAACTCGCAGACAGGACATCCCGGTGTGGTCTTTATGCCCCATCAGCACCCGGTCGCGAGGTACCCGAGTGTTCGTGGTGATGGAGTCGGGAGGTCACGGGTATGTTTTATCCGGAGTTTTAGCATCGGTCTAATACGCTTAGTAATCAATGCACAAGCCCATGTTCTCGTGTTGAAGCAAATGTCAATCCTTTCACTCGACTCGGAAAAAGTTGCAGTGAACTGGGTAGAATAGACTTTCGAATCGCAAAGCGAAGGGAGGCACAAAGGCCCCGCACAGTTCTAGGCCTGCGGTTGGGCGCCATGCGAGTCGAGCGCCTACAAAAGCCTCAGGCTGCTCTCAGCTACGCACAGATTTTCGCTCCGAGTCCGATACTAGCGCTGCACCAGAAGTGCAAAATCCGCGCTCTTACTCAAAAATCTCCCGACTCACTCGAGATTGTACTCCCGGATCTTCATAACTACATTCTGTGACATCTCACCTATCACCTACAGTTTTTCGAGCTTCAAGAACGGAGCGATTGGGAGACCCGAGGGAGAAGATTGAGTGCAACAGTAATGCAACTAGTTGGAGCGTCTGAGTAACGGCGGCGTCACGGGCGGTCGAACGGCAATCGGCGGCATTTTGTAACCCCGCTGGGACAAGACACACACCTCCGCTATCCCGGCTAAGCTGAGTACGACTGAGATCGGGTCCTTTTGAAGCTCCGACAGCCCGAAGGTGGCTACTTGTCACGCTCAGGAACTCGTTCAGCTCTCTAGGCCCACCTATTGCTCCTATAGCCTCGGAAAAATAGACGCAAGTTCTTCTTGCACTACGAACACATATTGAAACTTGGAGAGAATCAGACTGCAAGAACAGTGAGCCGAGGGCATTGATGTCGTGAAGCCCCTCATCTTTCCAACTAATAGTCATATATCTTGACAACCTCAAGACCGTTTTTTCCAATTCTTTCACGATACTATAGAGAAGCTTCATACGCACACGACACAAAAAGAATCTGGTCATTTGATGAGGATCTGATGAATAGCGCCTTAATTTGCACTTCTGTTGCATGATTTCACTATTTGCACTTCTGGTGCAGCGCTAGTATGCAGCGATATTGAGTAGGTGCCTTGGATCGACTATATCTATTGCTATATACGTACCTTTTCTCTCTCCAGCGATGTCGGCCAAGCGAACATGTCTGCATCCTACACTTTTTTGCAACCGGTAGTAATACCGGCAGGCTGCCGCTCAGCCAGGACCAGATGCCCGGGCTACCACTCCCGAAGAACCTTACGCAATGAAGACCTAGCAATAGCCTCTCGCAAGGATGGCGCTACATCAAAGTTCCTGATGATCTGGGGCGACCCGTCCAGTAGGCCTTCAGTGATACACAAGAACTGTATCTGAAACTCACGATCCGATGGATAAGCGGATAGCTGGTCTTCTTCGATTCGTCGCTCATCTGGATTGTGACACTCGATGAATGTCTATACGTCGCAATCAACAGGGCAAAACCGAACTCACCCTAATCAATGCCGACTTTAGCAGCGTTCAGTACTATAGAATAGCAGGCGCATATCTGCCAAATGTCAACCATGCGCCCCCCGAGTTTGCCGCTCACATGAAGCATGAAGTTCCTAGTCCTGTGAGTGTTGCCACGCATACAACACCGCAGTATGCGCACTCACCGGTGAGCAGGAGGACAGAAGCGAGTGTCTGTCGACCAATAAACGGCCCATGAAACTCCCTCTGTGCGGATCTAGCAAACATGAAGCGAGGGATGCAATCGGCCGTAATGAGGCACGTTGTGGACTCGATTGTAGCTGTAGGGGGAGACAATGATCAGTGAGCCTGACATCATGCAAGGCGAAGGCACCTACGCCTCCAGCGGCGATTTCATAGTAGTTCCCGAACCAGGAGGCTAGTAGACACGAAGTATGAATGTTCAGTTATAGATGAAGGCCACCGTAGTATTGACAATTGGATCCCCTGTTCCACGTATTCCGAACTAAGGAGAGAGATATATTGGAATAAAACAAGAAAAGCTCAGCATATGGGGCAGAAATGCGGGACGGCACCAGGTGGCACTGGGAACATGAACTCAAGGTTCGTTGATCCAGACTCCGTGTTCGCGGAACTCTCACCACAACACGCCGCCTCTTTAGAAAGGATGATATCAAGGCGTATAAAGACCGAGAGATAGCAGCGCTCAAAGTGGTGCACAGACGATTGGCTACCGCTCAGATATCTATAGCGTCGATACCCGGGCAGTGTCCAGATTCTTCATCGACCACCATGGACCAGAAGTCCAAAGATGTGAATAAGGTAACGGCTGGCCAAGATGGTCAGCCGACCCGGAACCAATGCTGCCATATCTCTGCGGGCGAGGCTGGCCAACCCTACGTCGTAGTCTGAGCCTCGACAGCGGCACCGCTAGGCAGGAGAGATTTGATCGTGTAAATGCTCGCTGAAGGTTGTACTGTGCAACGAAGGCACAGCTGCATGATCTTGATTCACAAGCTCTTTTCGCAAGGTCTCGATGAAGAGTATACACTTAGCTTGGACCTCCCGTCCGTGCCATCTTCTTATCGTGCCCCCGTTTCCTATCACGGTTACCCCTCCTCTCCTTCCAAGCGCGGTCTCGTGCGGTGTCACCATCGCCGCCGCCACCACCTCCGCGCCCTCCACGGCCACGCCCCCTGCCGCGACCCCGCGGACCATGGCCTCCTCCCGGACCCGAACCTCCGCCTCGCGACGCAGGTCGGCTTCCTTCCGCGATAGGAGCGTTCAAGATTGGCTTGTTCCCGCTGAACTCGTGCTTCGCCAGTATCTTCTCTTTCTTCTTTGGCTGCACATGATTCCACGTCAGTGAGATCAGCGTTCGGGGACTGCACTTTGCGCACACATACATCTTTCTCGAGCATGATCTTCCACCCTTCGATCTGCTCGTCTGTCATCCCAGTCTGCGCCTTGAGGTCCACGCGCGCCTTGCTCCGGCGCGTCTGCGCGTCTCTGTCGAACTGCTTCGAATCTTGGATGTACGCCAGCTCCAGAATGGTCTCCGGATTACGTGAGGTCTGTGGCGGAATGTATCAGTATGCACGCTGTTCGAATCAGGGTAGTAACGAAAACAGGGGGACTCACCTCATCACCGCCGTGTTCCTCTCCATCGGTGCCTTCTTCCTCTTCCTCGCTAATGTCTCCATCTCGGACCTTGATTGCCCCTTCTTCGTCCAGCTCTTCCTCAAATGCGATCGCTTTGCCCCTGCTCTTGCCGCCTTCAGCCTCGTCTTCAGAATCGGAGATTTCCTCCGCGCGCCGGAGTATGTCTGCTTTCATCTGCTCGATAAATGAGCGGTCCTCTGATACGTTATGGGCGTCGTCACTATAGGAGTGCTAGATCAGGTACCCACTAGACGGCAGCGGAATTTTGGGCTTACCTCTTCTTCCCAATCTTGACCTTGCTCAGGTCCATGACGTCGTCGTCCCACACATTTCGTCTCTCCCGCGTGAACACAAACGCATCGTGCTGCACATCCAGCGCGGACGCAGCGGCCCCACCATCCCTCGCCAGAGCGGCGTCGACGTCCGCCTGCAAGGGAGCAGTGCCCTCGAGCAGCGCGCCGATGAGCCTCTCCGCGTCCCCTCTGTACGGATAGTCGCTATGCGACAGCAGGTACCGCACATACGCCGCGTCCTGATCCGGCAGCAAGTCCAGGACCTGCGCTACCGCCAGGTCCAGCTGCTCCTCAGGCACACCCTCTTCCCCGGCTCCCCCACGTCCGACCCGCTGTCCGGCACTAGTGTCTTTGCCCTTTCCCTTCGTGTCGATCTTCACCGCAGCGGGCCCGCGCCCGAGATTGTCGATCCCAGGGGGGACGCCCGACGAGCGCAAGATAAGCCTGAGCGCCCCGGGCGCGCGCGTGCCAGACCCGGACGAGCCCTCCGCGCTCGCGGCCATCTCGCGCAGAGACGCCTCGAGGAGGTCCGCGCGCGCGTCCTCCGTGCGGCGGAGCACGTCCTTCAGCGTGTGCGCAAAGTCGTACGCATGCTGATAGTCCGCGATAAGCGGGCGGTTGAGGAAGGGCGTCGGGGCGAGTCCGCCGTCCACACCGTCTGCAGGGGCAGGAAGGTTAAAAAGGCCGAAGAGGACTTCTAATGAGGGCTCCGCCTGTGCGGCGAGCGCGGGGCCTGCGTGGGCGACAGAGGCGACATCGTCGAGCAGGGTCTGGACGAGAATGTGGAAAGCGTCAAGCAGCGCAACTTTGGTCTCGAGGAAGAGGCGCTCCCACTCATCGAGCTCGCGTTCCTGCGTGTTCGCGCTAGAGAGCGCAGTCAGCCCCCCGTAGGTCTGCGCAACGGAAGCGAGGCCGGCGTGGTATGCTGTCGCGAGCGTACGGACGAAAGTCGTACTCCGTGCGAACGTACGCACAACTACTGCTGGAACAGGCCGCAGGAAGGATAGGACTATGTGGGACATCTTGCGTAGGCCATACAGACCCTGATTGGTAGAAGCGAGGAGGGCTGCGAACGCCGGTAGTGCGTTGGAATGCACCTCTTCTACCGATGCTGGAGCATTCGGGCTATGCACGAACGCGGCGGAATACAGAGCTCGGAGGCGGGACGGGGATACGCGTGCATAGGCCACGCTGAGGTCGACAAGGGTTTGGAGATCGAGCGTACCAAGCGGCGCGAGCCGTTCTGCGAGCAAGAAGACTGCGTGGCGAATGTTGCGCTCCACCGGGCTTAGCTTGTTCAAGTCGGTGCTCCATACAAGAGCTTGGAGGGATTGCTGCGCAGCGTCCTTAACATAAGACGAAATGAATGTGAGAGTCGCTGGTGTCGAGATCTGAGCATCAGGAAGGGAGAGGACCTGGAAGAGGGCATTGGAGATCGTCTGTGCGAGTGTTGACGACTGGGATGGGGTAAGGGATGCTCGGGCCCGCGTAGATGGATATGGAGGCAGCGGCTGGAGTGCGATTGCCATTGTACGACGGTCCGCTGCACAATATAAGATCTCTATGCTACAGCAGAGGACACAAACGACCACTCACGATCAGGTCACTTCAATGTGGATGTCTTAAAGCCTAGAGGGAGACGGCTTGCACACGAGGGAATAGAGATGGTAGACGTAGTGGATAAAGGGACAGAATGTACATCGAGCAGATCCGAACGTCGGCGCCTAAAGCGCACGACATCATATTCTACACTTCTCCTCGCGGAGGACAGGGAGATCGATGTGAAGATAGGGGAAACAGCGAGAAAATGCGAAAAGTGAAAAGATGTGAATGTATGGATGTTGGTAAGCGTACCAGAGAACTTCTCGTATCCAACTCCTCGCATCCAACTCCTCGCATCCAACTCCTCGCATCCAACTCCTCGCATCCAACTCCTCGCATCCAACTCCTCGCATCCAACTCCTCGCATCCAACTCCTCGCATCCAACTCCTCGCATCCAACTCCTCGCATCCAACTCCTCGCATCCAACTCCTCGCATCCAACTCCTCGCATCCAACTCCTCGCATCCAACTCCTCCTCACTCTCCTCAGGGATGACAGGCAACCACAGAGAGACGGGGTATGCGGTTTGATTGGGAGTGGAGTGTACGACAATGAGAGTGGGGGGTGCCATATCGCAGGAGATAGAACGTGGAGGTGAACGGGGACATCCGTGAGGGCAGCCGGACGTGTATAATGCCAGCCGACAGCTGGTGTATCGCAGAAACGCGACAGTCCAAACACAAGAAATCCTTGAGACGAAGGCCAGAGCTCGCAGGGAAACACCAGGAGAGTTGCCAGAGACAGGAAGGGTTTATTTGATTAACACGCCAAGTTCTAGGAAAGCGTCGGGCAAGACGAGCGTGAAGGCCTGGAATATCGTCAGGCAAGACAAGTGTGAAGCCTGGAAAAACATCAGGCAAGACAAGTGCAAGGGCCTCGGAGACCGTCAGGCAAAAGCGACCAGTTCAGAGACCATATAAGCGACGAGACGGCGTTGTACCAACAACGTGACAAAAGAGACAGCAAGACAATGCTGACCAGAGGCGACGAGACAGCGTCGTTCTGAAGATATGACAGAGGGAGAGGGCGCAGAGAGACAGCGCAGAGACCACACGAGAGGCCGACAGGGACATGTGGCAGAGGGGACAAGCGAGAGCACAGCCTATGTGGAGCTGCGAAGAGGAGTATAGTCATCCCAAGGCCTGGAACTGGGTGACCTGTATGCGCCGTACAAAGGCATGGTGGTACCGACGCCGGTGTCGGTGACTATAAGCGTTGTGGAGCTGAGGAATCCGAGTCGATAGAAGTTGAGTAGGACAAAGCCGGCGGGCAGTAGGCAAAGGACATCCGACCGGAGAAGAATATGCCAGTAAGACCGGGACGATATTGCGCCTGCAGGGTTGTCCAAGATCGGGGGAGGGACCTCCTTTGTGGGCGTGTGCGACACGGACGCCGACAGTTCGGGGTGAAAACCAGTCTTGAAAAGCCCATACGAGAATACAGATGGGAGGGACACTGCGATGCACTACACAAGCGGATATCCGGAGGGGATGCGGTTCCATGAACACAGCATTGAAGGGCCGCACCATGAAAGCGACGGCTGCTCGCAGAGCCGCGACCGGTAATGTAGAGTATACACGACCCCAGAGAGTTGTCGTGGTCGTGAGGGGCAACGAATGTGCTTGAGGCGATAGGATTGACCTCGAGATGCAAAGGGGAAGACTGTTAGAATGTTGTCGATGATCCGTCGTGAGTGAGGTCGGCGGAATGATGAATATTTTGGTATGATTTCCAGGCTACTAGCAGATCAAGGTCCAGAAAGTATTGACTAGGGCAGTAGGGTCAGTATCCGGTCTGCATACCAAAACGTTGCGAGCAGGATGGATTGGCCTACGGCAAGTCGTATTACCGATCTGGGCGAGGCCACGAGCGCTAATGAATATCTTGCGCTTCACCACAAATGTTTGCGTCCCCCTGCACCCACACCGTCCTCGCGAAATTTGATGCCCTACGGTCATCCAAAAATCGGCATCACACTGTGAAGAATAAGGAGAGCTCCCAGTTAAAGGCGAAGAGAGGTGAGGACACCCTCGCTCGCATCCACCGTAATGGGAGTCTCATCGGAGCCAATTTGTTGGAATGACTTGCGATGTGGTGAATCAGGAGCTCATGATAGAGCCCGCCATTAAGCCCTAACGCGGGGATTTTACGTGCCCAAATCGACAAGTCACCGAACAACACGGCTCGCCAGGCTCATATCCCACAGTCACTCTTACAAACAGGTATCATGCGGAGGCTAGCATTGCCTGGACCTGGTCTCGTACACACCTATCTTCACTAGCTCCTCACCGACCTAGATCAGATCAGATGGAGAACTTGGGAAGGCAAGCGGGTGTTTAAGGCCCCCCCGAACCTAGCTCCAGCTTGAAAATGTGGAACGGAGGCCCGCGTAGAACTTTGCTGCAGGACCGGTCACCGCCGCGGGAACTGCAGATCGACGCCTACAAATTCATACCGCTCCCGGCCTCGTTTGGTCAAATTGCTGTTCAGGTGATTCAAAGTTTGAGCTTGGTATGCCCCGCGTTAACGGCGACCGCTGATGACTACTAGGGCGGCCACGAGTTCACCATGGGTTGCGCAGTCCGTGTTCTCATCAACCTGTGTTGGCTATTCCACTTGGAGCCACCACTGACCCTCAAGATAGCAGATCTGCGAAACTCTATGCGACTAGGTTTACAGATGCTGAATCGGGCTTGTTTGAGAAGAACGGGCTAGTGCTCAAGCAAAGGTGAAACGTTCACCGCTAGTCGTTCAAGCCAGCATACAATGACCAGGACGAAATAGAACAGTACGGGGGACAACGAATGTACTGGCACGCATGGAGAATCGGTGCATATAGGTGCGGGTCTTCAACTGCTGCTGGCTAACGGTGGAAACCATGACTCTCTTGACGCGAACTGACTGTACACTTCCGCCCTAGACCCCCGCAGAATTGCTTATGCTATACAGCATGAGACCATCCGACGGCGCATTTTTTTAGATCATTGCGACGCCGCTGCTTTCCACAAACCACCAATTGCCACATCCGAGGCCCGAGGGGAAGCATTCTTCACCTCATCGGGGTTCCTTCCGCATCCACCTTCTATCTGAGCGCTGTCTTACACCGCGGACATCCCATACTCGTGTCATGCCTGTTTGTCGGCGACCGCGCAGCAAGGAAGGCATAAGGCGACGACCCAGAGCTGCCGAGGGCTTGAAGGCTATCCCGCCAAGGGCACCTTTCTATGTCAAGGCATTGAGAAGGGCTCAAGTATTCCCCCGCTGGCATGCCGGCCACTTCCTTCACAGCGTACGTCCACACGACCTAGCATCGGGTGCTGACTGTCTAGCATCGGGTGCTGAACGTGGCCACATAGAGCGAACGCATCCCAACGGGCTGTCCCAACGTCAATTCCCTCGGCGCGGGGTAGCTGTTTCGCATCGTATACCGGTATGTACCCGAAGGATGCCCATTCCTGCGAACAGCTGGGCCGCTCTATCCGCTGCGATGCTCGGGGAAGGTCCGTTTATTGCGCTGGCAGCTGTAGCGGAGATGTATTGGCGTGAACATCCCCAAGTTAGCGAGCACAACTGACGTCACGCAGGGTGTCCTGCGGCGCCCACATGCCTTTACGGCCAGGCGGCATATCCGGCACTGTGGTAAAGTGTTCATCGTACATGGATGGAGGCGAAAGGAAGCTCGCGGGTGGCCTTCGACGACGCTCGGCTATTCTGAATACCGTCAGCTCACTTTACCCATTTCAGAAGGGATAAGGGCTGAAATCGATGGATGTTAACCCGGAGAGGAACCTTATCTGTGCGTCGTGCTAAACAGAGTTCAGAGACCAAAACGACAATCGATCTTGCAGCGAAACGTCTCCTGCAATTCCGGGCCGGTACGTCAACTAACTGCACCTGTGCTAGCACTTATTCGACTTAGGGCGAGCCCGGCGGCTCCTCTGCGCTTGCACACTGCGAACAAATATGTAATAATGATGCTCCTTATGGATCGCAACGCCCTCCATCAGGACGCGCCTCGCCCGGCGGAGAAGAGACGGACAGGGCGGAACGCGGGCGCAAGGTCTAGCGGAATCAGCGGAGGACAAGAGAAACCCACGACAGAGTATCAACGAACCAAGGTACTGGCAGCGGTGTTAGCTTTCTCGTGCGACGGCACCATGCATATGGCGGGTAGTGTGGGCTATCCATGTCAGAACAACGAGAACTCCTTGCGCATCCGTGTACCGAGATTCCAGAGAACGGACCCGGCCTTCCTTATCAGCCGGAAGGAGAGAAAGAGAAGGGTACGTGCTCAATATATCTCTTCATTATGGCGGCACAGGTGCGCAGCTGCGGGAGAATCGACGACAGCTGCCATGCGAATTCAATTTACAAGGTGCGCATGATCTCACTTTGAATGAGACGCGGTTGACAGCAAGTGTCCAGCCCTCTGACGTGCTTTTGGTAGGCGACAGGGTTATCCGAAGGGCTTGTGACGATCGTCGGGTGTGATTCATCACCCTTCATTCAACGTTATCATGGGGCGGGCACCTGCCTCCACGGGTCAAGAGGCTTGCTTCTCCCGCTTCTGGGGACTCAGAGAAGAAGTGTTCTCTGAACGTTAAGCTCTCGCTCCGCTCCTTCCTTCGGGCCACAAATTGAGGCCTTCCGAAATTGATGGCTTGGATGGGATGTCGTTGGAGGCATATCTTGACTCTATCAGTGGGCAGTCGAGGATATCATACATCAACAACCCGGCAGACTGCCGACGCTGGAGTGGACTTGAATGAATGGGTGCGCCCTTAGCACCTGGTGGGAAAACTAGCGGCAGTCGAACTACAAACTGTGCCATATCGGGGACTCATGCCGGTACGTTCTCACCACGTGACGGCGTGACGGCGTGCGCGAGGGCCCCTGCAACGCGCTGACCCGCCCCCATTGCCGTCAATCTCGACAGGTATCACAACTTCCACGACCTCAGTCCGTTGCTTGATCGGTGTACTTCGGCACACTGTCAAACAAGCCCGAGTTATGCACGGAAGTCGGTAAGCAAATTGCCAGAAAATGAGCGGTACGACATCTCACAATTGACGCCATGTCATAGAACCATGCAACATGCGCATCGTCCGACCAACGGATATAGACATGCTTCTCGGCAATGAGCCGATATACCCGAGAGTTGGGTGCCTACATACAGCCGATGTTCGTCATCAGACCTATATTACTGTCGGGAGCTGCGCAATGGCTCGATGAAGCTTTCAATGCCGCGCCAAAGCCTCGTGTTGAAGCAGAGGAAGTTCTGCACATTCCAGGAATCTATTTGGAATTTGTGGCAGAGCATCAGACACATACCGTCATTATTCTATACAGATGTCTTCAACCTCTTGCATCCATTGCCATGCAAAGCCGACGAGTATGTGACGATGAGTTAGCCCGAACAAGACCTAGGCAGCATCCCCTGGAGGGTCTCTTCTCAGGCATGCGGGGAGCTTATCTTTCCGATATTCTCGCTCTGCATTCTCATCGTGAAAAGCTAGCAATCCTTGTGTGACTGCGTAGGTTTCCCTCGCGAACACCTCGAGAGTATCGAACCATCAAGTGCGCCAAGAAACCTGTAATTATCGGTGCATCGGAGAGAGAAGGGGAAAGAGAGGAGGTTCGGAGCACTGCTTTACATACAGTTAATCGACGGCTAACGTGGGAAGCCAGCTCTGATGAACGCCCATTTGTACATCCAGGCACTTTCCCCCCTCAAGATTCGGTAAGTAGCTTCCATGTCCTGTCCAACGTCTTCTACTCCTCCAGTCTCCTCAGCTTCCAGCTCACCAGCATGCATCGTCTCAGACCCGAGGCTGTATGCTCGGGGCTCTACATGTCCCGTTCTTTCGGCGGTCCGATCACGCATCACTCCATTACGACCACGGAGGGACCTTGGCGAGTCCGCGGCAGCAGGAAACGCTAGGGAACGCCGCAACTCCTCGGACCTGTTCTCGCGGTCGTCCGCTGCTTTCCCCATTGCATCTCGCGCTTATCCTTCGCGGGCCACCGCTTCTCGTTTTCGCGCTGCGTATTCCGTTATTCCACATAAACCTTCTGATATCGGTCCGCTTTAGGTTACTCTCCCGTTTTCGGCTACTGAGTACCCAACGTCGAGGCTGCACGAGACTTGCACCCATGGACGCCTCCTCCTGTCTTGCTACCAATGGGGCTCCCGATCTAACCTGCTGCCATCCTTGGAAGCCATGACACCTGGCGACGCTCCCTTTAGGGATGCTATGGCCTTGACTAGACCCCACGCTCCAGTCTTCCCAAGCACAAATGTATTTGCTGTACAGATTGCAGGACCCTCGTTCTCCGATCCGCCGGGGCCTCGCGGCTATCTGCTCCCTCGTTCTTCTTTCGCCGAGCTGTTTCCAACAGTCCATCTGCCCGGATCTCTCGTGAGATACACGCAGATCTAGTCCCGGGAATTGTGAAACCTCTTCCTTGCGGCCTATTTGGTCAAAGCATCGCTCGCTGAGTCGTAGAGGTGGGGGCATCGGGTCACGCCGACTGTGTTACCCCATGGCCTCGCTGATCACCTTACCGTCATCCCTCCCTGGGCGGCAGGGTTACCCTGCTTGGGCGGTCTTCTTTGACAGTCGATTCATCTCCGAGGACATATCTGATATATACCTGCGCTGTGCTTACGTCCCCCGACAAGACTTGATTTAACTGCGACCGAGCCTGCGCCACCGCACCCATCCACTCCTCCTTCGTTCCACTGGTGTCAATGCTGTTAGCACGGCTTAGTGAAATGTCAAGCATGATCCTCGAGAGCCTCGCCATCTGCGCAGTGACTTGGTCGCTGTGGAGACTCTTCAGGAATGTCGTCGTCACAACCCATCTTGACAACATCCCGGGGCCGCCGCCGTCGTCGTGGCTTCGAGGTGAGTCTCAGACGAGATCTGTCTTGCCGTTATGTCCCCCCTCTCTGACTGTCTGCGGCAGGCAATCTACCAGATATGTTTGACAGGCAGGGCGAAGCCTTCTATCGCGACTTGATTGAGAACTACGCACCGGTGGTGAGACTGCAAGGGGCATTCGGAGTAAGCGGCCGATATGATCTGCATGCGATCTTTCGCTCATCGCCTGGGTTCATAGCGCAAGATTCTTTATATCCATGATCCAAGAGCAATGCATAGCGTAGTAGTGAAGGACCAATATTCATACGAGCAGCCCGACTGGTTTATTAAGTACGAAACGGACCCGCTACTGCCTCCGTGCCTTCTTTTGACATCCCATGCAGAAGCAATCTTCTGACGCTCGGCCCCGGGCTGCTATCTACACTAGGTGAGTGTCTCGTCCCTGGCATACCCTCTGCGGTCAGATGCTGAAATGAGGCATGGATCATCTTGCAGGTGACCACCACCGCAAACAGCGGCGCATGCTCAACCCCATCTTCTCCATAAATCATATGCGGCATATGATGCCAATGTTCTACAACGTCGGGCACAAGGTTCGTGTTCCGAATTGCTGACGCTCCCGTTCGGCTGCAAGCTTACTAACGATATTGCCTTTGTTCTCCTATCGCGCTTCCGTTTCTGCCTGACTCCTCTTGCTATGCGCATGCCCCATCTGCTGTTATGCGTGCTTGCAGCTTCGGCTAGCGATTGAGCACCGCGTGCGAAGCGCGCCTTCGGAGATAGACATGCTCAACTGGATGGGGCGCACCGCGCTGGAGCTCATCGGACAGGCGGGCTTGGGACACTCCTTCGACCCTCTCCAGGAAGACGTAACTCCTGACATCTACGCGGAGGCGATCAAGGCATACGTGTCAGTATTTCCCTGCGCTGCGGTCGTTATGCGCGTTGCGTTGCCGACTTGCTGACTGCGCGCTATATCCTTCACGTAGGCCGGCGCTATACGACCTTTCCGTGTACCGGTGGACGACGCCGTACCTGTCGGTGATCGGGAGGCCGGCGTTCCGCCGGGCGCTGCTCGAGTGGGTTCCATGGAAGCGACTGCACAAGCTCAAGGGCGTCGTGGATATCATGCATCGGCGCGCCACGGAGATATATCGCGAGAAGAAGGCACTCCTCGATACGGGCGACGAGGCGCTTACTCTCCAAGTTGGCGAAGGCAGGGACCTAATGAGTATCCTATGTGCGTTGTGCGCTCCCATGCAACGCCACAGGGTGTCTGCTGACAATCATATCTCCTCGGCCCTCAGTAAAAGCAAACACGCTTGCCGCTGTTGAGGACCGACTGTCAGAAGAGGAGCTCATCGGACAAATGGTGTAAGTAACCTCTGGCCCTTTCCAAGACGCCATGAGGGGAGGCCCTTGGACATTGACAGATCTTGTCTACTCCTTCAGGACGATGACGTTCGCTGCAATGGACACGACGTCCAACGCGCTCTCGCAGATCCTGCATCTCCTCGCGCAGCACCCGGACGTCCAAACCAGAGTCCGGCAAGAAATCCTTGAAGCACGTCACCGCAGCGACACGCGCGACCTCTCGTACGACGAGCTCTGCGCGCTGCCCTTCCTCGATGCAATCTGCCGAGAGACCCTCCGCGTGTACGTCCCCCGTTCAACCCTTCTGCGTCCACATGTACACGCTCCCGTCCGGCACGTGCTGACCTTTACCCTTCTCGCGCCTTTCCTCGGCTTCTCACACTTAGGCATCCGCCCGCGACGTTCATTTTCCGCGAGTACGTAGCCTTCCGCTGTTCTCGCCTTTGGCTCCGGCCCGCTACGTTTCCCGAGTGTCCGATCAAACACTAACTGTGTCTCTTCTTCCATTTTCTCCTTCGTATCTTCCTCCCGTGCAGGGCGCAGCGCGACATGATCCTCCCGCTCTCGGAGCCTATCCGCGGGCTCGACGGCACGCTGATGACCGAGATCCCCGTCCCGAAGGGTACTGTGGTCCACGTCGGCGTTCTAGGCTCGAATATGAATCGGCGGACGTGGGGCGAAGACGCTTGGGAGTGGAAGCCGGAGCGGTGGCTTGCGCCCCTGCCCGAAGCCGTCGCCGAGGCGCACATACCTGGGGTATACTCGAACCTGTGAGTGTCAATTGTGTTCGGTTTCTGTGGTATGCCGGCTCGGCAGCGGTAGTTGCGGACGCGAGGCTAACGCTCCGCCTTTCCAGGATGACGTTCATCGGCGGCGGCCGAGCATGCATGTACGTCTTATATAGTAGCAGCCCGTCACCTGAACCATGCGTTGGCGCAGCATGCTCATTGCAGGCATCTTGACAGCGGTTTCAAGTTCTCGCAACTAGAAATGAGTAGGCACCTCCCTTCCTCCGCTCACACGACCCTGCCGCTCACTTCGCTTTACGTTCTATGTCCGCCCGCGCTGTTGCAGAGGTCGTGCTGTCGCTGCTGGTGTCAACCTTCGTCTTCGAAGTATCCGATAAGCCGATTGCATGGAACATCTCTGGCATCCGGTTCCCCACCGTCGGGGTCGACGGCGCGAAGCCGGAACTGCCGCTTAAGGTGTCAGTGTACAGGGGTTCCGTATGAGCGTCATGCGTCGCCTACATCGTCATGACTGCACGAGGACCGGGATCCCTATCATGCCCCTACCACGAATCGTCCACCATTCCTCCCAGAAGACGCGAGTCTTGGCTCGTTGCTATCGTTTCTCATAGATGGTGAAGCTTGGTGTACCAGCGGACGGCAGTAAATGTCATATCCCGCGGCGCCTAGAGCTCTCCTTGAAGCGAGGGGCGCGTTGCGGCGATGTGCGGAGCCCTTGTGATCGCTGTCAGTTATATTCTCTATGTTACCGGCTGAGTGTAGTAGTATGCTTACCAATCATATCTCATTGTAATCGCGGCTCGAGGGAAGGACGGGGCGCCAGCAGCATGTGTATGAGATGATGCGGCTGATAGCGACAACAGACAGGGATGCCAACAGACAAGTGACTGCTAGACTGTAAGCGACCTTTCCTGAGCGGCTCGTGGTATGGTGGCCGTCATTTGCGCCTCGTCCAATGCTGATATTAGGAAATACGAGTTATAGCAGCTGGGCTATATCTGAGGTTTTCGTGACAATCCACTTGACGATTGAGGCTATCAAGCATTCACCGGCGGGCTCGATATATCAAGGATCACAAGGCCGAAATATGATGCATGGGCATAGGCATGTCTAGTGATAGCTTCGACAACATGCACAACTAAGGGAATGTCAAGATATACTCCTTCATAGCTACTTCCCAGCTACAATGCGGCAAGCCATTCTTCTCACCATCCCCAGTCCCTCCGCAGGCCTCCTCCATAAGCGCGGGTATTTGCGCCATTATTGTCTTGAGCCCGGCCTTGATATCCTGGGCGCGCTTTGGCAGGGCGGGTGCGAGCATATTCGACGACGAAGAGGAAGCCGCAGCCAACTCCTCTACTCCAGAAATCAAGTCAAGAGACCCAGGACCAGACCCGAGTCCAGAACCAGAACCAGAGACGAGTCCGAGTCCAGGAACAAGCGAACCAGCGCCGTTCTTGTTGTTCTGCATGACATTGATCCCGTCGGTGACGCTACGAGAGAAGACCCTGCTGAATCCACGCCGCCGGCGCTCGTCGGGCGGACGTTGGCTGGCGTCGAGAACGAGTTCTTCCATCCTGTCGTAGCTTGGCGATCCCGGGCTCGAGAGTGTCTCAAGAAGGTGCAAAGTCTGGTTGAAGGCGATATACCGGAGCTTAGGGAAGAAGTGCACCATCGAGCCGGGCGTGCCACAAACGACGGGGCAATCAGGGTTTGGACAGCCGGCGGGCTCGTTGCCGTTCTTGTCGAGACACTTGCCATGGAAGTAGGAGGGGAAGATGCCGTTCTCCATGTTCTGATAGGACTGGTCGTGGTAGGCTGTGATAATGGGGTTGAGGTAACTGAATGTTGTGTCTATGCTGGGGTGACTCGGAATGAGCCTTGAGATTTGTGTAGCCTAGGCGGACAGTCGGTGAATACGGCTTTTTGCCATCCTGTACGTCAGATGAAAAGGTACGAACGATGCTTTCCATGGCGGTTTGGATAGGTGCAGTGTAGTTACTCAGCCAAGCATTCGTAGTACCGACAATGCAATCGCCTTCGCAAGCAGAGACGGTGGCCGGCACCGCGAGGAGGAGTAGCGTCAACAAGCGCATGACTGAAGATGCTGCCAGAGCGTGAGTTTAGATGACTGCGGAAGTAGGGGCCCGAGATGATGAGGGCTTGAGACAGAACGCAAGTCGTCGAGGCGAGGAATGTGAACCACAAACAAACATCCAACAACAGGGTAAACTCAATGTGAATGAGCGCCCATTTAACCGTGTAGTAATGCGAGATGATCCTGGACCCACAAACTTGTCTAGAATCGCCTGTTGTTTGTCTGGGACGTATCATGGGACGGTCGGGCTCCCGAACACAACGCCTGGTAGGGTATACCGCAAGAGAAGAGAGCTACCGCCATCCTACACGAAATGTTTACACGACTATGTCTAACAGTCTGTGCCCAGCATCCCATTACAGTTACTAGTAAGTCTCTAGCCAGTCACTAGGGCCGTCCGGGGGAGGTACACGCGACCACGTCTCCACGTAGAGCTGTAAGTGATTCTTTCTGACCGTCTGTGGCAGGTTCTGCTGCACTGCCTTCAACTTCTCCTTGCCTTTCTTTCCTCTGAGATCCCAGCCTTTGACCGCTATTGCTACTCGTAGCTCTTTTTCGCCTCGGCGTCGAGGCACCGTAACTCCCAGGAGTAAGCGATCGATGTCCTCCCAGGGCGCGGTGTCGAAGAGCTCTACGCTCTCAAAGCTGATCGAAAGGTCGAACCGGTAAAACTTCTCGCCCGAATAAATCGGCCGGCACAACATCACGAGCGTCAGGAGGCTGAATGTGCTCTTCCAGTAGATATGTCCCTCGATGGACTCCACCTTCGGCATGACCAGGGGAGCCTCGGAGTTGCTCATCTCCTTGAGCTCCCGCTCAAATGCGATCCGGCCAAGGTCGGAGTCCTTGCGCGTGAAAGGCGGCTGCTTGAATTCGGAATCGCCGTCCTCCATACAGTTGTGCTCTTCGTCGTCAGGTAGGAGACAGGTATCGAGCACCTTCACCATGCGAGGCTGTCGTACCGGCTCCGCTTCCTTGCCGGTGCCACTACGCATCCCCGAGGGCTGTCTGACCTCGATCATGCAGAACTGGCCCAGATCGTCGTCGTCGTCTTCAACCGAATCCTGGTCCATACCGTCCTTATCTAAACCGCCATCATTGTCCGAGTCGACGTCGACGTCGACGTGCATCCCTTCCTCTTCCTCTTCGCCTGTGTCGTAGATCCTGATAGGGCGTTGAGGTGCCCACGGTTCGCGCTCAAACCGTGCTGCAAGAAGCAGAGAAAGTGGCGTCTAATCAGCTCAGTTCAAGGATCGCATAAGCCCCCCGAGCAAACTCACACTCGAGGTCCTCGTCGTCCCCCACATTGTCGCCCTCGCACGAGTCGTTCTTCGCGCCCCACTCCTGATAGTGGAACCTCTTCAGCCACGGGCTGATTCTCTTCAAGACCCGCGCCAGCCGCGCATCGTCCCGATACACGTCCCGCGACGCAACCATGAGCTCTTCGATCACCAGATCCCTCCGACGGCTTAACAGCCACTCCATAATCAGCGGCGTATATGCACACCCCAAGTTCAGCTCCGTGAGAAGTAGCGGCTTTCTACGCGCGAGCTGCGCGGGGACGTGATTGTACGCCCAGAAGGATGCGTGCCAGATCTGGAGGAATTGAAGGCTCGGGTACGCGTTGAGCGCGCGCAGGAACTGATTCGAGTTCCAGAAGTCGACGTCGTGTATGCCCAGCGCGCGCACGTGTGGGAGCCCGAGGAGCGCCGTGCGCATCCCAAGGGGCACGTTGCCCCAGCTGAGCGACTGTAGGAAGACGTAGTCGATCGGGGAGCATCCGGCCATCTCGATGCAAAGGGGGACGAGCTGCGGGAGCCAGGCGTGGTTTGCGTCTTGAGGCCCGTCGCCGCGCAGGCGGCCATTAAGGTGGATCTGGCGGACGAAGGGGAGGACGGTGTCCGGGCGGAAGACTTCAAGCAAGAGGGGGAAGTTGAGGCCTGGCTCGAGATGAAGACGGTGGAAGCGGAGCTTGCGCACTGCCCGGCACCATTCACGACTGACCAGTGCGAGGGTGGACAGCTCTCGGTGCAAGCGGCGCTCTGCGACAATGCGCACGATCAGATCATAGGGAGTCGGCAAGGGGGCCCTGTTGGGATACCTGGGCGGAACGCTGGCAATGTAGGTGTATGTCAGGCCAGCTAAGTCCAAATGTCGCGCACGACATACGAATAGACGACTTACTCTGAACCAGGGGGCAACATGAAGAAGCTTCGCTCGAACTGCCTTGTAGGTTCATTGGGTTTGGGCCTGCAGCTTGATTAGCTCAATCGTTCCAATGAAACAAGCGATGGGTGCGCACTCTGGACGGTACAAAAAGGTGTACTCCTTAGGAATGTACAGGGCCCGGTCCGAGTCGTATTCATCCATATCGTGTAAAGGGCGAGCCAGGGTACAAAACTGGATCAGCTAGTCTTCCGCGACATTTATGAGCACGACAGAAAGCGCCGATATCTGATGAAATCAGTACTGAGTGTCGGGGGCGAAGTGCCTCAACAGGGCAAGAACAAAGGATCGTTACGAATGGCAATCGCCCTATCGGACAAGCCATGCATTCATACTATCTCCGTTCGAGGCGAAGGACACATCGTCAAGACTACTTCTCCGCTGTCGATGCAGCTAAATTGCTTGCAGCCTAGACAACGGAAAACAGAATCGTTAGGACGCTGTCTCGAAGGAAGGGGACAAAGCAACAACAGACCCTATGGCAAACACGAGTTGATTGCTAACACCAAGAAGCGACTCGGGCGGCGTCACGGAATAAGAGACAATAAGTACCGAAAATTTTAGCAAGGAGTAAAATCCCAGCCTCAACATGACATGTGTCTGTTGCTGCGACTTCTAGCACTATGCTTCCTTCTTGGGCGCCACAGTCGCGATTGATTCTCATCTTGGAACGTGTCAAATTGTGATCACAATACCGAAACATGGTAGGTGTGCCCATAAATATGCTACAATGGTGGACTACGGAACGAACAATGCAGTCAAGAATAACGTACAGCGTGCAGTTTCTTAGGCAGCTAGTCGAAATCGTAGCCCGCTAGGATCAACGACAGTCAGCGGCGGATGACAGCAGGAATAACCCAGACGTACCTCCACCCCCTTCGTCCGCTCCTCCGCCACCCCCGAGGTTATCGTTGTCATCTTCCTCGCCCGGATCGAAGTAATTCTCCGCGTAGTCGTTGTCATACTCCTCCTCGACGTCGTAGTCTTCTTCGGCTGGCTGTGAGCCTGCTTCTGAACGCTCATCACCGGACTTCTCCTGGGCTGATTGTGAACGAATGCGCTAGAGGAAGCAGACACGCAACTCACCTGTTCCTCAGCGTCCTCCGCCATATCATCTAAGTTCACACGCTTCGCGGGTCCCCTTTTCTTCGCTGTAAAAGGAATGATACATGAGAATCCATCACGTAACATCGCCAGGAACAGAGAAATTGGGGGACGGGGACAAGCAACACGAGGGAGTACACGCGTTGGGCGGGTCCGCTCGCGGTGTGAAGATGGTCTTCAAACTGGAAATTATATGGTATATTGCAGGGCTGAGGTCAGCGGGACAGGGGACGGTACCCGGAAATGTCGGTCAACAGGGCCAACAAGTGTGATGGAACCAAGCCCAAAACGAAGAGCACTCTGTACGACAAGGGAGATAGTACAAGTTCCGAGTACAAGATATCATGCGTACGAGAAGAGAGGCTCACCTGTCTGCTTTTTCTTCGGGTTGAAGTACTGTTCAAACACCTCTTGAGGAAAGAAAGGCTGATGGAGGTCACTCCGTTTTAGCGTTGGTTGTGACGCCGGAGATGGTCGATACTTGTCAGAATATCGGGGAAGCTCTATGCTGCTATGCAGTCAGTCTGCGTTTATAAATCTGAGGGCCCTGAACCTACCTGTTGACTTGGTGGATTCCACGATGTAGTACGCGGATTTTCGCAGTCGCGTCGCAAAGCCAATCTGAAGCTTCGCCATGCGCTTCTCCTCGTCGTTGTATTCGGTAAGGAGAGGCAAGGGCTCAAGAGGCTGCGTCACAGCTCAACGCGGTGATGCTACCCTGATAGAGAACCACATACGGGATACAATGCGCTCTCTTCACGAGAGAGAGACTGAATGTCTGCGAAGGTGAGCCCCATGGGCGGCAGGTTGTTTGCGCCAAATCCTCCCCTCCCTCCTCCCCTTCCACCACCTCTTCCGCCGCCCCGACCTCTGGACATGTTGTGTACGCGTGGGACGGCGAGAATGAGATCAGAGGAGTCTGAGCAATGAGATTGACGGCGTGTCTACATGGCGATGCTTTGTTCTCGAGGGCGATCAGTGCTATTGTAGCTCAGACTACACTCCGACGGAGAAACCCTTTCTGTTCAGGAACATTATTAGAGCGGCGTCTTTCGGAGACAGCATTTGTGGCTCCCAGGCTTCGTGTCGTTCGCTTTCTCCCTGCCCTCCGCCACCATCACCCACCCACCCTCTCTGCCACGTCTGTCGCGTTGCCGACCCATTTTCCAGCCAGAACCACTTCATCGTCAACCCAGGACACGAAATTGAGCAATGGACAAGTCTCTAGATGAAGTACGTCGCCCTTTCATCGCCACAGCAGACGACGCGACTGACTTTGTCGTGACCAGATCATCGCCACCCGCCCCAAGGGCATCCGTAAATCGAACCCTCGACGAAACTCGGGAAAGGCGCAAGTCCTTGGTAACTCCAACCCCGCGCCAGCGACGCGTGCTCGCGCGGTGCCCGCCTCCAACGGTGCGAAGACCGTCCCCCCGACTGCCAGCCAACCAGCGGACAAGATCATCGTCTCCAACCTACCCCCTGATGTGAACGAGGCGCAAGTCAAGGTGAGCCATGGCTTCGTCTTATGTCGACTGGCGGCGTGCTGATGCTTCTATTAGGAGCTCTTCACCGCCACAGTTGGTCCCCTCAAAGACGTGACTTTGCACTACGACAGCCAGGGTCGTTCAAAGGGAGTTGCCGCAGTGCACTTCTCCAGGCGCGGGGATGGCACCAAGGCCTTCCAGCAATACAACAACCGGTTGATAGACGGCAGTTAGTATCGGCTCCTTGCACTTTCCGTCGACCCCTATTCCTGCTCTGCGTGAAGTCTTCTTTCTGCTCGCTGTGGTCGCTTGTTCTCTCTCGCCTCTCGTTCACAAACCTTTCGCGGAGGCGTTGGCATGCTTCTTCCGTTGAGAAGTTCGAGAGGGAGGGATTTCCAGGTTGTCGTCCCTCAAGCGACCTCCGTCGGCTGTGCGCGACTCCTTGCGAAGCCTATGGCTGTGGAGGAAGATGCCCGACGGTACGATGCGAACACGGCTTGACGAAAGCGGATCGAGCGCCAGCTCTCCCAGTTATACTTCTTTTGTGTCTGCCCCGAACAGCCAACTGATGAAACGATCTGCTTCTTTCTCCTGGTATCCGCCGACTTTCGACGATTCACCGCCATGCAGAACGTCCCATGAAGATCGAGATCGTCGTCGACCCCTCGAAACCCGCCCCCGCTGCTTCGCTGGTGTCCCGGGTGACGCCAGCTGCTGCCGTTCCCGTTGCTGCTGCACCGGTCACCAGGTCTGCATGTTGTTGCCTTCCATGTTCTGTGGTGGCTGATCCGGGTTGATTGCAGGACTGGTGGTCGTCCCAAGCGCGGCCGCGGTGGTGGACGCCGCAAGGGCAATGAGCGCCCTCAGAAGACCGCGGCAGATCTCGATGCTGAGATGGAAGTGAGTATCTGGTATGAACTGCAAAAGCTGCCTGTGAGCTCATTCATACTCCTCCTAGGATTACACTGCGAGCAATGCCCCCGCCGCGGCCGCGGCCGCGTAGACAACCCTAGTGTCTTTGGTTCCGCTTGTCGTCATGTTGTTCTCGGAAAATCTCTCGCTTCTCGCACTGCGCGGACCGCATACGTTGTCCGCCCGCTTACACCCACCCTCATACACATCCTTTGCTCTCGGTGTACTATATACTATATTAGCCCACTCATCATGCGTATGTGTCCTCCCTGTCGCTGTTAGCTCGTGCCTCCGCTCAGTAATCGTGCGTAGTCTTGTTCTCCTAGGCGGTGAATGTTAACGATCTGGCTGGTTTGACTGGGTCTCTCGAGGCTGGGAAGAGCCGTAATGCTTGCCGAAGGCCCTGAAGGCGAATGCATTCAGGGCAAGAATTGGTCTCGACTGAGTGCTCATTGAGGATCTTGGCACTTCCAGCGTGACGATCAGCGTACTTAAAGCGTGATATACAGCGTCTCTGCTGGTGGGACTGCCGTTGGAGGTTGGTAAGTCCTCTGCTCAGGTCATTTTGCTCCAGTGTCCAATCGCTATTGGCCTACAGTGTCATGCGGAGCATATCGAGGAGATCTCTCTCTCAATGTAGCATGATCGTGCTGCTCGCGATCGAGCCTACGGTGACCCGAGCGGCGATATGCTGGCAGTACCAGTGTATGTAACGCTCTTACTATGGCTGTCGGACAGATCATCGGTGCATTGTTGCGGGAGCGCCAGCACATTGATCCAGCGAGCGACCACAGGTCAGTACTCTGGAAGGCCACTACAACTCGACGTCTCTTGCAATATCAAGCACCAAAGATATGACAGCCCGTATCCCGCGGAGCGACGGTCAGCATTCCACTCGACATCTGCTATGGTCCACGACCACACCAGGAGTTCAATGCCGCTGCAGGAGGCTGTTCGCAGAGACGCCACGATGCCCCACGAATTCGGAATTCGGGATCGTCCTTGCATCCATGCCACTCGTGCCGCACACCCAGGGTCTTCGCGCTCCGAGACCCGGTCGCGGGAGCGGCAGCTGTGCAGATTCTGAAACGGTGGCTCAGGCCTCAGGTTTGGGTTTGGGTTCGCGGCACCGACCAGCTCGTGCGTTACCGGCAGGGTCTGCGCATGCGCAGTAGTACTTGCAATCTTCCGTCCAGTGCCAGTGGGTGTCTGAATAGGGTGGCGTTCAGGTGTGCGGTACGCGTTTTGCCATCGTTGACAGGTACGGCTGCAGTGCACGACACTGTTTTCCTGTTCGTCAACGGTGGCACCCATTGCGGCATCCAGCTGATTCCCGGTCGTGGAGAATTCGCGCAGCACGCTTGCTCGAAAGGTTTGGGAAGATTGATCAGTGCCTCTCTCGTGCGGTCCTTGGGCCGTGGTCGAGATCTCCGCATCTCCTTGAGATATAGAAGGTCCTGTGCCCGAACGCTCATAGGAGGCTACAAAGTGGAGATTGGCCAGAAGCGAGCATCGGGGTGAATTTAGAGATCCCACTTGCCGGCTCAAGGACGCCCTCGCATTGGAGGCAAGGGCACTAGGCCCGCCCATTGTTGCGTCATCATCGGGCATTCAGAATTGTCGGGCTCATGCGCTGGAATGCCGGTGCTACTAACGGTACGGGACGCTCGTCCTCCACGGCTTCTCCCTGATCTTCGACTTCGCTTTCAAAAACGACCGAGAATCGAGTATGAATGGAACGTTCAGAAGAGAAGCTCGGTGGAAGACTGAACTCAAGATATTGTGTCGTAATCATCCCTCTCTTGTACGAGAAACCTTCTCGTACAACTGGTTAGTTGTGTCATGGTCACTCCAATCTGCCGTGCTGCCGATACCGTGTTTTTAACGGCCTCCGCGGCAGATAGCGTCAAACACAAGCTGACAGTCCTCCGGGAGCAAACCTTGACGGCTCGGGGTACTGCGTTACATCTTTCATCATGAATCAATTTGCATTCATCTCCGAGGTCTCGACTCCCTGTGATTTGCAAACAGCAATTAATTGTGGGCATACTAATGCACGGATGATACAGCTGGATAATACTATTAGTAATAATACTAGTCTAGGTACGTAGAAAGGCTATGCTACAGTGGGTAGGACACGGTTACAAGGGACAAGACAGGAATGAATGCGATAGGAGAATGTGGTAGTGTGTAAGAATATATAGTGTAATGCGTGGCAAAGAACGAAGCAATTAGTAGTAGTTAGTACTGTATCCAAGCGTGTAAGGTATGGTCAACCGGCAGCCGTCCTTTTGGATTTTTGGCAGGGCGAAAAGCTGGCAACCGCCCATCACGCGCTGGCGAACATGGCATCGAGCTCAGCCTTGTACTTCTCCTCGACCGCCCGACGCCGGACGTTCCCCTTGGTCGCCGTGCGTGGCAAAGAGCCCCTAGAGACGATCACGACCATCTTAGGGCTGGTGATGCGTTCGTGAAGGTAGCGGCGCGAGTGGAAGTGGCGTGTGCGGCGGATGATCTCGCGCCTGAGCCGGGCATCGTCCATCGCCAAACCCTCCGCGGCCTCGACGAACAAGGCGGGACTGGGGCGTCCGTTGCCGACGACGATGCACTCCGCGATGAGGTCGCCACAGGTCTGGCGCGTGTTGTCCTCGATCGCGCGCGTGTCGCACCGGAGCGCGTTCTCGGACTTGATCCAGTCGTCCCCGCGGCCTCGACTGATGTAGGCCCCAGGGGCAACCTCAACGAACAGGTCACCGGTGTGGTAGTGTCCGTCGGCCGAGCGCATGGAAGGGTGGGGGCAGTCGGGGGAGTCGGCGAGGATGACGAGCTCGAGGAGGCGTTCGTTGGCGTTCGAGTACCCGCTCTCGTCGGCGTCGTCCTGGTCGAAAGACTCTTCGATAGGGAAGAAGCCGTACGAGGTGCCTTCTATGGGACGAAGAGCGGGGCTGGCGACGCCACCGCCACGGATTGATAGGAGCATCGCGCCGCACTCGGTACTGCCGAACAGGTTGCGGAGAGGGAGGCCCTGGGCGTACGCCCACTCCTCGTCCTCACGCGGCATGGGTTGTCCGGAGTAAAGGATCTCATCAAGGCTGCGGAGCAGTTCGAGCACTTTAGGGTTCTGGCGCGCAGCGCGAACGTGCACGGCGAAGAAGGCCGGGAACTCGTTCAAGCGGTTGAGACCCCCGTGCGTGATCATGTGAGCGAGCTCGTCCGTCGAGAAGGTGACGGCCTTGGGCTGGATGGTGCACGCGCCATTCTGGAATGAGGCGAGGAACATGAAGGTCTGCCCGATGTGGCACATGCTTCCCCTGATCATTCAGATAGCGTTAGAGTTCCGTTGTGAAGTGCTTGGAAGAACGAGGCTCGAAACTTACATGGCGACGGTGACATCCTGGCCGTCCTTGCGCAGCGGACGGCTCGTACGAGCGGACTTGTCGACCATGGCATTCAGCCACTTGAAAGTGCAGGGAAGCAACTTGGGGCGACCAGAGGTGGAACCGGAGGTGTGGAAAATCATGGAGATGTCGTCCGTGCTTGTCGGGTGGGGCATGGGGGGAACGAGCGCGTCGCTGATGTCGACATCGCGGAGGTCGATAGCGCTGTACGAGGGACGGGGGCAATTTGAGAGCATGTCGGAGAGCTCGGGCTCGTATATGATAGCCTTGCCATCTGCCTTCTCGAGCAGTTCGTAGATGACATCCGGATTAGGCATGCGTAGCGAGAAGAGCTGAGGGATATAGCCCGCCCGTGCGATGCCGTAAATGTAGAGGACATCTACGTAGGACATGCCATTTGACCTGGAGTAATCCTCGTCAATATCGGTGGAGGCCAGGTATAGAGTAAGCGTACCAAAGCCCAACGACGGATCGTGGAGGAATGCCGTCGGCCATCAGCGTTTTCGCGAGGTGAGCAGCAAAGTGCTCGACATCAGACTTGAACTGCCTGTACGACACCGGCATCCATGCTCGTAGAGAGCCTTCGCTGTCGTATACGGGGAGCTTGAAGATGGGCAATGAGGGGTTAGCAGCGGCGCAATCCTCGAGTGCCTGAAGGTGGGTCTTCAAGAAAGCCATGGGGGTGTAGAAGTAGCGAAAGGGTGACGAAGTGAATATACTCGAATGAATCGGTGAGGATTATATGCAAGTTTCGAAGCTAGGTCAATCGGGAGTAGAGTACCGGAAAGATATTAAAGACGGGGTAGGATAGAAGAAAGAGGAAAGTATGAAACTAGGACAACTGCGGTACCGAGGGGAGTGGTGAAGATGATGACGAGGAGAGACCGCTCCTAGTCATGGTCTTATAGTCTTAGTGCAAGGCTGTCGGCATCTCGTCTCCAACAAATTTTGAGAAGGCTGTGGAGACCCACAGTTCGGGATGCTGTCCAAACGCACGCGTTACGGAATGACAACCGCTCGGGTCGAGCGGCGGACAGACTCTGCCACGAGTTGCAGAGAAGCATGGGTGGTTCCCAGGGCACACCGCTGGACCCTGATCGATAACGCGGAAGGAGTGCGAATCGTCCGAAGGCGGCCGATTGAGGCAACGTGGGACTCGCGCAATGGTCCGTGATCCCACGGGAGCTCTGGAGGTTGGGCGTTGTGCGGCGCCTTCGCGTTAAACACCGGCGGCTGGGGCGGGTGCTCTCCATGCGATGTACGTGTATCGGACCTTTCTGTGGGTCGTGAAAGATACCGCCGATGATACTCACTTGGAAGGAAAATACGGAGCATCCAGAGGCGCAGTCAACAAGGAGCAGGGAATGGGCTGGAGAGTGGATACGTTGTTCGCGTTGGCGCCCAAATGCCACGTCGACGCTCACTCGAGGACCTCCCGTCATCCTTCGTTGCGTGTTCGAGTTGCAGCCGAGTCACTTAGATTCTGGAGATCAATCCCGTCCGAGTCAACCACGCCGACTCTAGATCATCTCACTAGCATAGATCCACGGGATGACTCCATGACCCGCTCTTCATTTCCTCGTCTAAACGATATCTGTAGCCCGCCGCGCTCCAATCCGCATCAATCGCATCCCGTGAACATGCACTATTCACATTCGCCTCGAGGCTCCATATGACCTTCTACGAGAGACGATTACGCGCAAGTCAGTTTCGCAGCTATGGCCAAGGTGCGCCCTTCGCACACACTCGTGACCTGATGCGCCTCCGACTCAAATCGGAGAATTGGTGCGGAGGCTCTGCACTATGCCCAGCTAGACGCTGCCGTCACCTCGAAAATGCATTCCACAGCTGCGCGTACCTCATCTGCTATGCGGAATAGAGTGTTCGCACTCGGGGGACGTTTCGCCGGATGAATTGCGTACTCGTCCTGTGCGCGCTCTGCACCTGTCGTTGGGCGACACAGGAAGCCTGTCAGCTAGGGCTCAAGGCACTCTAGATCGCGTCAAACGGTCTGATGGTACCGTGAGTGCGACGATATGTTCCTGTCTTCAAAGTTATTCCTATAAGCGGCATCTGTATGGGACGGACACGCTGTGTCCGGGGATGCACGGGGAAGCTGCATCTCATCTCATGAATGCAGACGCGGCAGGTCGCGGTCCGGATGCAATCCTGTTCAAACACTGAATTCTGTGTAGATGACGTCGACGCCGCGCTATACACCTCGCTACAAACCGAGTTAGGCGTCGACGAACTCGCGAACTCGTGGAAGCGAAACGATCACTTGGAGGCAGGTGAGAGTTTCGGTTCCCGGTCCGTCTGTAAACCTCATCCAATGTTTCGACATCGCAAGTGCGATGCTCGAAAAAATCCACTGTGCTATCAATATGCATCCGTACTGATCCTGCTTCCCCTTCGATCAATTGTCAGTACAGCACGACCGACAGATCTCGTACGGTACGCAAACGAAAGCCGCGGAGGGACCGCCTTCGCTGTGCTCGGTTTGTCAGCACTCTGTTACCCTTGTCGATGGCTGCATCGTCTCTTGTTCCACAGTCAACTGGCGTGAGTCTCAAGTTTCTGGACTTAACATTATATTCGGATCCACCTTCCTTCTCGAAAGTCGATCTCGCGGCGGACCTCATCATCGTCAGGACGGCCCCATACATGTACGTCTCAACCAGCCTGGATCAGTCCCTTTCATGCAGTGCGGCTAATCACATACCCTCCAGCCAACAGGTTCTCAATGGTACCGGAGCTGCGTTTTCGACCATTGAGTATCTATGTCATATAACAACGTCTAATCGTAAAAGGCTCACTGGCCATGGATTGTGCCGCCTCCGGCCCTGGCAACCTGTCTCTCGAGACCCACCAGGAGCAGCACTCCATTCGTTCTAGACCGGACCGACCATGCAGACATTCCCTCACAGGTACGGTTCTAGGCTGTGCCCGGGGCACATGGCACTCGTACGCCTCTATGAATACTGTTGAATGATCCTGTCAAATGTATCGTCACCGCATAGGTGGTTTGCGATCTAGGATAGGTATGTATTCATAGCTTCGCGGGTTTCAAGGTGGCGGCTCACTTGTCGAGAACGATACAGCTTTTGTGGTTGAGGCAGCCGGCGATTCGTGCACGCCCAGGTACCAATCCTGGTCTCAACGAAATCCGCCATCACGTACAGGTGCGGAATCATCTGCGTATATTCTCGATTGATCAGAGTACCTTTCATCAGAAACGTTGTTATTGGTACACTCGAACTATCAGATGTTAGCAAACCGTTCCCCCTGGGCGTGTAACAATGGATCCACAACCACTAACTCGTTGAGGTGACTTGGTTGTGCCGGACAGTCCGAATGCCTCCCGGAAGTCGGAACCAGTCAAGCACCGAGTGGCCGTCCACTACGACCCTTCGCCAAAAAAGCCTCGCTCGAAACCTGTCAAGATGGGACTCAGCCTTGGTGGCCAAATGTGTACACAGCCGACGCGGACGATGCTTACTCCTCGGGATGAGCGCAGTCGCATACATCACCATTGTAATGGGCTGCAATTCAAGTTTGATCGCAGGAGGGTCCTTCTCGAGACTAGGCGTCCACGTTGTCATAATCTTCTCGACCAGTTGATCCCAATACGCCTTCTCATTCACTCCCGTGAAATCATCTGCCACCGCATTACGAAGGCACTGGACCCCAAGACACGTCCCGAACTCTCGGAAGGCCAGTCGGAAGCGAGCGGGAGCATCGAAGTACTTCTCTTCCTCCACGAGGGCGCCTATAGAAGCACCGTTAATGAACGTCCAGGCAAGAAGCGGCCAGTCCCTACGAAGGCAGACAACGGCCCTCCTTGACAGTTCCGTCGCCCATCCCTCCTTCTCGCCGAACCAGTGGGCAGTCCACATGGTCATTCCAAGGTCAAGCGGGTCGTCCGATACGTACCCCCTCCACTTCGTCTCTAGGATGCGCTTGTAGTCCTCAATTTCTTGCTTCAAGATAGTTTTGTCGTCTTCACGATCTTTTTGCAGCAGGTTGTATACGACATAGCCATCTATCGGGTCGAGGTTCCCCTCGGAGCGCACCATGGGCCGGCTAAGGTCGATGCTCATCTTCCAATACATCCTCGGCCGCGGGCTGTCTCGCTCCCGGACGAAGCGCCGGTGAATGGCCTTGGCGAGCTCGATCGCGAGGTCATTGTACTGCCGCTCGCCTGAGACGCGTGCCATCCGGTTCAGCGCGAACATCCAGACGGTCAAGTAGTGGTGGTACTGCCCGTCTCCGTCCCCTCCCGGGTCATCTTCCTCTTCCTCCTTCCCGATCCGGAGCCCACCCACGAGCGGATGTTCGTCGGTCGCTCCGGGGAGGCGACGGGTGCCGTCGCGCGTGCGGCCGAGGGTGTCGTGCACCGTGTCTATGAGGCGCGCGGCGAGCGTCGTGTAGCGCGGCTCGGAGGTGAGGGCGCCGAGCGTGAGGAGGTTGAGCACTCCGAAGGCATCGGTCCAGAGGTAGCGACCCCGATGGCCCTCGGCCATAGGTGGTGGCGTCCATGCTGCCACTTGGGCATGAGAAAGGGCGTCGAAGGGGCCGTAGACGGACTGCAGGGCGTTCCGAAACTTCGTGAGCTTTTGTGGCTGTACTTTGGTCGCCATTTTGGGAAAACAGTGTCTGGCACAAGGACGGTCAGGAGCGGCTCGGGTCGAGTAGACAGCTTTTCTTTGGCCACCGACTGCGACAAATCGTACGCGACAGTGGCATGTAAAGACTTTGACTAGGTTCCTCTCTGCGAGCGTATCTTGTGAGTGCATATATGTTCTCCGGGAGGCCCTCGTGATCTCAATATGACGTCTTCGATAAGCCTTCACCACTACGGGCGCCACACATTTCTGGTACTCACTTTCATCGTCTTCTCCGTAACTGCGAGACGTCTCGTGAACCTAAAGCCTCCTTGTTTCTTCATTCTCAACATGGCATGGCGATGCACAGGAACCACTAACACAGAGCTCATCGACAATATGGCAAAGAGCAAGATCATCAACTCCGAGCGAGTCACCAAGGTAGGTCCCAGTAGTGCAGACCGAATAGGGAGTTAGCACGTCTTGTCTCATCAAGTACTTTGATGATTCAGGCGATGACCAGAGTTGACCGCGCATGCTACGTCCGACAGCCCAGTGCTGCGTATGAGGACTCACCCCAGTAGGTGTCGTTCCACCAAGGGCACTACGAGCCGCTTCATGATCACTCACGCACGCGCTGACGACCTGCCTCGCAGGCCGATCGGACACGGCGCGACGATATCTGCGCCTCACATGGTGTGCCTTGCACGATCTACGATCTCGAATCTGCCCCAGACTAACTTTGACTTCCCGATTTCACTGCGATTGATGTAGCACGCCCACGCAGCAGAGAACCTCCTCCCTTTCCTGAAACCCGGCGCTCGCGTGCTCGACGTCGGCTCCGGCTCAGGGTACCTCTGCGCAGTCCTCTACCAGCTCCTCCAGGACCCTGGCGACCCGAGAAGCGCGGAGAGCAAGGTGTTCGGGATAGAGCACATCCCGGAGCTCGTTGACTGGTCGCTCGGGAACCTCCGCAGGGACGGGTTTGGGGAAGCTATTGACCAGGGCAAGATCAAGGTGATATCTGGGGACGGCAGAAAGGGTATGACTGGATGACTTCCCATAAGGATCTACGGCTCTGGAGTGTCCGTAGACATATATCGGAGCTCTAATCTGTCCAGAGATCTCGGGCGCTCAATGATCAGGCCGGGATATCCGGAGAGCGTCTAATGCTATGCACGTGCTCTTTTGCGCCTTACATCAGCACCCAATGTAGTAGGCGATTGATCCCAACACAATTTGTAATGATGGCACCTTCCTTTCGAGTCGTTTACGACCTCAAGCGAGCTTCTACGGCTGCGTTTAGGTCTAGAAAGGGGGGTCGACCCCCCCTTCTAGATTTTGGGCGCTTGCACCATCTACGGACGTCGGCCTCGAAAGCGGAGTACAAATCGGCATCGGCATCTCGGCGGATAGGACACTTTCAGTATCTACGGACGACAAAATGGCCGTAGATCCTTATGGGAAGTCATCCACTTGCTGAAACGTGTCCGCTGAAGGCGGCCTGTGCGCGTCAGACGTGCTTGCTGAAGGGAGCCGGTGTTTCATTGCAGGCTTGCCCGAGGAGGGGCCATACGACGCGATCCACGTCGGGGCCGCGGCCCCAACGCTGCCCGCCCCGCTCGTCGAGCAACTTGCCCGTCCGGGACGAATGTTCATTCCTGTAGGGTCGCACATGCAGCAGGTGCTACAGATAGACAAGGACGAGAATGGACAAGTGACAGAGACACCGCTTCTCGACGTGATGGTGCGGTACCATTCAAGCTTCGCGTTCCCCGCATCGCGTCTCGACTGACTTCTTCTGCCTGTGCCTTGTTCCTTAGTACGTGCCTTTGACAGACAGAGATAAACAGGTGTGACGAGCTGTGCGGAAGGGGCTGGCGGAAATTTCCAAAATGTAACCGACCATACAGAAATATGCTTGTACCATTACCTGACATTGTCGAAGTCGACCTTATAACATTATTCCAAGGAGGATACGGTTTTGATGGTCGTGTGCGAGGGCGCAAGGGAAGATGAACCAACTTGACTGTCTCTCCATAGGTGTCCTACAGAGTCTGCTTGGCTCCTTTATAATACACTGTCATGCACGACACTATGTATCGCAGGACGCCCCAACTCCCGATGATCGGTTCTTGCCGGATGACCCGGTGTTTTGTTCGCGGTTTTCTATAATATGCGTCAGGGGCAGCGCCGTGAACGCGCTATGATAGGCATACCTGTATGACATTGTCTCACCTCTAGGCCTATGTCCGAGTGGCATACTCCCAGATTGGTAGTGAGGATAAACTTGACTTCTCGATATCATTGTGGGTCCCTTGAGATGACGGATGAAACAGTTGATATCCTGCTGCGCGAACATACATGATAGCTACATTGATACAACGGTAACACGTCCGCGCGGTATTCGTACATCCTCGCAATCGAGCCTACGCCTTCTGGAGCGCATCGCGTATACGATGTTCCCAGTACCTGAGGCACGACAGTCAGATCCCATCTGTGACATACATAGTGGCGCACTCACTTCTTCCGCATTGTATCTTTCTCGTTCGCTAAGAGCTTCCAAATCTGCGCAGACTAGTTAAGATGGCGTTTCGGCCGCGGCATGGATGTATCGCTCACTTCAACAGCCTTCGCGGTCTTCTCCCCGCCTTCCTCCTCGTAGATGTCGGCGAGGAACTCGAGCGCAGCCACGCAGGGAAGTTGGGCCCCCGCCGATGGTAGGGGATTGTCGAGGTCGACCACATCAGTGGCTGGGGGCTCTGAAGCAGTGTAGGGTTCGACGAAGGCAGTGACTGTCGTGAACGGGGTGTGGGTGTGCTCGAGCGCACCCCGCAGGTAGTTCCACGCGGAGAGGTTGTTGGGCGCGAGCGCGATCTTCTCCTTCGCGAAGGACAGCTCCCTCCTCAGCGTCTGCTCCCTGTCCTCGTCTCCCGCGCGCACGCCGCTCGAAAACACGACGAAAAAGCGGTGGTGCCAGGCAGAGTTGTTCCTCACGTCCTCTTCGAGGAGCTCTTCCACGTAGGGGCGTTCGCCCGCCCACAGCCGTTCCTCGTCGTTGAAGTGCACGAGGATCCATTGGCGGTAGGACCACGTGTGGTAGTTCTTGGAGTCGTTCTCGAGGACGGTCTTGAGGAAGACGAGCTCGCGCGCGGCGGCGTCGACGGAGTTGAGCGCGGTGAGGATAAGCCGGCGGTGGTGCCACACCTGATACGTCTTTAGGAACATCGTCGCGATCTCGTCCATAAGCTCGAGCTCGTCCTCAAGGGAGACTTGGAGCGCCATGACGGTCTTGTACCGGTGCTGCCTTGGGACGCCATTCGCTGCCTTGAGGATATGGGGAAGATATGGGCTAGGGAGGTGCTTACCATGCAGTATAGTGCGCAGGGTTCATCCGTATCACTCGCTCCGTCAACTTAAGGACTCGCGGGCTCATCTCGCCCGTCTTGACGACTCCGCGGAAGTAATCTGTCGCATCCTTGTCTGAGGAGGATGTGTTCGAGGTCAATACGGATGCACGACTAGATTGGGACTGGCCCATACGGACACTCCTCGCTATAGAAGATAGGCGCGATCGGGTTCACGTTTTCATATTGGCGGATAGGAACGACGTCAGCCCACTCCGAATCGTCTGCAAGCAAGTCTGACATTGGACGAGATGGTGGCAAGAGGCGAGGAGAACGTCGCGCTCGACAATTCCGACCAGACGCTCTACGGTGATGGGCGCTTTAGAAATGGGTTTGGTTCTCGCCTTCGCGACTGCGTGGCCCGCGATGCACATTGCACAACTTCTTTCTCCCGCGGACAAAGCCTTCCTTCCCCTGAAGTGATCTGCATATCAATCCTGAAAAGCGTACAATTTTGGCCATGGATGGAGCAAAGGTGAACGGAGCAGAGAGGAATGTACCCCTCGCAGGCACTACAGCCAGGAGTAACTCGAACCAGCCCGTAAGTAGCGCAGCCATTCTCAGCGCGTGAATGCCACCGATCAATTGAGTTGGGTGCCTTAGTGGCTCGAATTTGGACTGCTTGTAGACGAAGATCATCCGCAGGACGAGTGGTCGCTTCCCGGGCCAAAGGTTCGTCTACACTAGCTGCATTCGACACGATCGTCGGTTTACGGAGAGTCGTAGCAATTGCACGAGGAAATCGCCAAGCAGTACAGTGAAGACCAGAAGGCCAAGGCCTGGTCAGACGCAGCTGAGGCCGTGAAGACCTACAGCGACGAGATGATAAACAGATGGAGTCGAGAGATGGACACCCTCCTTGTATATGTACGCGGTCAACTTTCTCGTCTGTGTAAATTGTATGGCATCTCACCATGCCCACTAGGCTGGTTTGTTTTCAGCCGTGCTCACAGCATTCAACGTGCAATCCTATCAGTCACTGCAATCTTCCTCGACTGACACAACAAACGCATTGCTCCGACGCATCTCCACTCAGCTAGATAGCTTCTCGATAAACCCGTCCTTCGTGAATTCCACGCGACAATCTACGTCATTTGACGATGCCCGGCCACCATTTCGGGCACCTGCCTCAGCTGTCTGGATTAATGCACTATGGTTTTCGAGTCTGGTCTGCAGTCTTGCTGCCGCATCTATTGCCCTCATGGTCAAGCAGTGGTTGCACGAACTGGAAAGCGGGGTGTCCGGTAGCTCGCGCGAAACTGGTCGACGTCGCCAGTACCGTCTTGACGGCATTCTGAAGTGGCGTGTCGGTGCCATTGTTGTGGTCATTCCCATTCTTCTCCAGCTCGCCCTCGTGTTGTTCCTTGCTGGCCTCATCATCCTGCTTTGGACCCTGCATGGCACCGTTGCCGCCATCGCCACTTCCCTCGTAGGCGCGCTGTTCATTTTTCAGTTCACAGTGACGATCCTTCCTTCCTACCACCTCGATTGCTGTTTCCTCTCGCCTCAGGCTTTGGCGATATACTCCGTCGTGCGGCCACTCCACAATACTACCCTCGCACTCCTCCAGCATCTGTCACGGCTCTGGACCCGATCGGAGAGGCCTTCGTTTTGGCACTCGGACGCCTCTGACCTCAGTACTCTGCGAGCTTTGAAGAAACGGATCATCAGCTTTTGCAACAGTCGCCGCGAAATGCCGCCATGGAGAGGCCAAGAACACCTTGTGATCGCCAGCGCGAGGACGTCCAGCGCTCTCGACCGTAGGATGGCCATCATGGCTTGTAAGACGACCTTCACGTTTGAACATCTGAAGGACGTCGAAGTAATCTTCTCTTCTTTGTCCCCGAACGAGGTCGCGGGTTACGTACGAGACGTCTGGGACCTGTACAAACGCCGGCAGGCTACTGGGCTCGCTTCATACCAGGTGACCAGATCCGTTATGCACCTGCTGCTGCACGCCCTTCGGCACATGTTGACTGTGGGGCCCGACGCCAGGGACGAAGAATGGGAGCGTACCGTTAAGTGGATCGTCGAGCATCACAGCCCCTTACCGACGTTCCAGCCAACGAGCATGGATCTACAGCTCACGACGTTCTCTATTCTCGCTACGCACGATTCGGTCGCTGGCAGCCTTGCACTCAGCAAGGTCAGATATCATACAGGGCTGAAGTGGTCATACTCGTACTCTACGATCCGCAACGGTATGTCCTCGCCATGTATTCGGCACCTTGCGCAGGACTGACGGGCCAGTTGGCAGTGATGGTAATGGCAGAATTGCAGATGCAGCGACATAGGAACATCGGCGAGGATCCCAGCGCCTCCCTCTACACGTACCTGCAGGCTTTCCAGATAGCCATTCGAGGCATCGTTCTCGTGGTATCCGAGAATTCTCCCGTCACTCCTCCGCCTACATCTGCACAGGTCGACACCATCCTTTCCCATGCCCGCGACATCCTGGTGTCATTTGAGAGCCTGCTCCGCAGTCAGCACTGGGAGGGCTTGCAGGATACTATGCCGGATGAGTGGAAACATTCCGGGCCCTTCCTGCACTTCCTCTCCCTTTGGTTGGAACAGTTCGCAATCCTGCCTCTGACGACGCTTGCGAACCGGTCGCGCCACTCGAAGCTCGTCACGGAAGGGCTTCTGGAGGCGTTGGAAGATGCGTGGGCGAGGGCACAGGCTGGGTATCCACCACAATCGGCTCCTCCTGAGACAGGGCAGACACGAGTGCCTAGTAACTCTGCGTCCGCGATGGGCCGCATAGAGCGAGAGTTAGAAACGTTGCGAGCGTACGTGGTCTATCAGCGTACGTTTCAATGAACGTGCAGATCATGTGATGCGGGTGAGTTTTTTTCGTTGATCATGATATCTTCTAGTTGCGACTCGAACTCACGGATGGCTGAACGTATCTAGCCTGTCGAGCTGGCGTTCACCTTCTGGCCACTCTTGCAACTTGGATGCGTTGAAGCGACCTCTCTAGAGCGAAATAGGATCGCGGCTGTGAGCTACTCAGCATCCAAGCCAGACATCTTCATGTCCCAAGCCGACATACCATAGTCCTCACCACGCCACCGCGTGATGACAAACCCTTCAGTATGTGTAGTGGCGCGCAGTTCCCTTGTCCTGCCCGTCCTGCTCGGTCTACGATGGTGTTCATATCGATAGGTCCTTTGAGCCACGCTCGGTCAGGTTAGGAAGTCGACCCAGGTTCCGATCGGAACTGCCACGTCTGGCCCTCAGGAATCCCCGAAGGGCTTCGACCATACTAAGGTTCTCTCCCCGCGACGCGAGCCGGAGCAACCCCGTGTATTGTCGTTTCGAGAGGATTCGTTGGTCTGCAAATGCTGTGTGAAATTACATCAGGACGCATTCTTTTAAGTACTCAAGTGGTAATCGGCGGATGTATCTGTGTATGTTATCGCACATTGTGGACAAGGAGGCAGTGTCGGACATGGGGCGGAGAGTATGAAGGCCCGTCAACAGACGTAATGGTTGTTTGGTAAGTCGCCTTTGGGCATCCCTGCTTACAGGTATGCAGGTACGCATTTCGTATACATGGAACATCTCTAGCCTATGGTAGGTAGGTTGGCTCGCGAGGCCTCCCAGGTGTAGCCGCGTCTTACAACGGACATCGAATACGCGATCGTCGAGCACTTGTAGGATAACAAGTGCGTTCTTGCGTGGTGCTGTCCTGTGCTGAACGCATAGCTCCCCTGTGTCCGTCTGTTTCTCTTTAAAACCATTATAGGGCGCAATACATCCGCTTCAATACATACGAAGGATGACGTTTACCGTTTCACGATTGCCAGGGCAAACTTGAGGATGTAGAGCTCGAAAGTAGTGACAATACAAAACATACACACCCATGATCCGCCGCATTCATATTTTCTAAGTATGTAGACAGTCATGTACCTAAGGCCTACCATGAGGCGCAGCTTCGCAGTGCAATAAACGGGATCGGGAAGATGAGATTGCCCAAGCGGCGTGTAGTACCAATTTGAGCGAGACTTCAACGTTGCATCAACAGTCATCTTCACCGGCCTCAAAACAAGCACGGTTCGAGCTAGAAACGGGCTATAGACCCAGAAACAATGTGTAATTGAGTAAGAAGGAAGGAAAAACGACGATATCCGTACACCGGAGCGGCAGGCAGCCTCACTAGCCTTGCCACAGGAACGGTTCGACTGGAAGCATACTGTCAGTATAATTGACTTCAAGCTCATGGATTGAATGTGTACTCACGGACGCAATCCACGTCGGGGTCAAATTGCTCTAACGGCCTATTGAGCCTGCCAGCCTCACTGTCCTGTTTCCAATTTCCGCCGGCATTCTCTGCCTTAACCCAACCACCAAGGTCATCCTCGGGGTGGAGGAGGCACCCAACAGGCGTTGTGAAGTCGAGTGTAGGTGGAGTATTCCTCTCCTTAACGATGATTGGTCCGCCAATGATGACCTTAGCGAAGCCCGATTCCCGAGCCGGGAAGAAAAAGGTGTCGCGGTATCTCGCGCTAGAAGGTAAGAGTATGATCTCCCGAGGACACTGCACCTCGGCGTTCATTGCAAGATCTTTGCCGTCGCAGGGACTAAACAAATTGACCTGGAAGACAGATAGCGTTAGGCCGCTCCAAGACACGTAGAGACGAGAGTCGGTCCACGTGAGCGTGCAAGGAAGCCTTTGCGAGAGCTGGGATCGGTCGAGAGTGCCAAGATCGACAAGGGACGTGTGTATGTGGTTCGGTGGACTCCGTGTGGGCTTTTTTGAGCAAAGGCGATAAGTGTGGACAAGGAGCGTGACTTGAGCCGAGCCATCCTGTTTTTGAGCCTCGGTTGCGCGGCCCTCAAACACAGCGATGTGAAGGTGACGCTCGGACTTTGCGAAGTGGCACTTCACGGTGAGAGTCGTTGCTGTGGCGAGCCGATGAGTGGACAGACAGGAAGCAGAATATGACCACTTACCGGAACCCGACTCTTCCCCAACTTCGCGAATGAAGTACGTGCTGTCTTCGTAATCAGCAAACAGAACATCTCGTCCACCCAGAGGCCACACGAGTAGGGGTTCGCTAGGATGGATCACGGGAGGAGAGTCTGATAGCAAGTTGGCGCTCTTCCTGCGGAAACGGAAACGACGCTCCTCCGACACATAAACCTGAATCACTGCTCGCCCAACGTGAGGAGAGACAGAGCGTTTCGTGCCTCGAGAATCTCTTTGGGGGCGTCTATGCTCGCCCCGATCTCCGTATGCTGGCAATTGACCGAAAGCGAATGCTGAAGGGTCGATCCCGTCGTCACTGTCACTATGAGCATAGGTGTCCTCTTCCTCTTCCTCCAGAACATCATCGTCTTCTTCATTGTCATCGTCCTCGGAAGTAGAGTCAGAGTACTCGCCGACTTCGCCTTGCTCACTGGATGAGCTTGTGTATCCCGAATTGGATTCGGCATCGGAATCCCGGACGTCAGCGGCTGAGGAGCAACTACTGGACGTCTCGTAACCTTGGTCGACACTGTCGGCTGAAGAATCTGAGACAACAGATTCGTCATCGCTGTCTGCCCATTCGCTGTCGCTGTCTCCGTCTTGGCACGAGTCTGCTTCTCGGGCAGGAGGGGGGCCTTTGTCGAAGGCCACAGGAGGGGACTGTCGGCGGGCCACAGCTATAACGTCCTCGCATCCCGCGATCTCCTCGATGTAGCCCAGATCTTCCGCATCGATTCCGTTGAACTTGAAGTACTCGCCGTTATCGCCTGCAGCATACACTCGCGAGCCAATCCGGAGACACCGTCCGTCGGCGCTGAAGGAGGCGATCTGCACGCCGGCCCCGCCTGAGCAAACGCTGAAAGCTTCGGCGTTGTTGATGTCCCCAGCAGCATAGAACGAGGCTTTACAGGTGTCTAGAGGGATGTTTAGAGTCTGGGACCGTTGCAATGTCGGCAACAACTTTGCGTCGTAGCTCCATGTCTCGACAACAAAGTGAAGCCGGCTGTCTGATACAGATCTGCATTACATCCGGATCAGTATCCATTAGGAGATACAGGGAGATAAAAATTGCCTACGCGAGCCGCAGGACCTTCACAGCGTCATGAGTTGCGAGTGCAGTCTGGAAGAAGCACTGACCACTCTTTCTAGCTTCCCCACAGTCCTGCGCTTGTAAGCGGAACGATTGATAGCGACTCTTCATCTTCGACAAGAAGTTGTCAGGGCCGAGGGCTCCCCACCAGCACCGATCGACTTCTCCTATGCATAGTCTGAACGCGCACGAGGGGTCGTCGCACCCGGAACAGGATAGAAAGAGGTGCCAGTCCCACCAGAAGCGATGGTAATCCCTGCAGTACTTGTCCTCCACTGTCCAGCGCGGGAGATTCCGACGGACCCATACCCGCCCGTCATTGGAGTTGCGCCATGCGTAAGGGCTGAATGCGCCGTCGATCCAAAGGTTTTGGATCTGGATGCAGGTCTGAAAGTTGGACGAGCTGAGAAAAGCTTGCACGCGCGTTCTGAATGCCGAGGCGACTCTGAAGAGGGCGCCAGTGGCCATTTTGAACGATTGGGAGAACGGGAGGTCGACGCCGTTGGGTGCAACCAAGTCTAGATGTTTGTCCCAATTTTTGGCGCTGTATGTGAGAAAGGTGTGTTCGGCGACAGACTGCCGGTCCATGTCGACCCACGTGCCCTCGTGCTGCCACAATAGTCGTGAGTATCGGTCCTGCGCAAGGTAACGCAAGCAGGCGTCCGCGATGCGTAGCGGGCAGACCCGGAAGCTGGGCCGCTGTTTGTCCCTCTCTCCCTCGTCATCGTCCTCATCTTCACAGAAAATATCGGCATGACGGCGCAGGTAATCGAATAATGTCGAATGGAAGAGGCGACAGGTCTTGGCCAAGGTCCTGGGACCTGCTTCAGTGGATGTCGCTGTTGCGTCTGAGCGAACATCAGAGGAGTCGGTCCGGTCGTCCTGCACTTCGATCAGGGGAGGGAATAGCTCGAGCAGGGCTTGAGTGAAAGGCTTTTGAGTGTCTTCGAGGTGACCCCTCGAGCTATGAAGCATAGCAACAGCCTCCCTGACTTCTTCAATCCTCAATGGCCGCCGCGCAAATGTGACCAAAGAAAAGACATCACTGGAAATGATCAAAATCGTATGCAGACACAATGACTGTGATCTGACGCACCGGGCTAACGACGCCTTGCCACCATGGAGCAGTCTATCGAGGAACCTGCAGTAGTACGCATCCAGGTCTTCGGCGCGCCCTCTATCCAAAATCTCGTCCATCGCCGCCAAAGTAGTCGCCTTTCCGAGCTCAACTACTATGAGGTGCGCCCAGAGGAAGTTGCTCTTCACGCGCTCTCCAAGCTGCGTCAGGATAGACTCTCTCCGTTCCAGCGGTATGACAGTCAGAGCCTCGACAGACTTGGTGAGGTAGCAACGGATTGCAGACTTGACAGAGTCTTTGATGTCGAAGGGTGTATACTTTCTGAAGTTCTGCCGAGTGTCCGAAACGTCTTGTGAGCTAATCCACAAGCGGACGTTGCCTCGCCCTTTCCTGGGCGCCACGAAGTCGTCCAAGACGCCGAGGACGACATGAGCATTTTGAGTTGTGCTCAGGCTGTCGACTCCAGTTCCGCAGTCAGTGAGCTTCCTGAACTCCTCATCCACACCGTCAAGGAAGAAGATGGTGGCGGGTAGGTGTGTGGTGAGCTCGTGCAAGATTGACTGGACTCGCGATATGGGATCGGTTATTCTATCATTCGCGAGACGAGCAAGCACCTGGACGAGATCGTGAAACGATTGGCCAGACAACTTCGAGTACGCTTCCCATAGCTGAGCGGCGAGCGATTTCAGAACCTCAAGTGCGGTGTGGTTCTGGTCGAAGCGAAAGTAGTGAGAGGCGATGAAGACTGAGGACTCCTTTTTGATAGCGCAGACGACCTGTCGACAGAGGGTCGACTTCCCTGATCCAGGGGGGCCGTACACCCACAACGCGGGAGATGGTGTGTTGCCCTTTCGCCAATCCTGGTATTTGGAGTGGCCCGTGATCCATTCGCAACACAGTGCTTCGATCTTAGCGTGTTGTGATCCTGGCAATCGACCGTTGGCGGCAGACGTGAACCCGGTAGCAAAGGGCGAGCCCAGGAAGTCGCGTACACATTGGACTGCATGGCATGAGCGGACTGAACCCGCTATAGCACGGGATCGCTTACCTAGCTTATCGGTCTGCGCAAGTTCTTGCGAAACAAGCTCTGCCTGCTCCTTCAGACGCATCGTGTTGGAGCGCATTTTCTGGACGATCTTGTCTAACTTGTCGCTGCTGAGGGACACGAAAGCAGACGCCAATCTGTGGGCCCCTGACAACTGGTTTAGCGAAAGGGGACGGCAAAAAGAAGGTAGCTTACTTGTACGATGAAGCTCGCGATATACACGGCTCCAGAAGTGAAATATGTCCACATAAGACTGACAGAGGATGTCGTCGAGTGCAGGGGAGTCGTTGAAAAGACGTTCGTAAGCCGAAAGGCGGTTGAGGTCGTGCGCCAAATCAGTCAAGGCATTGTCCATCGTCTCTGAGAGTTTGGAGTAACGATCGGCGAACTAGGCGATGAGAAAAGTAGATCAAATGATCAATCCACGGTCAAAAAGTCCACGTAGGAGTATACACTGACATCAGCTAGAGCCCCAACGCAAGTCCATACTACGCCCGAAATCGATGTGGGATCGAAGGATGCTACGGGACAATCAACTCCATGAAGTGTACAATCTGCCACCCACTTACTTATGTCAGTGACGGCGCTGGCATATCGTTTCTGGATAGCAACCAGGGCCTGTAAGACTCGCTTAGGTGTTGATGTTTTCAGCCGTCGCTCTCCAAAGTCTTTCTGGAGTTTGTTGTTGATTTGGGTCAGTTCGAGAGGCTTGATGTTGGTCTGGACACAGTACTGGACAAAGAAGTTTCCCATCTTTGCCTTGTCATCTAAGCTATTGAGAAATTTCTGATAAGCGCGTTGAACTACAGACATTCCTCTGTTGCCCGACAGAAGCAGATACAGAGTCAGCGCAAGATCCCTGCCATCCAACTGCTGTTAGACTTACTGAGCGGCAGCAGTCTGGGCTGAGGGCAGACTCGGAGGAGATGACATGGTTATCGGGGGAATCGAAAGGGTCTAGCGAAAGGGAGAGGATTGGGCAGTCGCTGAGGTGGACTCCCGTTCGCGATAAGGATTATATGACTCTGCCGAGCATGTTCACGATCCCGATGCCCAAGGCGTCTACCGTCCTTAGCAGGATGGACGTCAGTGTCATTGCAGAGCCATGGCACAAAAATCTCATCTCCAAAGTGTTTTGCCTGGTCACTGGGGCATAAGGGCCGGATGGCACGATTCGACTTGGAATGATCATGTGGCGGTAATAGGGCAATGCAAGGCATCTTCCATGAACACAGCAGGTCGTTGACAGGTCTCATGTCAGGAACAGAAGACTTGACATGCGTCTTTAGGGTTCAAGGGTCAGAAGCACTCGCAATACCTCGCCGATCAGTGGATAGTTCACCGCCATGGGTGCCACAAAGCGCGGTGGTAGTGACTATTAACCGTGACATGTCATCAGAAACACGGGTGCATTTGCATAATGGCTCGACGCCTTGAACCACTTAGCTCTCCCGCGCATATCTTCAAGTTGCTCACCCGCAACTCCGTACAGCGTTCCGATGCTAGAGCAGAGAACATTGAGAGACCAGTCAGAACGTGTGCAAACCTTGTGACAGAGGCCAGCGCACCCGACGACGGTGCGGAACGTTTGCCCAGCTTATATAATGGTCACCTTAATCGAGCAACTTAGGTCTTACGCCTTATACCGACTTATTGCCAGCTTAAGCATCTTAACGCCCTTAAATAGGGGTTGAAGAGCCATTAAGTAATTCGCATCTTCCGGCCACGTGCCAAAGCCCGTAGCAGTGATAATACCGGTGCTTTGCATGGAATCGCGTGTTATGAAGTACGTTGGGGGTACCGGTGATGGAGTGGAAGGCATGTATGGAGGTATATTTGTACATTAATTGTACTCTCAGGTCTTGCTGTGTGTTTCTACTGTTGCTTGTGGATTTCATGTCAGCGAGCATATTTGTCTAGGAAGTAGGCTAGAATACCTTGTGGTATGTAGGATTTGGGAGTTGACACTGGAAGCACGACTGCAGTTTGATTCCGGTGTCGGGTAGATCAGGCATCCTCCTTACCGTACACCTTTATCGGGCGTTGTCTCCCCAGAATTCCTTATGAATGGAGTCTGTGTGTTATTGGAATACATGTATCACCATTTATGCACATATTTCGCGCGATGTCATTGTCAGGAGAGGTTGACTGACTTCGGGATCAATGCCAAGCGCTGGCTGAGAATAGCCGAGCATATCGGTTCATTTGCCGCCATCAAACGTCAGTGCAATCAAGTACAACACCCAGGTGTTACGTCGTGCTTCTGCTTGTGCTAACCGGGCAGCCAGCAGTCGATTTTGGAGTCAGAACTAGGATCTCAATACGACAAAACATGAGAAAAGCAAACTGTAACACTGGAAATCCTCGAAGCTTGAAGCACAAAGTCGGATAAATCTAGATTCTGAGACCTGGAAAACAGCACCAAACACGATCACGGACTTGAACGCACGACGCGCGACCTTGCCCGCCTATTTTTTGTACAGATGCACCATCATAGGCATGGGGAACGTTCACAGCGCCGTAGAACCAGAGCCTTGTCCGAGATCTCGATCAAGTCGGAGATTGGAGAGCATCCTGTCAGCCTGAAACATGGCCGACCTCTGCACTTACTAGAGACCCAGGCCTCAGGACGGCGCCTATTGTGAACATAAACTCGTGGTAAGTGCATTTCTGGCAGGGACTGCCTCACACTATACTTTTTGCACCGCTCATCTCGAACTGCCTAGGCCATTTCGAGAGCCAAGAGATTGCACGATGGCTTCCCTCTTTGGTGGCTGTTGAAGATCTACAGGGACCCTGCAACGCGAAAACAGCGCACTTGCTGCTCATGGATATTTGACAATCTGAACACCTGGAAGCTGTTGTGTGGGTTCGATACTCGTGGAGCGCACCACCGGTTCTGTGGGGCTGTGATCGGACTGTCCGCATTAATTGCATTCTTTGGCCTCGCGCCTTTGGGGTCCTTCCATGAACGCGTGCCGCAGCGTTGATTCGCGTCGCCGAGAACTCGGAAGGTAGAGCTGCCGGGAGCTGCTTATATGCCGCACCCGTCTAGGAACACCTGCTCCGTATCTGTGACTCTCAGCACCTCTTTCGATCCAGAGACTTGAGCAGTCTTCTCATGACCACTCAACTGTCTGACCCCTCCGGTATACCAGCCGAAGTGAATGCTGTACCCGATCCTCCATCTAGACCTCAGCGTACCGAGATTGCTCGTTACGACTTATAGTGGGTTTGACGCTACCGTTCACATGCTTCAAACTAACTGAGTCCGTTACAGTTTCAATCAGTACGCGTTCTTGATTGTCGAGTCACGGCAAACACTAAAGAGTCTTTGCAGGCGCAATTCCCGATACGAGCTCCGAAAGTCACGAAGGCCTGCGACGGTCGAAAAAATCAGCAGGAAGAAGCCTATCCTTCTTGTCAAGCGACGCATCGACTCCAGGGGTCAACTCGAGGGTACAGTGATAGAGATTCATCACGAAGGATTGCAGGCTTTGTTAGCGGAAATCAATCGGGGGGTGAAAGGACTCGATCTAACAAGCAAGACACCCTCGGTAAGCCAATTGATGACGTTCGTCCATGAATTAGGATGCTGAGTGACACTATAGGTTAGCCGGGAGTTGTTCTTCCATTCGCGCGCGCAACTTGTAGAGAGGGGTCGGACCTTAGAGGCATCCCACCAGCCTCAGGATCAAGACCTCATGGACGGGATCAAAGCAGCCCTACGCCTCATAGAAGAGGATCTCGCCGACACTATCAAGGATTTCAACTTACTCGTAAGCAAGAAGCAGATCACCTACGCGTACCTCTGGGCGCTTTTCCCTCCGAACTGCTATGTCCACGGCTACGACTCTGCTACCGATCAGCATTTCGTGGCTCACGCGAAGGCATCGCAATATCGATATACTCGGGAAGGAAATTACTTCGAGATCCAATGCGACATCATCGTTCACGACGCCACCGAGTTCGGCCTCGCTGAGTACGAATTCAAGATCCCACAGTTCTCAGGAGCGTACTCTATCCTCGAGTTGCCGGTCTGCCCCCTCGACTACTATCCAGATAGCGCAGCACTTCGTGAGAAAGCGATATCCCGGGGAAAGGTCTATGCGAATTTGCGCATGCATTTCTACCAACACCAAGGCATAGCGACCCTTTGTGTGGGCAATGGGTTAAGGCTGGTGGTAGGTCTCCTACATCTTTTCCTCGATAAGGAGCTAACGGCTTGAATGCGAAGACCAACGAACGAGTCATGGTCGACGTTGAGTCCTTCTTCAGGTACCAAGCAAGGGCTAGTTTCGCGCGCACTGTCAATCGTCGGCTGAATCCGGAGGAGCTATCAGACCTTGAACTGATGATTTGCACTCCGGTGCTCCTCGGTTTCTGCTTCAATACCAAGTCTTGGGGTGCGTCCCAAACACACTTGTTCAGACTACATCAGTGATAGACATTCTGGTCCAGGTGCCTTCGCTATTGACAGAATCACGGAGGTAGCTTGGTCCGATGAACCATTCGAGAGACTAGTGCTTCCGAAGAGGCACAAGCTTCTCATCCAATCTCTTGTCACACAACATGCATCCCGTCCTGCAGGATTCGACGATATCGTTGCCGGTAAAGGGAGAGGGCTGGTTGGATTGCTGTGCGGTAATCCAGGATGCGGCAAGACCCTGACCGCTGAGGCTGTCGCAGAGATCACGCGCAAGCCCCTTTACACAGTGAGCGCTGGCGAGCTCGGCACCACCCCGGAGGACACCGATGGCCACTTGCGGCGAATCTTACGCCTCGGAGAGCGTTGGGATGCGGTCGTGCTCCTGGATGAGGCGGACGTCTTCTTGCAGGAACGGGACAAGACTGATGTATCGCGAAATGCTTTGGTCTCGATCTTCCTCAGACAGGTCGAGTACCACCCCGGTATCCTCATCTTCACCACGAACCTCATCCAGCAGATGGACCCCGCCTTCGAGAGTACGTGGTCACTGCTTGAGCCGGTCTGGAAAGGAGTTGACGTACGATCCGTGCAGGCCGCATCCACTTCTGCGTGAAGTACGCAGACCTTGATTTCGCCTCTCGCAAAAAGGTCTGGCAAACATTCCTATCCAAGGCTGGCGTCGCCGATACGGCGATTGGCGAACGCGACTTGTCTCATCTAGCGAAACACCCACTGAATGGACGCCAGGTTCGTCTCTCTTCTCTTGAAGATGGGACTATCTATTGACTACTCTCGTAGATCAAGAACATCGTCAGTACGGCGAGGTCTATCGCTTCCTCTGAATCTTCCGCACTAGCACCCAGCCATGTGCAGACAGTACTAGAGGTCATGCAGGACTGGCACTCCGCGAAATACGAACGTACCTGGAACCTTCATCCCATCGTCCTTGGTGCTGCCGGTGTCGTCTGTTCCCTGGTTTATTTGCGGCGGTTCGGTGCGTTAGTGCTCGCTTCCCCATGACCCGCTGCTGAAGATTCATCTAGCACGATGGTAAGCTGTCTGTGTTCCTCCGCAGTGAACCGATGGGCCCGTCTACGATCGATTCGTTGGCTGGAGTTGCATTTTGTATGTTTCGTATCTGAGTCACAATAGTCTTTTGAGGTACCGTGACGGAGAGATTAATCTCATGGTGATGGCGAACAAGCACCAACTCGTTTGCCCAAGTTGCCCTTGACGTTGTCCACCTACGATGTGGTTCCTATGGACCAGCTCGCCCTTCCTCTGAATATGATCAAACGCCCAACGGCATCCGGTCGTCCCGTCTCGTCTAGTCTACGATGGAACAGGTACTCCATTCACTCAGGCCTTGACACTTGTGCACGACACACATTGCAGGAAAAGACCCCAAAATGACCGGCATCATGATAGACTGCGCAATGGATCTTTTCGCATTTCCAAGCCGGCCAGTTTCCCAGCTACATCTCTGGGAACCCGCGCATGGTCAGGTCCATCTCCTGCGTGACCGGTTGGACACTATACGCGTCCAAAGGCTTCCCAGAATGAAGCTGAGAAGGCGGACGGGGTTGCCAGGCATCTCATTATCCTAGATTTGGACGCTATGGTCTGGGACCAGCACCTGATAGATGGCGTCCGAAGAGGTGTGTGGATGTACACGAGAGCGCGGAGATGAGTGACACGCGACAGAACACAAGGTGCGCGGGCATAACACGGAGCAAGCGAGAGACGGGACCACCAAGGGTTAGGGCAAATGCATGGAGTAGACGGCACGCAGATGGACGTGACTAGCACACCGAGCGACATAGTGCAAATATCGACATATTTCCGGATATGAGGCCCATGCTTGTATAGTACTACACAGAGAGCATACAGGAGGGGATTTCAACACCGGTGGCCTATCAGGGGGTGGGGGAGAAGGCGGGAGGGATGACACACAGATGGAACGTACCTTATACGCAAGCCTCGCTCTACCGTAAGGCGCCGTCACACCAAAGTGGCATGGACGCATCCCCTGTGCACTCCCTTTCCTGGACCACTGACATGCTGCGTGTAGCTCGAAGTTGTCCAAGGAGGTCGAGCAGAGCGAGAAGAGACGGCGAAGGGGCAGACGAACGAGGCAGAGCCAGCATGCATGCGGATGGCGAGCGCTTAGTGTGTTTCCACTATTCGGCACAGGTTACGCTCGTGGGATTTCCGCGTGATGCAGCCGGGTACATATGCTTGACATGCATCTCCCAGTCCCTCCTTCCGCCGTATTGGTCGACGTCAACTGGCAAGGCAATTACCTCATGAGTCTGCATTATGAGTGCCCAACATTGTCTCACGATAGCTCGTCCTTCCAGGTTGTAGAGATAGATGGGGTCAATCACTGTATTGCTTCCGAGTCATCGTTCCGCCGCTCGTTTCTGGGACGCCATCGTTGTTCTTCTGTCTCTGCTCGGTCTGGGTTGCCTGATCGATGACCTCAAACTTATGTACTGAACACGTCTCTAGCTTTTGACTTCCACGCCAGGCTGCGCGATGCGTCGTCGAGCCGTGCTGCATCCGCCATTGTAATTGACGTGCAACTTGGTCTTACACTGGACACGTTATGTAGGTCTCTGATATCAGTGCGCCACCGCGATGATGTTCATCGTGTCTTACCGTACTCTCTTCTCTAGTCGATGCATCGGTCAAGATGCTTCCGAGTTTCACGCCAGAATGCGACTACATGAGTCTCACGACGGAGCAGCTGAGGCGCATCCCCCAGCCAGCATGCTTCTCGCCGTCGTTGTCGCTCTATTGCAGTTTGTGAACGGGCAGAGTACGAATGCTACCTGCTCTGACGACTATGACTGGGTATCTCCTCTGGTCATGGCATACGTCGACGATATTGTGACGCTGATATGATACTTGCAGATGCGCAACTCGAAAGCTCAGAGCCCTTGCCTGATCACCGCCTGGCTACAGTACCCGTGCTACGGTCGTGCGTCTCCTGCCCAAGGTATCTGACCTGGATGCGTGCGCTGACTTGGCCCCCATAGCCTTTCAAGTTCCAGGACTGCCTTCAGGCCCGTATTCCTATTCGGGACCATTGAATGGCTCTGCATACCCATGTGCATGCAATACAGTGCTCTATTCAATGTGGGCGGCATGTGCTGTATGTCAAGGGGCCGGAATCAGTCGCATATACCCGTACGTCTCTGAGGTGGTCTGGGCGTAGGTGCGACTGACCACTTGTCTTATCCAGATGGTCGTCCTTCTCCGAGTACTGCTCGAAGGTTTCGGTCGAACAGCACGTAGTTTCCCCGCCTGACTATATAGAAGGATGGAAACTGACTGATTCACTCTAGATACCCCGAATTAATACCCAACGACACCGCGGTACCTCTTTGGGCATACTTACCACTCGCAGTAAGTGCCTCGTACCATCCGTTGTCTCCAAGTACCCTTTTGATCCATTGGTTCGCAGAACAATACGTTCAACCTGGCAGCCGCAAAATCCAACGCCTCAGAAGGTGAGCCCGCACAACTCCAGCTATCTGCCTATCATTGTTCATTCATAACTTTGGCGATTTCTCCGATATGACCGAATGAAACCTCGTTCGCATCCTCGCCACAACGTTGTCGTTAGCCACCTCGAACTCAATCTCCTCATCACGGCTCCCTGCCTCCTCTGCCTCCACCCAACAGATGCATCACACCGGGAGCCTCGGGGTCACTGCCGGAATAGTCGGCAGCATCATCGGCGTGGCGGCCATAGTCTCGGCGCTCGTCATAGTCGTCCGCAAGTGGGGAGACAGACTAGCCCGAAAGCGGGCTGCCACAATGGTCGGTATGGACGAGGTAGGCACTGTATTGGTCCGGCAGTGGACGAACACAACGGCCGGCGTTGGCGAGCGGATCCTCGATACCGCTCGTAGGTCCCGCATCGTCGTCGTCGACAAGTGGCGCGCTACCACACGCGCCTTGGCGCGCCTCCGACGCAGCCGTCGGAGCGGCAGCGCCCCTCCCGGTCCACCGACCGTCCACAGGCTCGTGAATCTGAGCCCACTCCTCTACGTACGTGCATCGCACCTACCCATGTGCATGTTTGATCCACCGGCGGGCATCTGATCCCCGTCACGTCCTTTCAGAACCCCGACGACCCGCGCACGTTCCCGCCGATGCCTTCCCCAGAAGAGATTGACCTGTATCGTCGCCACGAGGCGCTGCAGCCGATGAAGTGCGCCCGGTCGTTCACTTCGGTCGCTACGGGCAGCACTGCGGCGGACCAGTCCCCGTTCCCAGCCGTGGCGGGTTTCCCCTGGCGGCCCGAGGGCGCTCTGTAAATTGTGGATGGGTGGGTGTCATGGACCTGGGGCTCCACGCGGTGGTGCAATGAATGAGTTGCTGTTGCGGTCCTCAGCGGGCTGACGTTGTCGGCTGACATATCTGGCGCATTGTGTATCCACATCTGCACGTATACCTATACCCTTTTGGACTCGACAAGCGACTGATCCGATCCCGGCCCCCTCTCGCTCGTTCTCTTCGCGATAGAAGTCCCGTACGCTCCGGCGGCGGACAGATCACGCGCTCGCGTGCAGTGGCGCATCGAAGAGATGGCGAGGTTGGTGTGCTCGCCATACAATACAACGTTCCGAGAAGCGCGTCGAACGTACCGTGCAATCACGACATGGCTTCAGAGGTTCTAAGATCCGGTCCTGGCCCGAAGACAGCTTCCATATGTTGCCCCAAGCGGGCGTGGAGGGTAGGTGCCCACCATGCGAGGCATTTGGTTAATCCACGTGGCGAGGCTGAGGAGCCTGCGTTGCGGCAAAATCTCTCCGTCGTCGCAGTCGTCGCCGCAGGAAAGTCGTGGACGCCATGAGAGAGGATGTATCAGTCCCCGCGGCCAGGAAGATTGCGAAGAACACGTCGCCTACCGTCCACGACAGCCCAACATCGGTCGAAGTCTTGCAATCAGTTCCTGTGATACTCTTGCTGTTCGCCTCGCTAATGGCCAGACTGTCGTGTACACATATCACCGCTTCCTGGACGAGCAGATGTGTTACATACCTTGCTGCCGGGTCCTGTGCGAGGCACAGGACTGTAAACTACAGAGATCGAGCCCGCGCGGCACAACGTAGTGGGCGTTAGTCGGATGCAAAGATTGCCGTGACATCTTCCCTTGCATGGTTCCTGACGACGTGAGCTGGATCAATTCGGGCAGCAGCGCATCCGGATTATCAGCGATGATACTATGAGCTTACTATTCCCGTTGCCCTTGCATGCAAAGCCGGAAGTTGAAAAGCGACCAGTGGACGTTGTGGTCCGGACTCGGAGAAACCCGGATCGTTTGTCGAGGCCAAGATAGGTAGCTGAAGCGCCCACGCTGACACTTCGCTCGGCGACCCAGGCTGGCTTTCCTCCGGCCACTTTGCCTATGGTTGCCACCTCATACCGTCCGTCAGTATTCTGTTTCCCACAACTGAGGATTCAGTAGTCGAGCGTAGGCTCTAAGAGCTTCATACCAGAAGGCGTGCCAACACCTCCGGTTCGAATCACGAAGATCCTAGTGGGTCGGTGTCGTATGGCGCAAATTATATTGACATATCCGTTCCAGCAGTAGCGGTGCAGGTGTATATATATATATATATAGTACACAAGTGCTTGTCTCAATGTTCGAGATGAGAGCACTGAGGTCCTTCTGGCGTTCTACCGTGGCGCAATCACGGCGCAATCACGGTTTCCGGTCGCCTTGGACCGTCCCGCGAACGTCTGCCGAGTTCAGCCGTGCGTCGCTGACGCCCTTTGGCGCGTCATCTCCTGCACAAGGAGTTCAGAGGTCGCGTGACGAAGTGACAAGACGAGTGTACGCACTGTAGATGGAGGCGGGGCCCTCTTCCTTCTTCGTTTGCTTCCCCGCGACGTACATGTAGCCCAGGGTTCCAAAAACGGCGGTGACGGTGGCGATAGCCTGCGCAGTCGTCATAGAGCGGTGAGTGATCTCTCATGCGACGGCTTGCGAGCGGCAGGGGGCATTGAGGACGTCGACTTACCAGGGTACGACCGGAGCCTCTTGCCTGAACACCGGAATTGGCAGGCATGGCGAGTAGAGTGCGTTGAATTGATGAGCGGTCTTTCTGTCCGTGCGTCGACGGAGGTGCGAGATGGCTGGATGTGTTTTGGAACGGAGGGGACGTCGCGACAGTGCTTATAACCTGCTCTATGACGTCATGGTGCCCTCGCTAGGCTGGCGCATCAGGCGCTCCTGGCTCCATGCACAGACTTGCATACCAAACGCATTGATGGCGCAAACGAGCAAAGTCATACTATCCAAGCACACGTCCCCTTGATATAGTTATGACGTCGTAAGAACCATGGTGCACTCTGCCCTTATAAATCAAATGCCAGTGGTCAACATAACCATCGAGGCGTGTCGCGGTGGTATCGACAAGTATCGATGAGAGAGATGAACAAGACAGCGCCGCGCAGTGCGATTGCTGGTTCGGAACGACCTGCCCGATCTGAGATACATACCGCCAATTCAGACGGTGTCCTACTTCGAGCGGGGCCGTGAAAGCGAGAGTTTCTTGGCTTAAAGTCGACGTCTGAACATCAGGTTTAGGTGGCGATTTCCAAGGGACGCTTAACACGAGAAGTCCAGGACTTTCAAGCCCAATACGTCGTGAACTCCTGTCCTCATTCCTCCGACCACGTTGGTACCCAGTGCGGGACACTCGAAGGCATACATATCCCAAACCAATCATGAGTTGGCTGGCATAACGTCGCGTAAGGGAGCAGGCTACGCCAACAACTCCCGAAGAACACAATACGATGCGAACCCTTCAAATGTCTGATGCACCGAGCTTCCAGTCGACTGACCGGTCCCAGAGTACCCCAGAGAGAAGAGGCTTCCCCCGACGACACAAGCCGGCAGTGCAGTGGCAAGGTCATCCCGTCTCCGCGTTGCAAGCAGAGCGCAGAGAGCAAGGGCGGCAAAAATAAGATAACCAAAAATGAAGGCGGTGCCTTCATAATAGTGGTTAAACTATTAAGAACAGATACTACACTTGATCTAAGCCAAAAGGCCAGAGTGGTGAGGAAACAGGAAGGCCGGGGTCGGACTTATATACTCAAAGCTGGTGGGCACGGACCAGGTGGAGGCGTGTGTTGTTCGCGCACTTACCCGCATTGGGCAGCAGCCGGGTCCCGGAGCTGACGGTCTGACACGGTCGGCTATCAAGCGCCCATCGGCGCAAACTGTCTCGAGCGTCTTCAATGTTCAGAACTTCATGCATCATTCTCTATCGTCGTGTACCGTGGCATACCTTTGATCTATCCCCTCCAAATATGACTTCAAGGCTATCGCACACTAGTCATCACCATATAGTCAAGTCATGCCTGCAGCCGTCTTTACCGTGCTACTCCGCATCAGTACGCTTGGAACGAACCAGACAGCAATCACGCATTTTTCTTGGGATCACCGTGGCCTAAAACGTCTACCACGCTCGCCGCGGATGGCACAGTGTCTACTCGGCTCAAAGTGTCATGTTTGCTTATCTGGGGCGTTTGCTTCCATCGGGCGCCTTCAATTGTAGTACCAGGCTCAGGCCCCGTTCGGTACGTCGGATAGGATTAGAATAGGGTTGATTTACAAGCCAAAATCGCCGTAGCCGCTCAGTGATGGGCGTGGGGCTCCGAGCGGCTACGGCGATTTGGTAGGGAAAACTAAACATATCCTACTCTAACCTGACGCACCGAACGGAGCCTCAGGCTACACATTGCATGAGGAATGATCAGGCTGCATGACTAAGGTCAGCCATGTAGCGTTTCCTCATCCTCTACTGATTGACAGAAAGCGTTCCCCATCCCCATTCAGCCACCCGCTACCCGCCCGGGATGCCGTACTGCCCAAGTCTTGGTACCATTTGCCCTATCCCAGACGCCTTGCTTGTCGCTGTCAAGCTGCGCTGTCGTGTCTGGGCCTCATATTCCTTCGACTCGAAGGGTCATTACCTCGCCAGGATACGCTGATCATTGCCGAGGCTGAACGATATGCACGTGGCTCGGACTAGCAGCAATCCCTGGACCTCACGAGCGAACGTCGTCCCGCGTTAGGGAGAGCGCGTGCCGTTCTCGACAATTGCCCGACCGGCAATCCCGCTCTCGAAGTTCTCCACGAAATTGATACTCAGAAGACTTCCATTTGAGAAACCTTGCATCGCCTTCCTGGAGCTCTCCCCACGCCAAGTTACGCAGTGCGCTTGACTCATTCGCAGCTTCTGTTCCCCGATCCTCTGGACAGAACCGAAAGCGTCGGGTCTACGGTCATGGTGAGTGCCTAACCCCAATGACATGAACCGTAAGAGTCGCATGCTGACTCTCGTTCTACTACACTGACCGACGTACGTTTCCGAAAGCGCTCTCGTGGGTATCCCCCGCATCTGCCGAAGCAGTATACTGCAAAAGCTTGCGAACTTCCCCAAGACGTAGCCTATGAGGTAACCGCCTGTTATCGCCTTCTCTGCAGCCGATCATGTGAGCCATACTGCAGGCCTAGAACTCACCCCGCTCCCAGCGATGAGAGCCTGATTGACTTCTGCGTTACAGGTCCGTCTGTGCCCTAAGCGCGAAGCCGACGCCGCACTCTCATGTACATCCGAAAGGGTGACGCTGCTACGTCCCCATGGGCGACGTGAATAGCCACATGGCCCGGCCCCGACGGACATTTGTCGCAAGCCATTAGCTACGTGGGGTTCTGCCGTCGGTGGCCTGAGAGGTACGTCCGTCGTATATAGGAGTGTGCGTCGTCGTGTCTGCTCCTCAGTCCTATCCCTCCCTCTTCCTCTCGACTGACTGATACAATCGCCAGTGCAACTCGGTAGAAATGCTCGCATCCTTGCTCCAAGGGATCGCCATTTGCTCGGCGACGTGGTTCCTGTGGAAGTACTTCCGGCAGGTCTTCGTCAAGTCGCCCCTTGACAACATCCCAGGTCCTGCTGCGGAGTCGTTCATCTACGGTGTGCAAGCAAATCTCGTGGACTCATGCTGTTGTCTGACATCCGTGCTCCAGGCAATCTGCGCCAGCTGCTCGACAAGAATGGCTGGGGTTTCCTCAAGAGTCTAGAGTCGTATGACGGCGTTGTGAAGCTGCATGGCCCTCTCGGCGTACGTCCTCACCACTATGTCTCGAATACGTATTGAACTCCTCCTTCTCCTATAGCACCGGATGCTGTTTGTCTTCGACCCGACCGCGATGCACAATATCATAGTCAAGGATCAGTACATTTACGAGGAAGCTGCGTTCTTCATCAAGTACGTCGTTTCGGCATGGTGTCGCTCGTCGCCCAACTCACGTCGCTCAGGTCCAATCTCCTGAACTTCGGCCCCTCGCTGCTCGGCACGCTCGGTGAGTAGTCGCGCTTCGCCTCTCGTTGCGGCCGCCATTCATACCGATCTCTTACTTCTATAGGCGAGCACCATCGAAAGCAACGCAAGCTGCTCAACCCCGTCTTCTCCATCGCCCACATGCGTCGCATGATTCCCATCTTTAACGACGTCTGTCTGAAGGTGCGTCTGCTTCCTCATTCGCTGGCTCTCCCTAGGCACCGACGGGCCTGTCCCTATCACAGCTGCAGAAGGCTCTCGAGTCGCGCATCGACGGGAACGACATGGTCGAGATAGACATGTTGTCGTGGATGGGCCGCACCGCCCTCGAGTTGGTCGGCCAGGCGGGACTTGGCTATTCGTTCGACCCGCTCGTCACAGACAAACCTGACGACTATGCGAGCGCCATCAAACTGTTCCAGTGAGCATTGCCAATTCTTGCTATGGTCTGCCACGCACTCATGTTGTAACTAGGCCTGTGCAGGCGGAAGTGAGCTTGCTACGCCGCCTCGTGCCGTACGTCAGCGATCTCGGCCCGCCTGCATTCCGCCGGTGGCTCCTGGACATGTTCCCCCACAAGGGCGTGCAGCAGCTCAAGTCGATTGTTGACGTGATGCACGAGCGTTCCCTCGAGATCTTCCAGCTGAAGAAGCAGGCTCTAGAACAGGGTGACGAAGCCGTCGCCCACCAGGTTGGCGAAGGCAAGGACATCATGAGTATTCTACGTAAGTCTTCTTAGATCACCATCGCCGCCAATCAAGGTTTGACATGCTGTACCCTTCAGTGAAGGCAAACGTCGAGGCATCGGATGAAGATAAGTTGCCGGAGGAGGAGATCCTTGCACAAATGTCGTGAGCGGCCAATGATTAGCTCGACACACCAAAACCGCGCTAACTACTTCTGGGTCAGCACATTCATCTTGGCTGGGATGGATACTACCTCCACTGCATTGTCCATCACGCTCACCATTCTGTCTCAACACCCGGAGGTGCAGGAAAAGCTCCGGAACGAGATCTTGGAGGCATCCAAAGGGGAGCCGCTTGAGTACGACGCCCTCGTCTCCCTTCCCTACCTGGACGCAGTCTGCCGGGAGACCTTGCGTCTGTGAGTGATCTTGTCCTGTACAATGAACGTGAACCGTACGATTGATGGCGATGACCAGCTACGCCCCCGTCGCTCAGGTGTTCCGCGAGTAAGGACCGCGTAGCGTGTTCTCGTTCAGTCGTAGATGCTGATTGTTCCCGTCCCGTATGAAGGACTCGAGAGGACGTGGTGATGCCTCTATCGCACCCTATCCGAGGTGTGGACGGCAAGACGATACACGAGATCTTCGTCCCTAAGGATACCGTCGTCGCCGTCGGTCTCCTCGCGTCCAATCGCAACAAGGCCATCTGGGGCGAGGATGCAGAAGAGTGGAAGCCCGAGCGTTGGCTGTCGCCCCTGCCCGGAAGCGTCACTGAATCCAAGATTCCGGGCATATATTCAAACCTGTACGTTTCCGAGTCGTCACTTCGGTTGCTGCCAGACGCGTCTCTGCGGAATTGCTCACCGCTCCGTCTGCAGTATGACTTTCCTGGGAGGCGGTCGCGCTTGCATGTAAGACACCACGTCCGATCGTGATTGGCATCGCTTACCGTCTCTCATACTTGCAGTGGATTCAAATTCTCGCAGCTCGAGATGAGTGAGCATTCGGTCCTACTAGTAAATCCTTGCAGTCGCTGACATATTGTTTCGCAGAGGTTGTACTGTGTCTCCTTCTGTCGAAGTTCACATTCGCACAGTCCGACAAGAAGGTGAATTGGGTCTTGTCTGGCGTCCGTTTCCCGACCGTAGGCAACAGCCCGAAGCCGTCAATGCCTCTGAAAGTAGGGCTGTACAAGGGGCCTGTTCCTGCATAAGTAATAATTCCTGTCACGTAACAATGTCGATAGCGATCGGCCTCTTGAGCTGCACCTTCCTGCTACCTCGAGCCAGTCAAGTTGCTTACCTCGCTTTCGAAACTTCGCCTCCAGCGGTGCTTCTGACGCCCCTGGTGATTTAGCAGTTGTCATGCAAGACGCTATTATGAAGGGGCTGATGCGATGATGGGGTCCACTGCGATTATTTCTCAGGGTTTCACAGCATGGGAGAAGTCCATCGAGTTCAGATATGAGCGCCTCCCAGGACACCACAGCTCTTCGGCTTCCTCTGCATACTTCGAGGGGTAGGCCTCCATGATTAAGGAGAGTAGTCGTCGTCGACTGACGGCTACCGTCCTCGATTAGCGATGGGGACCGAGCTGCCCCTCATCTGAACGGAGGCGGCAACGCAGACCCGAGGGTATAGAGATGCAAGTCCGGGTTGATGATGGGAATCCTGGGTACGAGGAAGTGTATCGGTGGGGCATATGGGAACGAGGCCGAAATTGCGAGCGAGTCCAAACGGAAATGGGGACGCAGATCCAAGGATATAGGGAATACGAGTCCGGAGTATAGGAGTTGAATCCTATGTGCAGGTGTTGACTCCTGGGAGGAAACGTATCTGTGGGGTATGTGGAAACGAGGCCGATAGAAGAGCGCAGACACTGAACCGTATGTGTGGCTTTGTTTGTTATAGATGGAAGGCGAGGGAAGCTGCTGGCAGACGCGAACCTGGAAACTGGGGGAGACGAGGGAGACGACGCAAGGAGAATCAGGGACTGAGACAGGGAAAGGTGAGACAGGGAAAGGCAAGACCAGGAAGTGATGTGCAGCCAGCAAAGCATCCAGACAGAGAGTAAGCGCGTCGATGAGGGGTGAGGCCTCGATGGCCGAGGAGAGTAGTCGGTGTTGACGGTCGACTACCATCCTCGGCTAGGGATGTTGACCGAGCACCCTAGTAGGGGCCACCGACCGACACCAGCCGTCCCTGGCGCCGAGACTTGACTGGCGTAGGAGGCACCACCCGAGCCCGAGTGGGTCCGGCTCGGGTCCGAACGCGGACAGGCGTTGTCTGAGGGAGCCGGGACTGCTCCCGGGCGTTGGCTGCGCGGATGTTCCGGAGGGCGTAGGCCATCTCGTTCGATACATGCCCGAGGTTGCGGCAGTACGTCGACATCGTCGGCGGGCGTTGCGACTGGGGAAGCGCAGGGGTAGAATGGGAGGGAGGGGATGAGCACACTGTTGGTTCGGAGGACGTCTCCTCCATCTGCGATGACAACGTGATCAGCCAACGCGCACGAGGACGAAGGATGATCCCACGAACCTCAACAGTCGGGTACTCAAGTGGGGCTGACCTGAGACCCTTCATCGGCGACCCCTACAGGGAACCTCGTGAGCACCCCCATACACCCATAGCACAGAAGACGACAAACCGGTGGGACAGCTGTCACATCCATCGGCACAGGCCCATACCCGTCCCTCCTCGGGAAGTCCACTATCGTCCCCACCCTCCCCTCATCAAAGTTCGCGAAGACGTCCTCCGGTACGACCGCCCCGCTCTGATTGAAGGGAGGATGGTACTTGTTCGCAGGCCTCCGATCGGTCCCGCAGAACGGCAACCCATGCGCCCTCGCCCGACGCACAAGCGGGGAACGGTGCGTCTCGCGGCCATGCCCCTCCACAGACTTGGTGAGCGAGGGATGCTGACCGTTGATGGCCTTCGTGGCGAGGTAGATGGTGCGGGGGACGCCCATGTGCTTCTCTGCGAACCGAGCCTCGCGCATCGCCTGGCGGGAGGTGGGCTGAGCTGGCGATGCGAGAGGCTGACAGGCGGCTGGCGGCTCGCATGGAGGCTGGGACCGTAGCAGAGCGAGTTCCTGGCGATGTCCGTGTGAAATTGCACTGACCCTGTCGCGCCGACGAGCGACCTTCTTGAGTGCCTTGCTGGTCTCCTTGATCTCCTGAGTGACTTGTGTGAGCCACGTCGCGGTCATCAGTGCAGTGAGCGGTTTACGAACCTTGGCAATGCGAGCCTCTGCAGAGGACTTCCCCTTGGTACCGACACGAACCTCCTCTCGGATACGCAGATGGAGCTGTTGCACTGATGAGCTCGGTGCTTGGCCAGTAACAGGTCAGGAAGCTCACCTTCTTGGTCATCTCGTAGGTATGCCGGTCAATTGGAACTTCAACACCGTCGCTGTCTTGATCGACTTGGAGGACGTCGGCCACGAAGTTCTTGACGTCGTCCTTGAGGAGCGGGGACACACGTCGAGGGTTGAAGGAGTACAAGGCGACGGGCACGGGACCCGGAAGGACCCAGAACTTGCGAGCGGACCTCTTCAATGACTCCCATGCGTTATATATGTTTGTTGTGTCCATCTTGAAATTGTTTATGTTGCGAAGCGAGGATACGGGCGGATGCAGAACGAGGTCACGGCGATGGAAAAGTAGACAAGAGTCGACGCAGAGAGATGAGAGCAGGTATAGAGCGATGATAGCAGGTGTAGAGCGACGATAGCAGGTATGCAGCGATGGAAGCAGGTGGAAAGCGGTAAGGCCAAGCACTCGACCTCGAGCCGGTTTATATGCCGACCGGGTCAGAGGCTGACATGGAAGGCGGAGGATCTGGGGAGCGACCACCATGTCAGCCTCTGCACTTGTCAATCGGAGAAGCAGCACTCGCAATGTCGATCGTGCCAATAGCAAAGGCCTGGGTACGTCGTTGACTCTAATCTTCCAAACAGCGGTGCGTCATCGTCGGAGAAAATGTCAGCCCACGTCTGCCGATCGCATCGACGTGCTTACCCCGACACCTCCGCTTGTCTGTCTGGATGCATCGCTGGCCTCACATCACCTCTTGGTCCTGCCTTTTCCCTGTCTCCGTCCCTGAGTTTCTTTCCTGCGTCGTCTCCCCCAGTTCCCAGGTTCGCGTCCGTGACGGTCTGCCAATGACTTTCCTCGTCTTCTACCATAACAAACAAAGCCATACATCCGGTTCGGTGTCTACGTTCTTTGATCGGCCGCATTCCCACATACCCCACGGATACGTTTCCTCCCAGGATTCAAATCCTATACTCCGGACTCGTACATTAATACCCCTGGATCATCTGCTTGGACTCGCTTGCCTATGCGTATTCGGCCGCGTTCCCCACATCCGCCATGGATACATCTCCTCATACCCAGGATTCGCTTCCTTTATCCAGGAATCACTTCCTTTACATAGGATTCATTTCCTTTACCCAGGATTCATATCCTTTAACCCAGGATTCACTTCCTCATACCCCGCACATGTGTCCCTATACCCTCGGATCTGCGCTGCCGCTTCCGTCTGGACTCCCTCAATACAGATATACCCCTTCTAGCCTAGATGCTGGCGAATAGGCATATACATATACATATACATTTTGACCACATCTTGTCCGCTTCTTTTGATTCTCGTCTCTTGGCTTCAATCTCGTCTCTTAACTTCGGACAGATCCTACATATACACTGTACGAGTATAATCACCCGGCGACGTTCTACATATGCCTAGTTGTACTCCGGTGTGTCATGTTTCCAGTGTTTCCAGGCAGTGTACCCCCGCGAGACCTACGTTCTCGTTTTATAGTATTTTATAGTAATAACAGTAATAAAACCCATGTGTTTGTTATACCCAAACACCCATGTGCCCCATGCACCATTGGCGCGCTTCTCTTCTGCCTACAGCTATCTTCATGACTGGGGCAACACGTTCGGTATAGCTTCGTAGCCGAGACGCGCCTCTCTCAAAGGACCGTTCGAAGACCCTTATATCACGTCGGTATTGTCAGGCAGAAGCTCAAGCGGACGGTAACCATTGTCCCTCCGGAATTCATCGACTAGCTGACGCTTGCGAAACCTGCCTGCAATCCTGACCACAGCGACGGTAAGTATCTCTTCCACGGATATCTCCGCAGTCAATTGATCTACTACAATAGCATGCAGAATGGACTGAACTCAATGTCCTGACTGCCATGCAGCAAGCGGTCGCCCGTGTAGGCAGCCGCACTTTTGAGGGACTAGTACCGTCGCTCTGTACATTGCGTGTGCGAGCTCGAACCTTTTCACCACCTGATGTACTGATATGCAGGTCGGAACACCGAGTATCTGGCGCGGTCTATCCGAGACGCACGCGACGTCGTGATGGACCGGTTCCCATACTTTATGAAGCAGCAGTGATTTCCGTCACAGCCGAGTACATGAGGCGTGCTTTGTGCTATTTCCACAGACTTGTCAGCAAATGCGTGCCAGGAAAGATGAAGGGGGGTCGTAAGGGAAGCCAGCGCGGAGGGTGGCCCGGACATGTCCATGACGACCGGACACGTGGCAGCAAGCGCTTCAACGAAGGTTCGAACTTTGGACAGTGCGTGTCGAGTCGACGGCGTCGACTCCACGGCGTACTTATAAGTTATTGCCAATCCTTGACTCCTCGACCTCTTGGACCGCCACCTGTACCATCCCTGTGTATGTCCATCTCAGCTTTTCCACGTATCCCCTCAGTCGCTCTGCAGCCTGCAAGATGCTCTCATCCACCTCAGCTTGCGCCGCTCTCTCGAACTTTCCTCTCCCTATGTTGTGTCGTATCCGATGAGGCAGTCCTCTCCTGCGTGATGCCCCAAAAGAACAACGAGGTCATGATAATAGCTGCAAAATTTGACAATGGAGTATCGAATCCGGCGTCCCTGCCAAATTCCAATGACACATGTAGTTAGCCGACACCCGCTGAAGTTGCCGGACATTGAAGTTGGCGAACTTGCTACTGGCACTCAAAGCAAACACGGGATCCATTTTCAGCTTTGCGCCAACAAACTGTAGTAGACCTTCTGGGAATAGAACCTGGAAGCAACCTCCAAACCTACTGACGCGAATGCGACCGCGCTGATAGCTACTTAGGACAAAAGTAGCCCGTGCTTTGAATCCCAGACTACTCGCAGAACCGTTGCAGCAATTGCGCCAAAACCTTCTCTCGAAGCTGTCGCTGCGTACCTTTCCGTTAGTGAGTCCTCTGACAGAGTAGACAGATTGCTCACCACGCCTTCTATCTCGGGCAGCTCAACCTCCAACGAGCCTCCTTCTGTGCCATCCGTAGCAGCCTGCTTCGGGTCCTCGTCCGCAGTGTTTTCCGCTTGCTGTCCAGTCGACACGTGGTATTGTGCAGTGGTCAAAAGCTCCGATACCGGTTCCAACGCGTCGTAAAAGAAATCGTCATCAACAAAGGAGTCGCGAAGGGTGAAACGGTCGCACAGCGCGGCGATGCTCAAGAGTGCCCACCTATGGGGCCCAAAGTGCCACCGCGTGATATGCATGCGCTGCAGAATGATGTCGTCGAGGCCAAGCCCCTGCTCGAGCCAAGTACGGGCAGCCTCTACCAGTGGCTGCAAGACTACGTGCCACCCCAAGGAGTTGTGTTCATATTCATAGCCAAAATCGACCTCCAGGCGCGAAAGCGATGGCCATCCGCCCTTTAGCGCCACCTCTCGGAGGGCGAGGAAGAAGTGGCGGATAACCCCTAGATCCTCGCTTTGAACCCGGATGGTTTGCAAGTCGGGGAACGCCGCCTGGGGCAATCTCCAAGCGGCAACGGGGGCGGCATCGTAGAACTTGTTGAAAGATAGTGTCCGTAGCGGCGCGGTACAGAATCCGTCACACAGCACGCCTATGACCGTGCTGAGCTTGCTCTCTGCCGTGCTGGGTTGCGAGGAGAGCTTCTTCAAGTAGCTGGTGACACGGAAGTACAGAGGCACATGTATCGCGCTCGCTGCAGTCCGGATAGAGCCGCGGTTCCAGTTGGCATCCGAGCAAATCTGGAAGTCCCACGGGTCATTCCTGGAGACATACAGAGCGGTGCATTTCGCAAGGACATGACGGAGACGCAGCGGGAACAGCAGCTTGGTCGAGTCGGCGATGTCGGCATTCCTAGGTATAGAGGCGCTGATGTAGAGGACGCACAATGCGGGCGCGTCGATCCTCTGCAGGATCGGGGCGATGAAGGTGAGCATGCCATCGAGACGAATTGTCCTGAGTCTGGCTAGCCGATACAAAGAGGTAGGGACATCGTCGGCCAAGGCGGGAGTGGCCCAACTACTCAGCGGGAGTGATACCTGGGTGCCCAAGACTATCAAAGACTCTAGGTAAGGAGCGCCGGCCACAACTTGGAGGAAATCGTCCAAGCGCGTCCACCGGTTCGCAGACGGATCAAAGCGGATGTCGAGCTCGCGCAGTACACTCCAAAAACTCGGCGTAGAAGGTATCTTGATGTGGGAGGTGACAATGAACCGACGGACGCTGGGATGCAGCTTCTCCGACAGTCCGAGGTCAAACGGTGCCTCGAGCTGACGATTTTGCAGCACGTCCAGCTTGCTAAGATCGATGTGCTCGAGTGCCGGGAGGGGGACCTCGAACAGCGGTCTGATGCAGGGAAGACCATCGAACGTGAAGAATTCTTCGAACCGTTCCAGTGGCGACCAAGGGAACTCGGGTGCCTGGACGGAGCGGATGCTGCGCGCGAAGGGCAGCAGCAGAGGCATAGCCTTTTTGTTGTCTTCCCTCCAGCGTGACAGGAACAAGTCTATGGTGCTGTCCACTGCGCGCGAGAGACGGTACTGCAGAGCCTCCAAGTTACAGGTGATGCTGATCCTGCGCCATAACCACGGAGTCGCGATACCGACGTTGCGCCAGTGCCGACATACGAGCATGAGTGGCACCCACCCCATCCACGTCTTTGCATCCCAGACGTCTGAATCCGAAGTCTCAAAGGGAGCCACGAGAGAGAAAATGGTGGTTAGGAGCTCGGTGGGTAGACGGGCGATCGGAGGCATCTGGATGGGCCCATCCAGAGGCGTTGGCGGGAACATCGGCAGCGTGTGGGAGTAATGAGAGTGAACCAGATGCACGATCGGAGGCCGGTTATCTTTCCTGCCTCGACTGCATTGACTTTGAAGACTCACCGGAGAGGACTTGGTCTCGGCATCCGGTTTGGGACGGAGCCCGTCCGCTTTGTTTTTCTTCCGTGGTCGTAGGTTGTATGCCATCTGGTTTTTGAGCGTAAAGAAGTGTGCGAGGACGGTGGTGGTTCGGACCCAACCTAGATGAGATAGATGAGGCCGGAGCCCACCGCTTATGTACAAGCGCCTGGAAGCGAACCTTTGTCCGATCGGCAGGCGCCCGCCTTGGTCACTACATGGGCGACTGCCGCATGTAGATAGTTTCTTGGAGATGTCAATGGAGATACGTGAAAATGACATCGACTGCTTGGATATCCATAGTGTCTAAGCAGCCAGCAGCGACCAGGTGGTGCCGCCCCACAGCGTAACGGACACTCATATGTGTGCTGAGGCGCGAAAGGCTCTACGAAGGAGGGCCGCCCTATGGACGTTCGCCGAGTACCGGTCTGGCAATCCTGTGAGCCTCTGCCTTGCTTGACATTGAGGATTTCCCCCGACTCACCTGAAGGCAACAGTCCCAGAACGACCTGCTCTAGATGAGGCCATGATGAGACGGGAGCCTAATATTAGCGTTATCCAGCAGCTATTCCTGGTCAAGTTCTCGGCTATACACACCTCTGTGGGTGCTCCTATCCTCATGTCGTCCCGCCGGCTGATGATAGGGTCCTTGAATTGCCTCTCTACAGAGTACCACCCATACGCGTTACGACCTCGCCGCTAGATCCAAGTACATACGACCACCCCGGGAAGAAATCGAGACTATAACCGCGATGGATGGCTGAACCAAGGCAGCTCTTGACAAGATGGCGAAGCTCGATAGCATACTCAGGGAATCAATCCGGTACCACGGCATCACCCTCATTTGGTGTCCACCTTGCATCTCTCGCTGCGCCTGTCTGCTGGAAGCGAAGGCATCTTCGCCCCTTAGCGATGCTTACGCGGAAGGGCACGAAGGACATCGCCTTGATCAACGTTGCTCGCCGCTGCTGCGCGCCTGACGCACCACGACGAGATGACGTGCGTCAATGCGGAGATGTTCGATCCCTTCCGCTTCGCAAGGATGCATGTGGACCGCGACCGCGACCGCGTGAAGCATAAAGTCGTCAAGACGTCGGTTGACTACATCTCTTTTGGGCACGGAAAGCATGCCTGGTACGTCGACCCGTCATTCCCGCCTGTCCCGACATCCAAGGCACGCACTGTAACCGCTACGAACCTCATGGCCCAAGACGGGGTTTGCTGCAATCGAGCTCAAATCGATGCTTGCTTCCATCGTACTCAACTACGACATGAAGCTCACGGACGACGGGGGCCGATCAGAGAACATCTATCATAGGTCAGGGTCAGGGTCAGGGCCGGGGTCGGGGTCGGGACAGGCGCCAGAGCTGAACGAGCTGGTGCTCGTCCATCTGTCAACGTCCCAAAACTCGCCCGAGGCCATGCGCACCGAGTTTGTCAACAGCATGCTCCGCACGAAATCGAAGGCCCAGAAGGACGCGGTCATCGCGACGAGCCTCATGCCCGTTGCGTACGCGGTCGACGTCCGAGCGACGCTGATCTGGCCGTTCAACGGGCTCGCCGAGATTGACGGCATATGGGCGTAAGCGTCCATCCGCGGCGCGAAGGTCGCGCGTTCGATGACGAAGCAGCTCCAGGCTTTGGATGGGGCGCACGAGTCAAGGGACGACAATGAGAAGAACGGGAAGAGTGGGAGGAAGGCGCAGAAATAGAAATACCTAAAGCTCACCTTTACGCCCTCCACGCGCGTCCAAACGCTGGCCCGCTACCTCGCCGCGCGCTGTCACGAGCGAGATCCGCACATGTTCCCGCCGGCTGGATGGGTCCCGACGGAGACCGAGGTGCTTGAGGCGATCGGGTGGGCGCCGAGTCAAACGGGCGGGGTGAGGAAGAACTGGGAGGAGGAGCAGTGGGAGATGTCTGAGGTTAGAGACGATTTCAGACAAGTGATGCAGAAGGGTGCGAAGGAGTGGGAGAAATGGTACAAGGCGTTCGAGGGAAACCCGAAGAAGACGTTGAAGAAGTAATTTAGAGCACCTCGGTTGCGAATCGCCTTGAATGAATTCATACGATATAGACGAATTTGACGAGAAGGTCTCCCCCGCCGTTCACAATTGAATGAGAGGCAGTTCGTTGATGGGATATATATATGTTGGGAGGTGAGCTAGTATGAGGTAGCTGGAAGGAGGATTTTGAGCGCCGATCCTGGTGCCCTGGCAGTACTTGCTCGGCGATTGACATTCCACGACTCCCTTCACTGCAGCCACGATGAGGAGATGAACTGTCTCTTATTCCTTGTCAAAACTTACTCTCTCCAGTACTGAGCTTAAACAAGGCGACCAAGGAGGCCGCTGTAATTCGATAGACCGACAACAGCCTCAGTTTGGATACCTTCGGATTGCCCGACACTTTACATCTACGGCTTCTCATGCGCAGGCCCTGATGTTCCCGAACTCCCCTCACGTCTTCCGATATGGCTTCCACTTGATGATGTCCCTATAGTTCCTTGCTTGCGTACCTCAGTCAAAGTCGGTTTCAAGCCAAACCTCCGCAGAAGGGTTGAAATTCAAGCGCAACACAGCAACGATACGGCTTGCGATGGAGGCTAACTGCATGCAGGGACCTCGTGAACATCAATACAGCCTAAGTGGTTTGTGCAGGATGCAAATTTGGTACGCACATCTCTAGGCACTCATTGGTACTCTCGCGCACTCGTGCTAGAGGAGTTGCGTTGGGAACCCTCGGCTTCAAGCTCATGCCCTTTGTGTCTTGTAATTTGCCGCCCTGAGGACGCCTCAATGGAAGTGTCTCTTCTTCAACCAGACGCACATCCATGCTACTGCTAGAACTCTCAGCACGTCACCCTTGGTTGTGCACAGCGCTTGCCTTCCCCCACCTGCAGACAAAGTTGATGTCGCTCCTTATAGCCATAAAATCCGCGCATGGTTCGGGCCGGATCCTCTGCTACGGAGCCGCCTCGGCATGAGACTGTTGCCTATCACTGCCGGTGCAGAGGAATGGTCCCACTATCCTTCTCACTAGTCCTGGTGATAGTCATAGTCCGCTGGACGCTAGTACAGGTACTCGCGTGTAACAAACTCGCATGGTGCAAGGATAGTAACTCCCATGTACTGATTCCCAAGCCCGTTCGCAAGGAATATGGTCCTCTCTGCGGTCCGTCTACACCATCCCGCCAGAAGACCCAAACGCCTCTACTGGTCACCCCGTGATTGCGTCGAAACGCCTCTCGTGTCACCATTGGCATAAGCAATACGGCCAGCGGGTGCGTCTTACCATTAGTCCTATCAAACCTTTCCCTACTCATGACCTCCCCGCGTGTACTCAGTGCCTGTCGTCGTTGGCGACTCTGAGAAGGCGATCGCGATTGGTCCGTTATGGATCTTTGGAGTATTGGCACGCATTTCTCACAGCAGGTTTTCTAGTCACGAGGTTTGGCAATTTCGCCGCAGTTTCGACCGAATGTCAGGCTACCGTTCCTAGTCAGCGGACCGTAGTCTTGAACTTGGCAGACTGAGCGGTGCGTCCAAATTCATGTCACTTGCGGCTGATCGACTGTGGTATCGTTACAGTACGATAGATTCTCTTCGCGAACTCTTTGGAACTGGAGGTCCTGGCTCCTCATTGGGAGAGAGTAGGCGAAGTGTATCGTGGGGATCTTGAGGTCCCGCCGGTATCTACCTGGGCAGCCGTGAGATGAGTCATTAGAATGACCTTCGGTAACCTGGACCAGAGTCGCAGGCGCTGCAGAGCCTCGGAGACAATCTGGATTCTGAAGCTAGTCCGCTTCCTAGAATTCGAGTTCAAGGAGGAGGGCAAAGGGATATGTGGATGTTTCTCAGGAAGCGCCCCTTTGAGGGAGCAATGGCTTGGGTGAATGTGACGGATCGCCTCTCGGAACATCAACGTGCCGGATGTTCCGATGGGCCGACGAGTCCACCCCGACATATCAAGTCGCCAAACATATCGTGGCAGCTGAACGGAGTGATCCCAGAGAGAAGACGAGGATCGTCTCCACCTGACACTAGAACGCTCTCGGTTCGACCTATTTCCCATGGGTTGACCCGTCGCCTTCCTGGTTTGCCGATCCGTCGTGGTTCTCACGATATTGTTCTACGCAGCCTTTGACGAGCGGAGTACACGAACGACCCTGAACTCATTTGGAGTTCTCGAAGACAGATTTGATAGCAAGCGCGTACCGTCCTGTCCTCCACGCCGGCGACCCGCCCCTACTGACCATTCATAATCCATAGGTGGCGCCTGCGATGTATCCCAGCCTCCTCTCAAGAGATAAGACACTGCGACGTCGCTTCTCTGCATTTGACCATGTGGTCTGTGTTGCACGTCCCAATTTGGGACGTGTGTCCCAACAACGCGACCCTTGTTAACTTTCACGCTTACGATCGCATACCGACTCGGACGGCTTTGAGCGTATCCGACATGTTCTCATGTGCTGCCTGGGTGACGTGGATCTGGAAAGTCACGCTCACCCACGTTGCAAAATGATCCACTTGGCCCGGTTCCGACGGACGTTTGTCGCGAGCCATTAGTTGGACGGGCTTCTTCATGTATGTCATGAGAAGAGCGAGAAGTATATAAAGCAGCGTGCGGTTCGCCGCTGTCTTTCGGCTGTCTCCTTAGCATCCCCCTCTGGACGGACAGGATCGTGTACTGCAACCCAACACTGATGCTTGTATCCTTGCTGCAAGGGATTGTTATTTGCTCGGTTACGTGGTTCCTGTGGAAGTACTTCCGGCAGGTCTTCGTCAAATCACCCCTCGACAATGTTCCTGGCCCTGCCGCGGAGTCATTCATCTATGGTATGTATGCGTGCGTTCCCATGTAATGTACCACCCTGCTTGACTCCGCATTGCAGGAAACCTTCGTCAAATTCTGGACAGGAATGGCTGGGACTTCATCAAGAGTTTGGAGTCTTACGATGGTGTTGCCAAACTACACGGTCCTCTTGGTGTACGTCCTTCACGCTAATTTTTCGGAGTTTCTTTGTGACATGCCGTCTTTTGCAGCACCGGATGCTATTCGTTTTCGACCCAACCGCGTTGCATAGTGTCATTGTCAAAGATCAGTACATCTACGAGGAAGCCGCATTTTTCATCTCGTATGTGGTAATGGCAGAGGAGCCTCTTCTTGAAAGCTCACCCCATCTAGGTCCAATCTCCTCAACTTTGGTCCCGGATTGCTCTCAACTCTGGGTAAGCAGTCAAACTCCGCACTTCCTTATAATTTTCGCGAATAAGCTCTGAATCGTGCCTTGTACAGGGGACCACCATCGCAAGCAACGTAAACTACTCAACCCCGTGTTCTCCATCGCCCATATGCGACGCATGATTCCTATATTCAACGATGTTGGCCTCAGAGTTGGTCCTTTCTCATTCTACTCATTCGTATGAAGCATTCACGCCATCCCTATTGCAGCTGCAAAAGGCTATCGAATCGCGTGTCAGCCCCCAAGGCGACCCCGTAGAGCTGGATATGCTCACTTGGATGGGTCGCACCGCCCTCGAGTTGATCGGCCAGGCTGGATTGGGCTATTCCTTTGACCCGCTTGTCACCGACAAGCCCGATGACTTTGCAATTGCGGTCAAGAATTTCTCGTGAGCTTCATTGCCGGGGTGTGATAGTGGGCTAGCTCTGATCTGCCTCCTTTCTAGGCCCGCAGCATTGGAAACCACCCTTCTACGCCGCCTGTTGCCGTACGTTTCCGAGTTTGGGTCGCCGGCTTTCCGTCGCTGGGTCGTGGAGAGGTTCCCGCACAAGGGCGTGCAGAAGCTCAAGTCGGTTGTTGACGTAATGAATTACCGCTCCATAGAGATATATCGTTCGAAGAAGCAGGCTCTGGAGCAAGGTGATGAAGCCGTTGCCCGGCAGGTCGGCGAGGGCAAGGATCTGATGAGCATCCTTCGTGAGTTCTCTGGTACGATATCATGGCACAGCCACACGAACTCTAACTGTCTGTGTCCTTCAGTGAGAGCTAACATGGCGGCGTCGGTTGAGGATAGGTTGCCGGAGGAGGAGATCGTTGGCCAAATAGCGTGAGTGTGTTGTCAAGTCGAGTGACCGTGGGACGCGAACGTGACTGACCCTCTTCATACCAGCACGTTCATCTTCGCGGGAATGGACACGACTTCCAACGCCCTCGCCGTTACGCTCTCCCTCCTAGCACAACATCCTGAGGTCCAGGAGAAGCTGCGTAATGAGATCTTGGAAGCCCACAAAGGCGATGTCTTTGACTACGACATGCTCGTGTCTCTTCCTTATCTTGATGCAGTCTGTCGCGAAAGTTTGCGTGTGTAAGTAGTGTTGCCCTTGTTGATGCTTCTGCTCACCCGTAGCTCACTTGGCGTTTGATAGCCATGCTCCAGTTTCAAACCTGTTCCGCGAGTGAGTAAAACTGAATCCTTCTATATTTGCAGTATTCGCTTACTGAGTATTACCAGGACTCGTCAGGACGTGGTACTACCCCTGTCGAAGCCTATCCGTGGCGTTGATGGCACGATGATACATGAGATATTCGTCCCGAAGGATACGGTTGTCGCAATCGGTCTACTGGCGTCTAACCGAAGTAAGGCGATCTGGGGCGAGGACGCAGAGGAATGGAAGCCGGAACGGTGGCTGTCGCCCTTGCCCGAGAGCGTCGCTGAAGCTAAGGTCCCCGGCATCTATTCCAACCTGTGCGTACATCCTCTCGAGCATTTGGATGTTTCTCTCGAGACGCTCAAGTCTTAATTGCAGGATGACCTTCTTGGGTGGTGGCCGCGCTTGCATGTACGTTGCTTGACTTTCGGTCATTGATGACGCCGCTGACGTCCTGATATATATGTAGTGGTTTCAAGTTCTCACAGCTCGAGATGAGTGGGTACTCATATGCACATCTCCATGCAATCGCTAATGCTTCGATCTCGCAGAGGTTATTCTGTGTCTGCTGCTCTCTAAGTTTACCTTCACGCCGTCCGATAAGAAGATTCACTGGAACCTGTCCGGTGTTCGTTTCCCGACGGTCGACGGCAGCCCGAAGCCCTCTATGCCCATGAATGTGGCATTATACAAGGGTTCTGTGCATGCCTAAACCTTCGTTCATCCTTGCCCGTTCCCGCTACAAGCGTCTCCTTCTCTGAGGATGGCTTCGGCAACATACCTTTTCCAACATGTACTCAGATCTTGGCCATAATCTGCTAGTAGCTGCTGCAATCTGTGTATCGCCTTGTGCGTGTGCTCATTGAGTACATCTGTCCACAGTGAGTTACGTCAGGTCAAGGTATAGAAGTAGTTCTGGTTAGAGATGGCCTGACGCAACTACGACAGATGAACAAAGAAGAGATATACTAGTCATTACCAAATTCTGCGTTGCTAGCTTGGGCGTGCGTACTTCTAATCGTTACAAATCATCAAATACCCAACGTCGCCGATACTCCTGGGTATCATAGTTCCAGTGCCTCACGAACTTCAGATTGACCAGACTCCGACCCATTGACGGCCTCAGTAGGCGCGGTAGGATCCGCACTAACTTTGGTACAGATCCATGTCGATGCATACATATTCACCCTGTTAGTCGTCCAGACCATCAACATGTGCGAGCTAAGTACGTGGAAGGAGCTTTGCTGACCTGTCGATACACTTCCCAGCAGTCCGTGCGGCGACATGCTTGCTCCTGAAACCCTGTGCCGCAAAGTTGGCGATATACCAAGGCTTCAGCCCCGCACTGCGAAGCAGGACGCGCCCGCCGACTTTCATTGCTTTGTTGATTGCCCGGATCTCTTCCGTCGCGCTGGTACCCTCAGGGTCGAACCAGTCCATATGGTCCATGATCTGTCACAGCAATCAGACGACGTTGCGGGTTTTGAGGGACTTCAGAACGGGACATACCACAGCAACAGTGACTGTCTCTGGCTTGATGCGTGCAAGGACCTCCACAAACTCATCTGTATGCACACGTAGACCGTCAAATGCACCGGGCTGCGACAGCATCTTGTGGGCCTCCTTCGAGAGATACGCGGGGCAGCACCTGCGATATAACAGCATCGTCAGCCCCTCTATGCCCTAGTCACTGGACAAGGAAAGACAAGTGACACTGACTCTTTGTCGTACTGGCCCTGCAAGCACACCCGATAGAAGTAGTTGCTGTTCTTCAATAGCGTGTTCTCCACGACGGGGTCGAGCGTGTTCACTACATACTTCCACATTGCCTCCTTCGCTGAGAACGTGCCGCCGCTCGAGACCGAAGCCGCGATCCCGTCGTCCGAGATCATGTCCCGCTGGTTTTTCGGCACGCCAAGAGCGCGCCACAGGAACCGCTGATTCGATATCACAAGGTAGCTCAGGTACTTGCTCAGGACGACCGGCCTCAAGCGCGTCCGCCAGATCGCACGTTGCTCCCGCAACGTCGTGGCCGCGCACATCTGCTTGACCGCGCCCGACAGCCCGAGCAGGCGAAATAGCCACTTGGAGGACTTGACAGCTATCCGCGAGCCACCCGTCTCGTAGAGACCGCCACGTGATGTGAAAGCTGCAGTTCTGTCGAGCCAGTATTGGAAGGCGCGCGAGGAGAGGTAGGGCGAGAGCTTGGAGAGGAGGAGCTCGCGGAATTGCGGATGGCGGCCCTCGCCAAACATCTTCCACACGTCCTCATACGGAAGTGCGTTGAATGCAGCGACTTTGAGCTCGAGCAGGTGGTTCTGAGTCGGATTGAGGTCGACGGCGTGAATGGAGCGCGGACGGTGGAGAGCGTACGAGAGCACGTTGTCGCCGGCGGAGGTGATGGCGAAGACGACGTCGTCCTGACCAATGTTGAGAAGGCGCTGGTCCTCGGCAGGGTCTTCCCAAGTGAATGCGTAGATATATTGATTGTCGAACTGGGTGTGCTTTTGAAGCGATTCGTCGTAGTACAAACGCCACCGCTGGTTCTGGTAGAAGAACGACGGGAGGGGGACGTTTGTCGCGAGGTTTAGGATGGCGGCCTCAAACCCCTTTGAGCGCAGCTGGAGGCGTGTCTCGGATGCGGCAGCGTTTTCGGCCTCAGACCGCTTCTCGGAGTAAAGGATGGGGGAGAGGTACGGGGACTCTGTAGCAAGTGCGTCGATGTGCTCGGCCGCCTCCCGAGCCAAAGCACCAGCCGTGCCATACGTGGCGGCCCTTTGACACCCAAGCCATATATAGTATGGAATACCACCGAGGAAGTAATTGCGGTCGTTGGCGTTGAGGATGGTGCCGAATCGGTACTCGAGATAGTCCCGTCTGCTCTCGTGGAGGTGGACTCGGTCTAGCTTGAACCATGAGCGCCAGAACGCCCGCGACAACGAGTTGACGTGACGCGAGTGGTGCCCGCCGGTGAAGTTGCGGTAGGAGAAGCTGGATTCCGCTTGTACATAGAAGTCGACGCAGGCGATGAGGCCAAGGGGGGTCAGCAGATCTGTGAGGGAGTCAATGACGGAGTAGAAGCTGTGCAAACCCGATGTTAGCGTGACAAATCTGCGATGCACGATCGACAGACTGACTCGGGTATCATACTCAGAGAGTAGGACATGCTGATGAAATCAGCCTTGACGCGATGCTTTTCGCTGCTGCTGGACGTGACCACGTTCTCCAAGCTAGGACCGGACGGATCCAAACTGAAGGTACGGGCATCTTCGCAGATGACATGGACGTTCTTCCACCCGAGCCTGGCAAACCGCTCGCGGGCGACCTCACACAGGGAGGGGCTCAAGTCGACCAGGTAGACGTGGGAGAAGAATTCGGGTACGGAAACGTAGGAGTTCATCTTCTCGATGTTGTACCCCGTCCCGCCACCGACCTATAACATACCCGATTGGGGTCACCCACAGAGACTCGAACAACAACGTCACGACTTACATCGACCCAAACAGGCTTCGCGCTCCCGTTAAGGCGACGGTGCTGCAACTGTGCCGCGGCTAACTGGAGCATATCTTCTCTCCCGCGGAGAAGAGTGCCTCTCGTTACATCGTAAATGCTCGCCTGGGTCCGATAGAAGCCTTCGAGGGCGCGCTGTTGCCCAGATAGGGACCGAACCTCGGTAGAGTTCCCCAAAATGAGGGGCTTGAAGAAGCAGGCGTACGCAAACCTGCCGTAGACGATTATGTGCTGGCGGAAGGCGATAGCGAAAACGATCAGAGACAACAACGTGCCGCAGAGGAGCGTGTGCTGCCGAAAGTACACATAGAGGTGCTCTGCGCCGGAAAAGTCGAGCATTTCGAGCGAGCGTTGAACTAGCCGTGGAAGAGTGTCGGAAGGGTGAGCCAAGTGGGCAAATGCACGACGTCCATCGATATAAGAGGCCAGGGAGGGGAGAACAGTGTTCCTAGTGCTTTCTGACCCCGCTTGACCCAAGACAAGCTCGAAGCGTCGCCTGCATCCTTGAAGCCCTGCGATTGGTGCGCCATTGACCAACTCGAGAGAAATATTTCTCGAGCAGCATGTCAGCCGGGTGTCGGACAGAGGTCTCGAGGGCGTCCGACGAGTGTACGTGCGAGCGCTACCGACCCACGTTCGCAGTCGAAAGCGTTGGGCATCACGTCCGCACAGCTGCAGAACGTGAGCAGGTTGGCGCCATAACAAGCGACAACACATACGATGGATCCCACTTGGGCGAACGTGTGCGAACAGTTCTCTTCGATCCCCACAGCCTCCCAGCGGGGGGCATCATTCTGGGCATACACGTGCGCTCCGATCGCTCACGGGACTGTAATCAGAGTCGCATAAAGTAACGAGACTGCGACATTACACGGCTCGATAGCGGCTGGTGGAAAAACAAACACCATATCAGCGAATTGGAGAGAGCTCCTGTAGAGGCCAGATACCTTTGTTCCCGTCCAGACGACATCTATCGTGTAGCATTGAAGGGGGTGCTGAGGTATATTCGACTCGAGCAGCGGAAAGGTCCTGCTAGACACGTCGCACCAAACACGAAGAGTATGCACGAAGAGATGAAGAGGTCCCTGCGGCTGCAAGACGGTGTTCTAGAGTAAGCATCGCGGGAACCGTAGTGGACCGTGGCACGTGCGACTTACTAGAGTTCACGGCCAACAATTCCGCATGCAGTCCTCGACTCAGATCGAGTGAATTCCGAGACTTAGAGCTTTGCAGTCTCGTGTCCATATATATTCGGAAGAGACAAGGAGGAAGACCCGAGGATAGCAAGAGGCCAACGTCTACAATCGCTAGCGCCCATGGACATCGATTGCTGGTGTCCACAGTGAGATAGTAGACTACTTGCTGTTGGGTCCTTGATGATTGACCGACATGCGAATCAAGGCGGTGGAACAAAAGAAGAAACGTATGCATCGACTGGTCGGCTGCTGGCGACGCAGCCGCATTCTGCTCTCCGCGTTTATAATCCAGACACTATCGCGAGAGGCGTAAGTGCAACCACAATACAACAACATTACGGCACGAATGCACTCACCATTCTCGCCGTTGCACGGGAAGAGTGCTTAGTAATGTCTTCTTCTTGAGACAGCTTGTAGAACGCAGGACTTCCAGTTGGCCTACAAACACCAGACTGTATCAAGACCGGCTGCCCGTCGAACCCAAGAGGCCCGTGTCAAGCTAAGCGGTCATCTTGCTGAACATCAAGACATGCCCATTACGTGTTTGGGCATACAGCGTACCTCGCAATCAGCCCAACTTTAGCGTGTCGGAACTTGGACCGTGATCGAGGGTGCAAACGACATCCACCATCTGGCCAGGCATTGCTATCAGGTACCACGAGGACCCCATGCGGATCGCAAGGCGTACTTGCCCTGCTTGTGGACCATTCCGACACCAGCAGTCTAGACTGCTGAACGAGAAGATGGCCAATCAGCGGACCTGTAACACGGCATACACTCGTGTAGTTGTAAGAAACAACATGGTGTCGGGTACGTAGTTACAGCGTTCGTCAAGGCTCAGCCCTTGTCGTTGCTTTAACGAGCGTCTGCGTGTGGTTGGTCAAAAGTGGGCCGCATAAACCGAGTATGGGAGACTCACGGATGTGATATCAAAGTTGAACACAAAGAATTCTTGGTGTTGCGAGTTAGGCAAGCACCCGCGACTGCACGCTAGCAGACTCGCATTCACGGATTCCGGATGTCGTGTCCGACGGTCCGAAGGCATGAAGAACCGATGTCTCCTGTTCTCTGCAGGTGGGTATACGCGAGAAGCACCGACAATGCAATGCCAACGTCAGCTAGATGTTGTCCATCCCGGTGCTCCCTTGGAGGTACAACCTCGGATACCTGGCAAGGTTCGGCAATCGTCAGACAATGCAGTCAACCGGGAGGTAGCAAAACGTACCTGCGAACACTGCCGGCTCTATGCACATTGCACTGGCGATAGGAAGATAGCGTGCAGCACATGCTGGCTTGGCAGAACGTTTGTCGTTCCCGCCAAAACCGCTGAAAGTCGCCGTCTAGGACGGGTACGGATACCGTGCGCACCTTCTCCGCTGAGTCCTTTGGTTCACGAATTCCCGAGGCCTTCTCAGAGCTTCTCCTAGGCTCATTGACGCACGAGCTACATCCGACCAGCCGAACGGACAATGAGCGGAATGCTCGTCTCGGACCTTGCGGTCGCCGAAGGAGCCATGTCCGAAAAAATTGCTTCTCCTGCAGCACGCATTGGAGGACTCAGACGGGACTATATGCGTCCCAATCCACTCGAGACACAGCGGAAGGCTTGCAGAATACGAGGAATATCATTGGTCGCCCCAGACGACGGTGGCGAAGGAAAAGATGGACACCGTTTGGGCTGGGTCGACGAGCATCGGACTTGTTCGGTGGTGGGCGCTTGGGGATGCGCGGTGATGATGTCGTCGCGTCGCTGCTGGCAGCAGCCTTGACCTCAACAACTCCCGGCTCAGGCCTCTCCACCCCCCATTCCCCCTGCCCTCGCTCGTTCGCCGCCATCCTTTCTAGTCCCTAATATGTTTTCAAGGCGACTAGTTCACCTTGCGCGCGGGCGTGCTCTTCACGCCGATGCTGCACTACTCTCACGCGGATGGTACGCGCCTGATTTGTTCCATTCAGCGCGAGTGGTGTTCTGACCTTCATTCGACTTGGCATACAGGAAGGTCGCCGGTGCATATGCGCAGCGTGCAAGCTTCCACTCGACGAACCTCCTCCAAGGTATGTATTTTCTGTGACCTGCGAACGGGGACGCGTAGTGACGTCAACCTGTATTTCCTCACTAGCTGAGACCGTTAAGGTCCCCCAGATGGCCGAGTCCATCTCAGAGGGCACCCTTAAATCATGGCTGAAGCAAGTTGGAGACACCGTGCAGGCTGACGAGGAGGTCGCGACCATCGAGACGGATAAGGTGTGTATGCTGATCTCCGAGAACGTCCCCTGCTCGCGCATCTCTGCCTGAGGGGGGAGCAAGCAAAGCCATATTCGCCTCGATGTTGCATTTCCATGCATCATACATGCAGCTCCGCACACTGCTTTTCTATACGGGGCTCCTCCACCCTCAATGCGGGTTTGTGCTGCTGCCCTCCTGAGATACCCAAATCGGGAGGCGTCGGGGGTCAATGAGCACATGCGCATGGAGAGATGCGCGCGATTTCAGTGAATCGTGACCAGGGCCATAAGGCGTACATCTGTATCAGCGCAGTTTACTGACCTATTCTGCCTGGCCAGATTGACGTCTCCGTCAACGCGCCTGCAGCCGGCAAGATCACCGAGCTCCTCGCCAACGAGGAGGACACTGTCTCCGTCGGCCAGGACCTCTTCCGCTTCGAGCCCGGCGCAGCCGACGAGGTCGCGCCCAAGGAGCAGAAGTCGTCTGAGGAAGGCAAGGACCTCAAGGAAACCAAGGACAAGTCCGAGCCCGCCGACCAGCAGGTCGAGAAGGGCACCCCACCTCCACCCTCGCCGTCCCCCGAGCAGGTCCGGAAACCCGATCCGGCGGGCGTCCAGGAGGGCACCGCAAAGAAGGAGCTGAAGGACACGACGAAACCTGCCCCCGCCCCCGCCCCCGCACCTAAGGAGAAGGGCGAGAAGAAGGACGCGCCCGCCCCTGCGCCGCGCGTGCCGGGCTCGCGCAACGAGACGCGGGTGAAGATGAGCCGGATGCGTCTGCGCATTGCGGAGCGGTTGAAGGAGTCGCAGAACGCCGCGGCGTCGCTGACGACGTTCAACGAGATCGACATGTCGAATGTGATGGAGATGCGCAAGAAGTACAAGGACGAGGTCCTGAAGGAGCACGGGGTCAAGCTCGGGTTCATGAGCGCGTTCGCGAAGGCGTCCACCCTTGCGCTGAAGGAGATCCCTGCGGCGAACGCGTCGATCGAGGGCGACGAGATCGTGTACCGCGACTACGTGGATTTGAGCGTCGCGGTGGCGACGCCGAAGGGTCTCGTCACACCCGTCGTGAGGAACGCGGAGGGCCTGAACTTTGTCGAGATCGAGCAGGAGATCGCGAACCTCGGGAAGAAGGTGCGTGTGTGACAATCTGTCTTTGCCATGGATGCGTAGGATCTGACCATATCCTCCTACATGTGATTTTCGTCGTGTCAGGCGCGCGATGGGAAGCTCACGCTGGAAGATATGGCTGGTGGTACCTTCACCATCTCCAACGGCGGTGTCTTCGGTTCGCTGTACGGCACGCCGATCATTAACCTCCCTCAGGCTGCTGTCCTTGGTGAGTTTTTGGATATCCCGTCGTCCCTGGTCCGCACGTCCCACACCTGTTCCCGCCCCTACCACTTGTCTTCTCATTAGCCACACGGGGCTTGCGTCACCTCAGTCGCGATCGTGTTGGCTGCAGACTCTGCTTATTTTCACGTCACGGGCGTGCATCCGTTGTCTCGATCGCATGCTTGTTTGGTGTATTACGTGGCTGACGACATATCGTACACTTTCCTACAGGCATGCACGCCATCAAGGACCGCCCGGTAGTCGTCGACGGCCAGATCGTCATCCGCCCGATCATGGTTGTTGCCCTCACCTACGACCACCGTCTGCTCGACGGTCGCGAAGCCGTCACCTTCCTCGGTATGTTCTACTCGGTTGCTCTCTCCGTAAGCGCGATCGCTCACTGTGATTTCGAATACGACAGTCAAGGTCAAGGAGTACATCGAAGACCCGAGGAAAATGCTTCTGGCGGCATGAACTCGCTCCGGGCTGACGGGTGCGGCTGACGGGCAATCGGTGGATGTCGGAGAGGTTGGGCGGTAGCACAGAAGCCGTACGCGGACTTGATCGTGACGCTGCTGTCGTGTATACTGTACAAGCGAACGGTGTCCTCCGACGTGTGCGGGACCGCGCGCCTTCCCGTGCTACAGAAACTCGCGGGTCGCGCGACGTCTCCGTCTGCACTCGTCGGTCCCCGAAACTCATCGTTCCTTTTCCTGCATCCTGGATCCGGGCTCCCCTTGGCTTTAATCACATACACACGCATATATACATACAGTAGGTACATACTCTCCTCGCGAATTTTGTTGCTAGATAGTAGTTGTGTTGCATACATAGTGCATATGAATATTTAATGTCTAACACAATCGGACATGGCGTGGACCGGAGTATCAGCAGTTCTTGTCTTGAGCTTCAAGTTTCCTTGAAGGACGGAGACCTGGGTCTGATCTGCCTTGCCTTGACCTCGACGACTATGTCCACGACCATACTTACCTCCATCGGCTGGTTGTGTTTCAGTTGAATCCCGCGCTCTGAGATCATGACGAGACCGTGTCGGTGCCGGAGTTAGAATGTACACGGACGCTCCTGCATAGTCCCGACCCATGCTCGCTGTCGTACTCACCGTCCGGTAGCCTCGGTTTAGACGCAAGGACGCAAAAACCTTCGGGGCATCGGGGCCGGAGCCTGGAGCCCCAGTCCCCGCAAACAGCTCGAAACGGACTCTGAATGTCAACGAGTATCAGCTCCCAGACTCCTAGGCAGTCTCTTTCCCGTTGAGAAGGGTTCCGGCATCGGGCGCAGGACCAGGGCCCGATAGGCCGACGCCGCCGGGAGCTGAGCGCTGAGAACCCTAAAGACGTCATAGGGAGGACGTCCGATAAGGCTGCTCGCTGCTCGCCGCTGCGTTTTCAGCTGCGTGCGTGAGGAGCTTGCGTGCGCCATTCCAATCTGGCGTTGACTGCATACGGACAAGGCGTTCTCAAGAAATCGGAGGATGCTCGATCTGGCGTGGTGGACCGTCCAAACTCGAGGCCAACCCCACGGATTCCACATAGTAGGCCAGTCTGATCAGGAGGTCTCGCCTGTGCAAGTGCGACACGGGCTAGTGGGCTATAGGTGCCTGTATGCGAATGGGGTATTTGCGTCCGCGTAAATGCGGGCCGTACAGGCTAACGTCGAACCTAGAGCAACGAGGCAAGGGCTTCATGGAGGTAACTTACCCTTGCGTCGCATAGGAAAACCTGTGGACGTCGTGTCATAGGAAGCCCGATGCTCTACTAGTGCTTCCGCCTCCCCATTAGCTATCGCCAGAAGGTAATACTACATATAACCAAAGAACGCGAAGGCACGAACTTGCAAAACAGCCTTTGGCACGAGAAGCGCTGACTCGGGAGGCAGGAACGGGAAGCGGATGCTTCAATAGGGTTAGATTGTGCTCTGTAGTACGACGCACTAACTGCGCGCATGACCGATGAACACCTTCTCATGTCTCCATTTCGACAAGCCGACGGCAGCAAACCTACGTGGCTACCCCTATCCCAGATAGCCCTCCTCCATGTCTGACCTAGACATGGAGCCGCACATCCCGCCCGATTGACATTCCACTCATCAGTTTGCAATCGTTGCACTGCGTGAAGCGCCAGATTACGGAGGTTGGGGAACAAGGAGAGGATGAGCACATTACCGCCGCATTCCCAGCGTGTTCCCACCACATTCCGCCGGATTAGGGGATGTCGTGGTATTAACTGCCTTCCGCTCACATTCCGACCATGTTCCCCATATATTACTTAGACATTCCGTACCCTGCGTAACATGGGATTAAACGGGATATACACTTCTGTACCATAATAATCATTTATATTCATGAGGTTTGCAGTTTGGCGCCTCATATATCCCAATATAGGCACCTATTCACGGTGGTTGGTTTTTGGCTTTTGGGCCAGCAAGGACATATACATCATCATAGGCGGAAAATATATTCGAAGGCCGACTCTTCTACGCTACAGCCCGAGTGTCTGAGAAATCTGCAGACCAGCATAATAAGACACCCCATCCATGCCATGCGCCGCGTTCAAAGTGTGGTGATGTCCTACAACTGATCTGGACATCAGGCAAAGCTGAGACAGCGCGCACAATACCCAACACACGTACCTAACTGCGCATATATGCAACAATAATGTCAGTATACAGGTGCTGCTTGGGCAATGTTAGCAGTTTGCTATCAAGCTGAGACCTGAGACTCACCATCAAGTGACGATGAATGCTGGACAACAGCCGGGCCTACTAGATGCTATCAGATTCCATGCAGGGACTTTACATACAACATTAGAGGACCCACCATTGCCCCGATTAGTAGACGTACCTACAAGGGCCTGAAAACGCCTGCATAGTGAGGCTCAGACATCAGCTGGCATCCGGAAGTCGATGGCCAGTACGTACCATGAAGAGGGCAGGCACAAGGAGGGGATGGAAGAAGTACGAAGTCAAGTTGCCTATGGACGCGATGACAGACTGATATGGGGTCAGGCGACAACGTCATCACGGTTAGATAAGTGATTTTGGACAGACAAGTCCCCCTTGCCATAGCAATCCGCCAAGGCCGTTGGGGATGTGGAGGGAATCTGGAGAGAATGTGCATGTTCCCAGCAGATTCCCATAAAGGGGGAATATACTGAGGAATCCGTGGGGAACATGTGTGGGATACGCAGATTCCCAGCATGTTCCCTGCCACCGTAATCTGGCGCTTCACGCAGTGTTGGTGTCAGTCAGCCACGCTAGCGGAGACGCTGCGGGGATACTCTATATCCATGGCCCACGGCGAGCAGCTGCGGAACAGCCTCTACATAGTCGCGTGCTGAGCGATCATTGAGTGGTACAGTGGCTAACAGCGGCGTTTCATACCAGCTTCTACAGATAGCGTCCCTAGTACAGTACGCCGCTGCGGGGCGGCGCCACAGCTCGTACTTCCGCGCGCGCCGACGAGTGGCTACATAGCACTGCATTATTAGAATAGGTATGTTCGAAGCCTGAACAGTCGACGACTTGAGTGGAGAGGCTCGCGGAAATGCGGGTGAGACTCGTAAGCCTCTCCTCGTCTCTAGATCGTCGCGCCCGCATGCGGCGTACGTAGGAGTATTCCCCGGGCTAGTGCTGCTCCTACTGCGCCTCCTCGGTTTCATGAATAGCCCATCGATGATCATGAGACGCAATATGAAACCAAGGAGAGCGGTAGGCTTCTGTGAACGAGGCCATTGTCGTCAAAACGTCTTCGAAAGACTTTGAGACGTCTACTTGTCACGACGTCTCGCGCCTCGGTCGTACTTGGATGCGGAATCTGCTGCAGGCGTGGCTAGGATGGAAACAAAGAGTAATGTGCACCTGGATGCACGTCTAGCGCAGAGACGAGCACGCCCGCGAACTTCCGAACAGGCCCCGGGCCTTCACAGCCCGGCGTCCTGCAGCTACGCCACATCGAAGCCAATGTAAGTATTGCCGTCGACGTTCGACGAGAGCGCGAACACGATCGTATCATACGTACGACAGCGCGGATCCTCCCCCTTGGCACAGCGCATCGCGACGCTCTACGCCGATGGATGCCGATGGCGGCTCGCACGCACACGCTCGCATTCAGATGAAGCCTAGGGTAGGTTGCGCGGCCGACCTCGCGAAGCGGCAGTGAGGAGCGTGCTACTACAGATCCCGAGGGATGCATCTAGTACTGTATACGGAGGGAAGGCGGAGCTCGTGGGGTGCGCTGGGGAGGCTGTTCTGGCCAGCCATCCATCTGTCCCGACGAGCTCTGGCTCCCACGTACAGCTCTACCTGTAACGTCCCCCTGCATCGATGTCAGCGTACAACCCGTTCGGGTACTTCGATGACGTGAAGCTTGGACGCCGGGAGGGAGACCGGTCTCGTGTGCGAGGCCGTGCTCGTACGTACGTCCACGAGGCCGGGTATCCGGGTTCGAAGCGGGTTGGGGGCTGGCGCTGGGAAGAGGACGAGACGTGGGATGTCGTTGTGGCGTTGCAGATACATAGACAGGGCAGCGAAGAGGACTTAAGCTTTGGAGCGCTCGGTATCTGATCTGTGCGCGGCACGGTCAGCGTTGGCACGAGGACGGGCGTGATCAATGAGTGCCTGAGCGGGAGACGGATGGATGTCGAATGCCCGGCATCCACGCAGCGCTGCAACCCGGGCCCGGGTCGGAAATGAGAAGCATTGGACTGTTACGAGTCCGAGTTCGAGATGAGAGAGTGGACGCGCTGGAAGTCGGGAGAAGAGACCGACGTCGTAGGAGCAGCAGAAGCGGCACGCCGTTGCCAGAAAGGCAGTTCCTCCACAGTAAGTACTGATAGATTGTGCACCTGTGAGGATCGAAGAGTAGAATGAACTCCCCATGCGCTCGAAATCGCGCGAGGGAAGATCCGCTCGACGCTCGTACAAGGCCTGGACAGCCCGGGATGCTCGCCGGATAGGTGTGCGTCTGCGTATGTGCCAGTCAGCGACGGGAACTTGAGGGCGTCCTGTGGTGAGAGATCGGTATGGAATACAGGGCCGGATCCGCGCGGATTCTGAAGTTCTTCACTTCCTTCGCGTCGGCGTACTGGGCTTGTTCGAGATCCAGTGGTTGCGGTGCTAGCGCAGAGAGATGTACGCCCGATCCCCCATGATAGCCGTGCTAAAGACACTCGCGCAGTGTACGCGGGGCAGGGCCTTGGGCTCAAAGTCGTGGATCTGGCACGATCATGCGCAGGTGTGTGCAAAATACGCTGACGACTCGAGGTGCCCACAGGTGCCAGAAAATCGACATGAACCTGCGAGAGGTACCGCACGAGCCCGACCCGCCGGAGGGGAGCGTCGAAGCTGTGATATGTGACGACAATCAATATCCAGGACTTACAGCAGACTTTCATTCTTCGACACAATGCACCGCGCCATCGCCACTCACGGAGACCGAGGCTCGAGCCTTGCATTTGCCAACAAGACAAAGTTCACCGTCCGCGCGGCAATCACCTCCAGCGTCGCTTCTCACCTCAAAGTTCACGCTTGCACAATTGTGCCTAGCTGGGAGGGTTCGTGGCCGCATGACCTCCGCGCGGGGGCTTCTGAACGATACGTGCTAGCTTCGCGAAGATGGGGCATCCGGACGTCCCGGCGGCACGAGCGACGCTACTCAATGGCCTGCTCTTCCCGGACACGCTGAGATCTGACGACTGATGGTTCAGAGAAGCAATCTTGGGAGCAGAGTTGGAGTGCGGAGAGACTGGATGGAGACTCAGAGGTCGGATGCGGGGACATTGGATGCGGGCGTCTTGATAACGAGATCAGAAGGGCGAGCTTCGAGCGCGCGAAGGTTGGACTCTGGAGGGGATGGAGCCGCAGGCAATACATACGGTACGTATCTAGCAACAAGATGGTGACAGTCCGAGGGAAAGAGGAACTCGAGAGGCTCTGCGTGGGGGAAAGACTCGGATGCGATGGGCCTGAGGCCCAGGGCGCCGCGGTCACCAGGTCACTTGCTATGGTCGTGTGCGGACAATGGGGTTCTGCCCTTCTTCGATGTCGGAGGAATCTGAGAACACGCGATTGCCAGTGGGACATCTGTTGTGCGGATGACAATGGCGACGAGCGAGCTATTCTTTCGCGTAGTAGGAGGGATGCGGAAGAAGACAGCTGCTGTCGCGCGTTGCGATGAGACGAGAGGGGCGTGCCCGATGCACACTCATGAAATGTTCCCCGCGCGTTCGATAGGAGTGAAGGGGAGAAGATGTCCCGGACAATCCGCATCGGACTGCAGTCTGACGGACGAACGGTGTCTTGGATATGTCATCTACGGATCGGAGCATTGCGATTTCCCTCAGGCTGGCACCGCAGGCGATGCGGAAAGTCGATTGCAATCGAGGTCCGTGAGGTTGACCCGGCTGCTCAGTTTGTTGTGGGACGAGGACCCAGGCTAGTTTGCCAGGGGACGTCATGGTATGTGGGCCGCGATAGCATTCGAAAAGACGACTCGCGATCTCGGTGCGGTCCCATCAATGCAAGGCGTTCGTTGCCGCTCCGTCGTCCGCTCATCCGGGACGAATCGCGGGACCCGAGAGAGATAGCCTGAGAGAGGATGCTCGTTGCTCATGGATCTCGGAGCTGATAGGCGTGCGCGCAGCTTGCTGTTGGTCGCGAGCCTCCCGGCCTCTCTTCTATGTGAGCTGTGTGTGGACCGGGACGACAGTCATGAGTCGCACAGCGTTATGCATCGGAGGAGATCATGAAAGTGGCGGATGGGTGATGGGATGACGCCGCAAATTGATTCGGGTCGCATCGGGCGCCTGCACGGGTGTATGCAACATATGAGATGATCACCTGAAGAGGCTACTAGTTCGTAGTGCGGACGACGTGTTCGTTGTGCACATCCGTTATCTGACACACGGGGGGGCCGAGAGGCGAGGAGCGATGGCCCAATTCGACGGAAAGGGAAGGGGCTGTCGAGCTGGCACCACGTCTACTGAACCAGGACGACTTGGCGTCTACAACCGCTCGGTGCGTGCCCAGCAGAAGGGCCTACGTATGTGTGTCGCGCGTTGGCTGTGCGTTCCAACCTGTGAGAAGCACGGAACGGGGGTGTACGTATGTATCAAATTGAGGGTGTCCGCTGGCGGAGGGTGGGGCTGGAGTGATGGCAGCGGTGAGAAAGCAGTCCGTTCTGGAAGGGCAGGGCGGAGACCTCGTGTCCCTCGCGGAGGATACCAACGTGGCGAAAGTAGAACGGACTGATGGAGACGGAGCCAATCCTCCCTGCCGCCCATCAAAAAAATAAATCCGACAAAGCGACGTCTGTTCTGGCGAGGCTGGAGCTGCCTGGCTTAGTCATCCTTATCCACCTATGTCACATTGTGTCACGGTGGTCTACCACTTGCGTCTCGTATGTACGGTTACGGCTCCCCTGGTCAGCAATACCAATAAATCTCTGCTAGAACCGGTGATACTGAAATCCACACTAAAGCAATCCATGAGCAAAAAGGAGGCTACTGTCTGTGTGGCCCCCGATGCGGTGAGTGTAACGCTTGGGCCGGATGTGGACAGCGTTACAGTTAACCAAACAAGGTCACACTGGAGACCCGCTGGCTGGAACGGGGTAGATCTCCGAATCTGACCGATAGCCGCAGTGGGACGTTATGGAGCGGAGTTTGAAGTGTGTAGGTGGGTGGGGGGCGAATGAAAAGAGAATGGAGGCCGGTGCAACGCATATACCAACCACCCCCCCTTCACTCGACGCCTCGCTTTCCATTGTCTCCTCCGTCGCCGCGCTCCTCAGCCCCGCCGCTGATTCCCCCCTTTCTTAACCATATCGCCCCCATCCTGCCTCAATGATTGCTGTACAGAAGCCCCCGTCAATGTTTTCCTCGCCAATCTTCCGTCCAACCCACGCACGGCACCCCTCGGCGCCCGTCGTCGTTCGGCCGTCGCACACACCCGGTGTCCTCAACATCTCCAAGCCACCATCACACTCTGCTCCTAGGCCACAGCTCGCGCAGGCGCAGCCTCGGGCTCCCCGTGCTTCCCCTAAGAGTAAGCCGCAACAACGGTCGCTGCAGCCTACGCAGACACAAGCTGCCCCCGTTGAGAGGCCGAAGGCCCTTAACCCCTCTCCTGCTAAGGCGGAGCAGCCTTCTACGACGAACGACAAGCCCCCTCGAGGACGGAAGCAGCACAAGCAGCCCAAGGATGCTGGTGGCAGGTTAGCCTCTTCTTGAGCCCTTGTTTAGCGCTCATTGACTCACCGCAAAAATTCCACGTTGAGCAGGGATAACTCTGTCTCTCCCTCCAATGTCGTCGCGCGGCGACACGCCCATCAACCCTCCCCTTCCCCTAGGATACCCTCGCCTTCGAAGGCGGCCCCCGCCTCTCGAGTCCGGGTCTCTTCAGTCAAGCCTGAGGACAAGACCTCGACGGACCCGTTCACCGACGACGCCAATGCTTCCGCTCAGGATGGCAAGGCCGACGGCAAGGCTTTCCGCTCGCCCCCCAAGCTGAGTTCGCAGCCATCCGGCAAGCTTGCCCGCCGTCGCCAAGCCAGCGCACAGCTTTTGGACTCCCCTACTCCGAGGCTCCCATCCCGCCGCAAGGGTCGTGCTCAGGGCGAGACGATTGCCCCCTTGCAGTCGGCTTTCCCCACTTCTCTCCCGCCACGCCAAGCCAGCGCTGATATGACCTCGCTTCGCTGGGACAGCTTCCCCATATGCGATGACTCGTCTGACTTTGGGGATGACAGCGACGTCTCTCCCCCCACGACCCCCATTCGGGAGGTTTCTACAGTTCCTCATAGGGCGAAGGGAACGTGGCTGCAGGAGAAGTACGGTGTAGACGACGCTCCCCGCACCGCCCCGATGGCGTCGACGTCAGGCTTCCCCTTCTCAGGACAAAGCCCGTGCTCGACCCCTACACCTGCGCAGCGCCGACGCAACCATCGCCGGGTTCCCAGCGAAGGGGTATTCGCGATGTCGACGGATGAGGAATCCCCCTCGTCCTCCGTCTCTGACCTCTTCGAGTCCATACGGCAGAAGATTCGATCCCCGGTGTCCATCCCCCGCCAGCGTTGTTTCACCGTTCCGACTGGCACGCCGTCGTCCTTCGGGGCTTCTTCCTCGGATCATACGATCTCATCATCCGCTCCTTCCGCGACCGGTTATTTTGCAGGCTCGGTCTTCCAAAATTCGCCAAGTCCGGACGATCTCCCCGCGCCCTCGTTCTAATGGTGTAATTGTATCATAGCTCATAGAATTCGTCAAGTGTAGAGGTGGGTGGTGGTTCGCTGGTTGTCGGGAACGTCCGTGCTGATGGTTAACTTGCAGCCCGGACCAATTGGTCCCCTTAGACGCTGTGTTACCGTCGCTGACCTCGAATACTCCGCCACCTTGAAGCCCCAGCGTCGACCGCTTAATGTCTTCCTGTCCCCCACACTACTCTCCTATCTCGCCCATCCTATCCGCCGCCGTCGCCGCGTACGACATCGTTTTGGCGCCGAGCGCTGGCCGACGTAACATTATTTCTTGGTATCATTATTCCTTCGACGTTGCCTTCGTATTATCTACGCATCAGCATCAGCGACCCTCTGGCTTCCGATTTTTTCGGGCTCTTCACTCATCGATTTCCCACTACACCTCCGGCATCTACCACGGTCATCGGCTCCGTCGACTAGGACAACTGCGCGCTTTCACCCCCACATCATAGATACCCCGCCTATTGCTGGGTCAGCTGGCGACGCTGGCATTCATACCCCACCGTCGTCGCACAGGTTCCTTTGGTCCTCGACTACGTCGCGGATCAAGGCTACTGCCCATTCTCTTCCTTCCAGTGTATATTTCACCCCTACTCGACTCATGGCTTCGTCGACCCTTAACTTGTGACATTACATCTCGGCTCCCGTTGCCTGCTCTCGCATTTCCATCGCATCGCATCGCATCTCGTCCCCTTCCCTCCTCCGCCAATCTGCTCTACCCGGTCGGCCGCCCCACACTTTCAGGCTGCCCGGCGTTGTACAACAGACATATAGACGAGTCAGAGAAGATGAAAGAAGAACATCAATATTGCGTCAAAAACCTCGACTATATGGTCGGCTGGAGGGCCGATCTCGCGTATATTTATACATCTCCCCCCGGGTCCGCATTGTCGGGACGATTTTCAGTGGCTTTGCCCAGGGGCTAGTATCCGTCTTCCCTTCTCTTGGCTGGCAAATCGTTCCCTTCATGTGTCTTGGGTTCTGGGACTTTGGTTGTGTTTATTACCTTTCCTCCTATCGTACTGTAGCGTGGCGTCCTTGTTATTTCCTGGCGTCAGCGATATGTCCCATTTGTCTCGCATCCCGTTCCCCCTTGTCTCGTTTACGATGTTGGCACGCCTTTCTTTTCTTTCCGCCGTCCTTCCAGCACGATTCTTTCTGCATCGTCACTTCAATTTTTTGGCATGTTGCCGCATAGTGTATCAATATTACCCCCTCATCCTCATTGCCGCCAATCTTCTGCGCTTGCAAATTGTGCACTAGTATCCTCGGCTAATGTCTCTCGCGGCGTCTTCGCGATTGCGGCTAGCCAATTCCCTACCGTACAGTTACTGCCATATTGTCTATCTCCCGCCAGCTCCATCCCGTTCCATCGTCATTCCACGTCTATGTCGCTTCATGGGGCATGGTCGATACATGGATGTTGGTGAACGTGATTGGCTTTGCTTGTGAGTGATTTCTTTCTTTCTCTGGCTTGCGGACGATCATTGACTTGGTTGCAGCTTCGTCTTGTTTCAATACTTGCCACACATACCCAGCCACTCCTCCTCAAGTATTACTACCCCTCTTGTCCCCGGGATATTGCCATCGCTCGTGCCTCCGCTAGGTGATGGGCGACTGTACATACTCTGGCGACTCCTGGAGCCTCCGTTTCCCTTGTCTCCGCCGTACACAATCTGGAGGTTCGCGTGCGTACCTTTGGTTTGCCCGCGGCGGTTACCCACACCCTCCCTTCCGACGCTCGTTGCTTGCCATGTCCATTTGTCTCATATATCGACAGCATAGAAATGTGAATCCCGTTGTTCCTGTTCCATTCTTCCGATTTCTTGGACTCCCTCGCGTCGCGCCTGGTTCCCTCGGTTCCACTGTGTTCGTACCGTCCATCCATCGCATGCCTCTCCGGTTCGTCGTCAAGCATCGTCGCAAGAATCTCGTATCGCACTGCCTCGTCCGCTTCCATCTGTACACTGCTGCATCATCTCTATCTTCACCCGCATCTGTACACTTCCAACGCACGCATCACTGTACCACTATTACTCTAGACTCCACCTACCTGGTCGACCGCCGCCGTCGAACGCTGCTTCGGCCAAAACGGGCAGCTGTACTATCAGCGACGTTGCTGTCGCCCCTTATGCTTCCATCTTCCCCTCGACATCCCTCCTATGCGCAGCACATTCACGATATGCGGTCTCTGGGAGCTAGTTGTGTCGGTAGCTGCCGACAGGCAGATGGTGGTGTGGACGGGCAGTCGGGGGACGATCGCCTCGGGGCGGCAGGATGGCGGCGGGCGAGAGGAGGAACCGTGGTGTGGATTGTTCGTCTGTGACTCTTGTTTGGTACGTTGTCTTCGTGAGGTGTGTGCGGGTTGTAGATCGTGTACGTGATGAAGTTGTCTGGTGTTGATGGTTACGTGGTGTTAGTTCCCCATGGATGGTTTGATTCGTATACGATAAGTTCTAGGATTCTGTCTATTGTCTAGGCTTCTTGTTCCGTATGTATGAACCAACGCCCGAATATGATTGTTTCTGCATGCTATGCTCTCGCTGCGTTCTTCGCGGTTTGCCCAAGTAGCATAAGGAACGGTCGGGCGCTCTGCTCATGTTTGTTAGCACGAACTGTCACCGCTCGACAACCAGCTGCAGCACCAACACGGCCATGATCTGCGAGCGGCAATGTCGGCAGTACTCAAGCACTCACTGTATGCGCGTCTCACTCTTTGAGTGGACGATGTCGTCTCTACACGATCTCTGGCTTACCATCCTACCTTGGTCCCATCGTCTGTTTCGACACCCTAACCAAGCGACCGTCTGCAGCGCCTGCGCAACGGGGCCCCTAGCTCCCCTCTCCTGGAGAAGGTTGATGCACGACAAGGGTGCAGTTGTGTACAAGACGACGCGATTTCGCATGTTGACTGGACAGAACGCTGGATGTCAGTTGTGTCGCCTGCTTGTCGATCTGGGAGCGGCCGACGGGCCTGAAGCCGAGGTAGACTTCCAGATGGACCAGGATCGCTTCAACGCTGTCGACGAGCCAGCGGACACTCAGTACCTGCTCGTTCATGCTCGCGTCGCTGGGAACCCGGACAGGTACATGATGTATTGCATGTATACGCCCGTAGGTGAGTCAGGACTCGGGCGTACTGCGATCGTATGGCTCTATCGCCCCGTCTGACTCGTAAACTTGAACAACCCTCTGCAGAGTCCAGACGACCCCGCGGCGGACGAGATCGTCTGTCAAGCGCCGACGCTCCAGGTGGACTCTCGCCTTGGAACGCATCAACGACTGTATCGCCAACCACGCTACCTGCATGAAGCCGAGCAGGACGAGCCTGCCAACTCGCGTCATCGACTGTTTGGTCCCGACAACGCCGCGTCTCGTGATCACTGCTGGCCTGGAGGATCCCTTCGTCTCGTACCTTGCTCTGAGCTATGTTTGGGACCAGGATTCGTCGCACTGTACGCGTCTGGCGAACTACTGCACATATCAAGCAGATGATGGAACTCACGGCTTCATAAAGTATGGGAAACGGTCCTTCACGACATCGCGCGGGGCTCGGATACTCGGCGTTGCGGCCTGCATATCAGTCCATCAAGCGGCGGAGAGGCTCAGGCGTGCATATGCAACGTACGGAGCGGTAGTCCCACAAAAGCGTGGCTGCCTACATGGGCAACCGGAGACGCATCGTAGAGATGCTTTCCATCGCCGTTGTCAGGAATGCAGGCGCGTTTCGCTAGCTTCGCTGACAGCTCACTGATGTCCAGAGGACCATGGCTACCGTCCGCTTGAGCCTCTGCCTGGCGTGATAAGGGCCCCTTGCGAAACGCGCGTTCTCGGCTACGAAGCTGTACCGAACGTGTTGTCCCAGCCCCAGTCATGAAGATGGCTGTAGGCCGAAGAGCAGCGTGATGGTGGTGTATGGGACACAAAGGTGTTTGGGTATAACGAACTCGTGGAATTTATTGCTATATAACGAGAACATGGGTCTCGTGTGGTGTATATGTTTATGTATATGCCTATTTGCCAGCATCGTCAATATGGGGCTGGATGGGGTATATTTGTACCGAGCGAGTCTAAACGGAAGCGGCGACGCAGATACCAGGGGATAGGGATACAAGTCCGGAGAATAAGGTCGTGAATCCTGGGTATGAGGAGATGTATCTGGCATGGGGTATATGGAGATGCGGACGAATTTGCGAACGACTCCGAACGGAAGTGGCAACGCACATCTGAGGGTACAGGGACACATGTGCGGGGTATGAGGAAGTGAATCCTGAGTTAAAGGAAATGAATCCTGGATAAAGGAAATGAATCCTGCGTGAAGGAAGTGAATCCTTGATAAAGGAAGTGAATCCTGGGTAGAGGAAGCGAATCCTGGGTATGAGGAGATGTATCCATGGCGGATGTGGGGAACGCGGCCGAATACGCATAGGCAAGCGAGTCCAAGCAGATGATCCAGGGGTATTAATGTACGAGTCCGGAGTATAGGATTTGAATCCTGGGAGGAAACGTATCCGTGGGGTATGTGGGAATGCGGCCGATCAAAGAACGTAGACACCGAACCGGATGTATGGCTTTGTTTGTTATGGTAGAAGACGAGGAAAGTCACTGGCAGACCGTCACGGACGCGAACCTGGGAACTGGGGGGGACGACTCAGGAAAGAAACTCAGGGACGGAGACAGGGAAAAGGCAGGACCAAGAGGTGAAGTGAAGCCAGCGATGCATCCAGACAGACAAGCGGAGGTGTCGGGGTAAGCACGTCGATGAGGGGTAGGCCTCCATGATCAAGGAGAGTAGTCGTCGTCGACTGACGGCTACCGTCCTCGATTAACGATGGGGACCGAGGCGGCAACGCAGACCCGAGGGTATAGAGATGCAAGTCCGGGTTGATGATGGGAATCCTGGGTACGAGGAAGTGTATCCGTGGGGCATATGGGAACGAGGCCGAAATTGCGAGCGAGTCCAAACGGAAATGGGGACGCAGATCCAAGGATATAGGGAATACGAGTCCGGAGTATAGGAGTTGAATCCTATGTGCAGGTGTTGACTCCTGGGAGGAAACGTATCTGTGGGGTATGTGGAAACGAGGCCGATAGAAGAGCGCAGACACTGAACCGTATGTGTGGCTTTGTTTGTTATAGATGGAAGGCGAGGGAAGCTGCTGGCAGACGCGAACCTGGAAACTGGGGGAGACGAGGGAGACGACGCAAGGAGAATCAGGGACTGAGACAGGGAAAGGTGAGACAGGGAAAGGCAAGACCAGGAAGTGATGTGCAGCCA